AAGGCTATTCTGAGCAAAACAACAAAGGCACATCACATTGCTGACAAGTGACAAAAACAAATTCGTTGTGATTCAACAACATATCTATTATTCAGACAATGAATATCAAAGTAAACAAGTTAAAGCAGAAGTATATGATAAGATATAAGACTGTCAGAATAACAAGGAACAAAAGAAGGAAAGTCCTACAAAGAAAGTCACTAAACAATGGACAATGACACAGGAGGATCATGAAATCATAAAATCAGGGGAATATGAGAAGATTTCGGTCAGTAAACAATTCAACATATCTGGTAATTTGTGTCAGTATCTCAACAATGATAATACAGTCATATAGAGGACAAAATTCTTAAAAATATTAGCTCAGTTCTCATCTAGACAATGTTATGACAAATAGTTTAGGTGACACTTTTCATAAAGGACTAAGGAGAAAATTTTAAGAAAGAAAGTACTGATTTCACACCCTTCTACCCGATTCAGTTCCAAGTAAAATTAAAGAATGGATGGTTCTATCTTAGGACCTAAAACCAGCATTAAGCAAATGATCCCGCCAATACCAGCAATAATAAAATTGACATACATGTTGATTGGCAAGCAAACTTACATTTGTTTCCCACACATGCAGAGCAACTTGTTATAAGCTTCCATAACAATGCCAACAGTCTTCAGGTGTCCATATCGCAATTCTCTGAAGAATTTCTCTTCAAGTTGTTTTGTAATCTACAGTGATTTTGCAAGCCCAAACACAAAATCTATCAAGCAATGAAAAGGTAGATTAAAGTGCCAAAGTCAAATAACTAAACAACTCATACTCTAAGACCATTACCTTAGGGATACGAATAGGATTCTTAGCAGCATACTCACACAACTTTACAAGCTTCCGTTCATTTGGCTGGCCATCCTGCACATGGAGAAAGAACTGAAATATTACGCTTTCTGCTGATGAAGAAACAAGGAAAGAGGATAGCTACTAGAGTTCTTCAAAGATGATACAAATGAATTAACACCATCACTTAAGTATCAGTGAAGCATTGCTGTTCCAGAAGAAGGTATAGTGAAGTAAACCATTCTTACTGGAACAAACACAAATATAGAATCTCAATAATGCAAGCTTTTGTAATTTCCAGTTCCATACAGATCCTATAAACATTATCTCAAAAAATCATCAAACCTTTCGTTCTCCGCTGGCTATAATATATACTTGGCAGCTGCAATGTATTCTCAATATCACAAATTCAGGTGATATAATCAACATTCTAAGAAAATCAATGAGCAAACAGTTGACACTTGACAAGCAAAAGACCTTGTTCTCTCACAGTACAGAATTATCAGAAACTCTTTCCATTCAAAATATAGCATCTCAAACAGTTATAGTAATCATAAATCAAAGCTTCTAAGTACAACACCAACAATAAAAACAATTATTCATATCATATTTCTATATTAATATAAACCAACATAATCAGTCACTTTTTGATGATTATAATTCAAACCCCAAAAAATATTATAATGTGGGAATTTTCTAAAATGTAATGTAAATTTAGAAACTCACAGGAGACTTGGGAAAAATATCAGCAATCAACTTTTTGTAGCGCTTAACAGGTTGCCTGGACCTGGACCTTAGAGCAGGACAACATACACACATGCTTCCACATGCTGGAAACAATTTCCGGGATATAAACCCCATTTCCTGCATTTTTCAAAATTCAATCACATTATCAAAAACTTACTCATTAATTACTGAAAATAAATCTAAAATTAGTATAACAATGTACAAAAACAAAAACAAAAAAAAAATGAGCAGGAAAAAAAAATAGTTTAACAAATTGTTTAAGTACTGTTTTCCTGTAACTGTTGAGCTCAAAATCCACCAACATTATTCTAATGAAACAGAAAAAAGAGCAAAAACCCAGGAAAAAAATACCCAGAAAATTGCCATAATGTCTGTAAAAGAACACCGAGAACAGAGAAAAAAATTACACACTCAGAAATTGTTTCGTTGTTATTTTTCTACAACAAATTAAACCCTTTTTTGTATGCTATATAATCAAACACAAAATGCAATTTAGAAGAAGAATTTTTTACAAGCAAAAACAATGAAATTAAAAATAAAATAAAAAGAGAGGAAGAAGAAACTTACCCAGCAACAGATCTGAGGGAGTGAAAGGAGATGAAGACCCCTGCTAAAAGGGGTATTTTCTCCTTAAAAAATTAATCTTTTAGGGAGAAATTTCAATTGAAAATTTTGAAAATAAAGCAAGAGCTAAATGTAGAATGAAGAATCAAAAGGCTGACACACAGGAGAAGAGAGATGAACAAATGAGCGCGTGGTTCGAGGCAAAATATTAAAAGAGGGAAGAAATGTCACGTGATTGTCATCACTTTGTTTGCATTTTAGTAATTCACTCTTTTTCAGCATTTTGGGAAATTATTTTGGTCTAATTTTTCACATCAAGTTAATAATGGCTAAAGTCCCTCTTCTTTTTGGTCTAATTTTTCAAAAAAAAAAAAACTCCGCACCACCTTAATTTAGAAATAATTAAATTTAATTAGATTTTTTTTGTGTGTGTTTGTTATTTAATACTTCCTCCATTCTTTTTTACTTGATCCGCTTTGACTTTTATACTATTCACCACTCATTCTTTGACCGTGTTTTGTGAATAATATGTAAGAAAAAACATATTTATTTTGGATCATTTTGAATTCGTCTCAATAACTACTATCATAATATATAACTTTTATATTTTTTAATTATGGAGAATTGAAGTTATTGACCGTCAAAGTTTTGCATTGGCAAGCGTGACAAAAGAAACAGGTCAAGTAAAAAAAACTGAGGAAGTAAGTTTTGAAAATTATGAAAAGTACATATTTAAAAGCAGGTTATACATATTAATATGAATCTAATCTAAGCTCATCTCATTTGGTGATTTTCATCTTATGAATTAGTGTACATATTAGATCAATGTTTAATCACATATGAAAAGCAAATCAGATCATATGAATTGAACATAGTCTTACAAGTCAGAAACTTATATTATGAAAAGAGATATAGGGATCTCTACCTCAAAGTACCATTAGGCCTCACTTGATGAGTTGATGAGTTTCAAATCATGTTATCTAGTGCTTCTTTTGGTAAATTATGAGTAGCAGTAAATAATGATCTATTAATAACAATGAATGTGTATAACAACAAAGGGAGAACTTAAATAAAAATAAAAATCATTATTTTATTCCTACGAATCTTGGTGATGCTTATTTCACCCAAAATCAAATATTCTTAAACCTCAAACATCATGATACTTCCAAGCTTTCTCACTCAACCAAATTTAGCTTACCTGGTAAGAATATATACGAGAAAGATACTATATATCAAATTACATTTAACTCATTTCCTCTCTCTTGTTCAATTTAGGGGCCATGTTCACCAACTACAATCACATTTAACTCATTAATGCATGGTAGGCTTCGTATTGTAGCTTTAACAAAGTTGTACTTGTACATGTAGTTAATTTTAACCATCTAACATATTTACGAGCATAGAAATAAATCATTGCCAAGTCCCCACTTTTATAAGTAATATATGAAGTACCTTTGAACCATTCCAATTAATAAATTTGTACTCCTAATAATGTCTTAGTCTTTAATAATACTACAAAAATTATTCTCTTCTCATTTACGCATGTATGCATGTAGACAAAAGATTACCTGGTTCATGTTTGCTAAAGTTCTCAATCTTGACGTGAACATTTGCATGCAATCTACATTTCACATGTTATTTTCAGCCTGTATAACTTGCATAGTTGCATTATATTTTAATTATTATTTATTAAATTGTCCTATAATTTGTGGGTCCCATCACCACGTTAAGATTTCCAACTAATTGACTTATAAATGTACGGAGTATAAAGCTTAAGAAATACCTTCGTATATATTCCAACCTACGAGTATTATATTACGGAGTATAAGATCTTGTTGAGCAAATTCTTTTGGCTAGATTTGCTGAAGATTTATAACAAAATCTCTTGCATCTCAAGATGAATTATTTATTGTTTTTTTTTTAAATACAATTCAATAGAGTATACAAATAAATGACTTAAACTTGATACAATGGAGACATTTTTCAATAGATTTTAGATTGCAATGCTGAAATTTCTAAATCTGAGTTTTCATTTAAATATATAAAATTGTCCGAAAATACAAGCATAAAAAACTACGAGCATTACAAATGTATGATTAATTCAATTACACCATCATCGTCACACAATTAAAGATATCGAGTATAACTTGTTGGAGACTACAATACCGAGTAGAACTAGCACTTATAAAGAACTACGAGGCATTCCGTACCAAATTATTTCAACTCAAGCATGCTCGCACACGAATCAATTTATACAATAATGGAAAGATAAATGGATAATAATTATCCTACAGTAACTTGTATAATAGCTTGGGTACATAATCTTGAAATGCAAGCAATTCCTTGATAAACCACAAGAAATAAGAGCACTTCAAAATATACTCCACAAAAAGTTTCACAGCTCACACAACCAACCAACCAAAAATACTCTCGCAACAACATTTCAATTTTCAAAGATATGGGGCCTTGAATGTTGCGGTGAAGGACCTTTTCTTGTCGTTTAAAAGGTAAGGGGAGTTAAACTTTTCTCAATATTAAATAATGCATAGTTACTGCAATAATTCAAACAGGTAGGAGTACAAGTTTAAGCAATATAGGTTTCCCCACAACATATCAATGATTTTACCCTTCATCAATACTTCATTGTCTTCATCTATGCATATCATTTACGGAGAGAAAACGACTTACGGAGTACTAAAATAAGTATGTAGGGACAGCCGAATTAAGGTACTGAAAAACTAATTGTGGCACGAATGGAGTATACGTTATTAGTATCGTAAGTGCCTGAATCCCAAATTATTATGTGTAAGGACAAGGAAGAAAACGATACAGTAAGATAACATATCAGACCAAACCAGAGTCGTAGAGATAATAGAAAAGAAGACCCCTCCATAATCAGCTCTTGTAAATATACAGTGTGTACAAAAATGTATTGTGAGAGTTTCATAAATATTGCATCTACCTCAACATACAATCAGTGTACTTAACAGAGGGAAACCTGATAGATCAAAAGCTCCAGAGATGCAATTGTGGATCATTGTCGAGGGCAATACCTTGGATGGAGTTTGCTAAGTATATCCACAAGTTCAACAGGAGTAGCATTGCCAAGAAATTCCTCATCCCATGTCCTGCAAAGTTCTGTATAGATAGAGTTAGTCTACAGCTCAATAATACTAGTACATTTTAATCAGTATCTGCATAACCAAGTCGACAACTTTATGCAATCATAATAGTTCGCCAGCAACTGAAAGTTTCACATACCAGCCTTGTCTGCTGGAGAAAGGCACATGATGATCATGTCAAATCTTGGGATCCTGGTCAAATTCTCCAGATACTTGACAGCAAGTTCAGTCTCCTCACTACCACAAGGATACATCATAAGGATATAAGAGCCAGATAGAGATAATAGTACCCGGTTTATAGTAATTGTAATACAACAGTACACAATGCCTCTACTTACATAAAGAAGGTTGCAATACACTTGACAATATCGATGAGTAACGGAGCAGTCAAAGCGTTTTTAAAAATCTGTGGCAGGGCATCTGGTTGAGTGACCTAAGCATAAAGAAAATACAAGCAACATCAGCAGCAGGAAAAAGCAACCAAAAAATAACATCTACAGCAAGAAATAGTTCACACATAAACATAAATTTCTGCTAGCAATAGTCTGTTTTTTATGCACAGCTTAAAGCCATGGTCCGCCAATATAATTCAAGTTTTACATCTCAAAAACAGATTCTGAAGCATTAGGAAAAATAAGCCAATATCAAACCTTCAATAATTGAGCCTGTAGGGATCGATCACCACAAAATCCTCTCCAGGTAACCTCAAATTGATAAGCAGAATTTGGCGTACTGATTTTTTTAGCAGCTTCTTCCCTGGCTCGAGATGCAGCCCGAGAAGCAAGCTCTTGTACTGATGGCCCAAGTTCTTTTTTCCCACTTGTATAATTCTTCTGATCAAAAAGGAAAACACTAAGTTGAAAACACTATGGAATGACCCAGATAAGTAAAAAGTTGTAGATATTGTAAAAAATACTCCATGCAAAACCATGAAGCAACTTTATCTTCACAGTTTTAGCGCACAAGATAATTTCAATCTATTAAATGTGAACTGCAAGACTTATTCAACTCTATAAAAGGATCTTATAGTGTAACTTCATGCAAGCCACTTACTTTTTTTCCCGTTTTTTTCTCCAAATGACTTGCTTTTGATTACTGTATTTCCAGAATCAGAAGATTTGTTCGCAGATAACTGTTGATCAGCAACATTAACTTTAAATTATCAGAAAATGATACACGTGAGCATATAGTGTCGAGAAACTACTCTCATCCGTTATAAAGAAAGTTGACAATTAAAGTTTTTACACCATGAGCTGCATATACTAACACTAATATACAAGAATTAATGGTTCAAACAAACAAAAACAATTCCAACTTTAGAAACACGCTGATATTCCATATTTCCGCACCTGTATACTATCAGAAAGAACATCAACTCCGGATTTCTTGCTCCTTTCAGAAGCAGAGAGAACTGGATTTTCATGCCCATTTGCATCCACCTTGTTCTTAACTTCTTTCACACTAGGTGCAGCTCTAGTGGCCGTTCCAGCAGCCTTTGCAAAAATTGCCTACAAAAAAATTAACTTAGAGCTTCAATGACACTTGATTTCAATCAAACAAATCATGTACACCAATGATTGAAGGATAGAAGCAGTACATCATCAATTAATCTAGAATCCACACCCAAGAGTGTGTAGTTGTGTACCCACCATATTAGTAAGCACACACACCAACCTCGCAACTACAACTAGTATGAGTTCAGATGAGTTATAATTATAGATTCCAGGCCCAAGTGCAGTTACCAATTTGAGACATAGACAAAGCAACCTGGAAAATTTGACTAGTACATGGAGATATGATCAGCTTCAACAACCTAATATAACCAAATAAATCTTAACAAGTGCCTGTTTTAGTTGTCTGTAGTCCTAGCACGGCTCTTAGATAAGGAAAATGGAGTAATATCTAGTGTCACAAAAAATGATCTTCTCTTACTCAGTCCCCTCAAAACCACATTACTTAAGAAACAGTATTTAATGGCATCCATGCATGATGCATTCAAGACCTCGAATTCTTCATCAGCAAATTTTGGAAAAAAGCAACATATCACAATTCAACACTCATTCAGCCAAGTTCACTTCTCAACAAAGAATTTCCATTGAAAGATAGGTAGCGACAGGGAATCCAGATATCAGAGCCTAGACTTAGGAAATTAACGAGAATAAGTGGCTATAATGAAGCCAATCCGCCACTTCACCTCAACCCAAATGTTGGTGGACAAAGAAAATTTAAAATAACTAAGAAAAATCAATCATGACTTCCTCCAAAATTCATATGAGACAATAATATCACAAGTATCAGAAAGTTATAAATTACCTTCTCCAACAGAGATTTAACTTCGCTACGTTGTTTCTTGAGATCTTCATTTTGTGGCTCTAATCTCAATGCAAATTCAACATCTGCAAGCAGTTTCAATTGAGTAGCTGCCCCAACACTCTGCCCCAACACTTAGTAGTGAAAAGAATGGGCACAATCTCTGTCAATGCAACTTACCTTCTAAGGAGTCTCTGAGTTTCCGGAGTTCCTTTCTGGCTGTAGCTCGACGTGAATATGCTTTTATGTAGCGATCATCTAAGTTTAGAGCCTCTGTGCAGTCATCTTCAGCCTCTTGAAATCTGAAAGAACAGTAAAAGTTACAATTTTATATCATAATCCTAATATGCATGACCAACTAAAGTACATATTGAATCTTTAGGTGCAAGCAGGAGAATCCAAGTTTCTATGACAATACAAACAAATGATTGCGTAATTGATGATAGAAACTGCAACTTACCTCTTTATTTTAAGATAGGCCATTGCCCTGTTTGCATAAGCCACAGCTGTTGGTGACAAAGCAATGCTTCTAGAATAGCAGTCTATAGCTTCATTGAACTTCTTTTGCTTAAAATATTCATTACCCTGCAAAGGTGCATATAAATGCTCCATTAACACAATCACTAGCCTGGGGCTACACGGGAAATTAGCAGAGCAATGAAATAGACAAAAAGTGGAAGGGGGTCGTATTATATTTTACCAGATCTTTCTCAGAGGCAGCGTCCACAGTATTCTCATCAGTCATCAAAGTAGTTGATATGTGGCTCACTGGATCGTAGTTCACAGGAGGCCGATGCTGACTTGTACTACTGCTCAAAGAAGTTGCATTGATTTTACCATCAGGTCGTTTGTTCTCACTAATCACTTCAAGTTTCTGATGGATTAATACAGTAACGCAACCATTGCAGCAAATTAGTATCTCATCATACTAATTAACAGTTTACACAATTATGAATATTGCTGGAAACAAGAAGAACCAGAAACTTCGTGATCCTATGATTCCTATCTGTCTCACTCCCTCTCTCGCCAGAAAGCCCTAGATACCAGCTCCTTCCCCCAAATTGCCCCCCGCCTCCAACCTTCCCCCATCCCAAAACCAAACCAAAAAAAAATTGTTCTTGGTGTGATAGGCATACAGTCTAACCAATAATAACTTACTATGATATAAGCAAGCAACTTGATGACATTAAAGGTTCCGATGAAAACAATTAACTCAAATTAAACTCAAAATATCCTAAAGAAAAGAACAAAACAAAAACAAGTTTGTCAATTTAAATTTCATACTTCCATTTCACTTGCACAAACCATTGTAGCAAACCCCACTTCCCCACAGAATACTGCAGAAAAGGTAGAGTAAGAAACTAGAACAATGAAGATGCAAAATTACCGATTTACCCTTTCGAGAATTCTGGCTTTCCAACTTCTTATCCTTGTCTTTAAGAGAATGTTCCCAGTCTTGCAAATCATTCAAAAAACCTTGAAAATTCTGCAGTGAATCCAAAACAATCATCATCGAATCCTCCATAATCAACAACCCAAAACAAGCATACAAGCCCAAAAAAATACAATTATTTCCTTCAGTGTGAAATTCATTCCATAATTCAATGATACATCATCCACTATGTTTTATGTATAATCAATCAATCATTCTCAAATATAACATCACTCATTTCAATTGGATAATGAAGAATGAAAAATAAGCTAATTACTAGTCTCCATTACCCAAACTATGTGAGCATTTTACAACCCAACAGCAACAGTATTATACAGTCTTCAACACATTCACTAAATAAATAGGTCAACATGAATCATGAATATGAAGACTAATCAACCAAAGTTAACACAAAATGCTACAATTTAGGTTAAACCTCTACAGCAAAATAGAAATTAAAATTCAAATAAATGCGCACCATGATGGAAGTGGGTAAGGCGTATCGCCGCCGTAGAATCGCCGGAATTAGCCCTGAATTTTGTTGCGGAAGCTCGAAAGTTGGAATAATCTGAAACCCTAATTTCCGATGATTGGTGGTTGGTGCGGTGGCGGCGATTGGTGGTTTGGTGAGGCTAGAAAGTGGGATTTTGCGTCAGGTTTCGATGGTTCTGGAGTGTGGAGAACTTTTTAAATTTCAGGTGAGCTCGAGAAAGAGACAGGATGAAACGGCGTCGTTTGATATTTACTCCGTATTTATTTACGGAGTATATTGTTGTTGTTATTTGTTGGGCCAAAGTACAGCCTTGAGGTTCATGGGTTTTTTCTACGAGGCTTATAAGTTAAGAAGTTTAACCAAACTACCAATCCAAATTTTGGCACAAACTGTAAGAAAATGTTAGTCGTAGTTAGGAATACTCCATACTTTTTTTTTTTTTTTCTTCCCCTTTCAGGAATAAATTATTAAGGATTCCACTTATTTGGGTGTAAAAATTGAACCCTTCTCACAGAGGTGGAAGAAAGACCTTCAACCATTAGGTTAACCTATTCTCAATACTCCATATTGGAATGTTTTCATACTGATGTACACGATGAACTTAGGATCTGTTCTCTTACGTTGAAATTCAGTTCAGCTCAGCTCAGTTTAGTTTAGTTCAGTTCAGTTCAGTTCAATTCAGTTTAGTTCCTTTCAGTTCAGCTCAGCTCCTAATTTCCTCCTCTTATAAAATATTCAGTTCAGTTTAGCTCAATTCAGTTCAGTTCAGCTGAGTTCAGTCAATGAGAACAGACCCTTAATGAGTTAAAGGTTATGTTGTTCCTCTAAATTGTATGTAGATGGTTATAATACACAGTAAGAAATATAAGTGTATGATAATTTTTATTTTTATTTTTTTTTAAATAGAATATATGATAACCTATTATCTTGAATTTCTTAAAAATAGGATACATAAAATTGCAACAATGTGTTTTTAAAAAATTGTAATTTCAAATTCAAAAATTAAATCATCTATTGTTATCCGGCAACTTGGCAAGTATGTAATTTTACTATACTATGCAATGCACAAGCTGAATTTTTCATTGAGTTTTGATACATTATATTTTTCACAAAATTTGATTAAATACTTGATAAATAATGGAGTAAATATTTTCTCAAATCATTAACCTTGATTTTAGAAATTATTTTTCACTTAAAAAAATCTTAGATGTAAATTTAAATAAAGACGATGAAGGATTTGTTCTCTTTAGCTTAATTTTAGTTTAGTTCAATTCCTAATTTTCTTCTCTTATAAATAATTCATTTCATTTCATTGCATTTCACTCTAGCTTCAATTAGTTTAATTATTTTCAGTAAATAAGAATAGGCCCAAAATTAATTATAGTGACGCAATCGGAAAGGTTGCAAGAAAAGCAAGCGCTAATCCTTCGCGAAACAGACAGATTTACAAGCGATAAATCTGTTGAAAGACTCCGGAATCCACCAGAATAGAGTTTAACTCTTGAGATTATTATCAAAATGTCCAAAAACTGAATATCAAAGACAGCTAAAACGTTTAAGTAGTCTAAACAAAACCCTAATGCGAAAATAAAATAAAAATTAAAATCCGAAAAATGTTTAAACGCTATTTTCGGGCCTTAAACGAACTCGGATGGCTTAAAAAACCTGTCATTCACGGGGAAGCCGTGTGTTGAACTCATTGGCCTGTTTCCATTTCCAAAAATCTATTTTATTAAGCAATCTGACTCCGGGAGCCCGACTAGTAGAAATCATTACCCTTAAAAACTGAAAATCAAGCCTTATGACGTTGCACTTCTTCGTCGAACCGAGAAGCTAACCTCTCTACGTCATATAGAGTCCATATGGGTAAGTACAATGATAGTTCTCCAAGGATGACATAAAAAAATGCAGTGGATGACGTGGTGAAAGCAGATTTGAGAAAAAGAAAGGAGTGTTGGTTTGTGAATTGTGAGTGAGTGAATAGACGTGAGACGTTTTGAACGATGGGATGTAGATTTTGATGTATAGTGTGGTCACCGTGACTCGGTAACTCATTAGTGCGTGAACCCTTGAGCTGAAACCAAAGTTGATGAATGACTATGACTAGGTCTCTAGGTGTTACGTGACTCACCTAATCTGTCAGAGCCATGACCTGGATTACAGACCTTGACCATTGAGTCTGACCCTCCTTTTTAATGGACCAACCATTGAGCGTCTTGCTCCGGAGCTTTTTCATATAATGCACTATGCAACCCAAACATGACTTGAACCGAATCAACTTAAAATAAAACGTATATTAATTAAAAATTCTGTTTACGTCCTTGTTCTAATTTTCGAATAAACCTAGTGTGTCGTTACAATTGTCTATACTTCGGAGAATAAAGGATCCCAGACGAGGCGGGGTAGATTGAACTTACAAAGGAGACGAAGGAATGCATTCGGTTATCATATTTTTACGATCAAAAGAGTTTGGTCAGTTAAGACCAAAAGTTGGCTACCGAAGTTTATGTATAATTCGAGTTTGGGGTCAATTCCTACGACTAGAAAAGGTACTTTGTACACTTACTTATGGGAGTATTTATGCTACTGAAGCTGACCAGTTGATAGACTAAGGAGGTAGCTAGAGGTAGTGTTGCCAAGATTGCAAACACGAAAAGGTAACACATGAATTTATCCTAAACTTCTCAAAACGATTATAGGCAACACAACAAATGGCAAACACCATAGCAAAATGGCATACTATCATCAACACAAATTTATACATGACTACTTCCGGGTCCTCCTAGTGATAGAACCACCCCTTGGAGATCACTTCTCTCCCTTAACACTTGATCCTTTCTTGGAAGAGCTTGAAAGATGGGCGAGGGGCGATCCATGTTGCCATGACCGATCTCATGGCTGAATCCTGCACCGGGGTTTTTTAGAGGTTTAAAGATTGAACTCTTTCCAAAAGGGGATCCTCTATTGGAATTTGTACATTGCTGAGCACCTGGAATTTGACCAAAGCTATTTTGGCTCCGATTTGCTCCTTTACACAAGGTATTTGGTCCCTGAACATTGCATTTGTAGAGACATAATTTAGCACTTGTGCAAATTAAAGAAAATGTATAATTAAGAAGATAAAGAAACTTACAGGAGCAAACAGGACTCCTCTAAATATTCTCCCATTAACATTCGCGGTCATCAGGTAACCAGAATCGAATGACCCATCCACTTTCCCATGCACTTCAGCTCCAATCTACTCAGATTTTTTTTAAAGAAAAGTTAGAAATCAATAATAACAAAGTGAAATCAAAGTATAGCAATCGCAAATGCTCCAAAGCAAAAAAAAAACTTCCTTACCAAGTTTTGAGAAATGCTTTGATTAAGGTGTCTCCCCTCTGCTGTTAAAAACTCAACTTCACTTTTAACTGCATGAGATAACTGTAAGGAATGTGCGGGTCTTTGGTTAGGTCGATGCTCCCCTAGGATGTAGACGTCGGGCAGATTTTGTGGTGTTTGCCTTGGAGGTTTGTTTGGTTGATTTATGGAGTGGAATGGGAAACTTTGAGGTATTGGTGTGGAAGAAGTTGGGTTTTGGACAGTTGTTTGCTCTTGATCAGATTGAGACGGAGAGGAGTTTTGTGACACGGAAAGAGAATGCTCTTCTTGTTCTGTTTCCCGCTCCCATGTGTTTGCATGAATGGTTCTCCTTCTCTTGGTGTGTGTAGTGTCTAGCTCATTTGCATCTGTCTTCTCAGTTTCTATACAACTACCTAACAGCATTGTCTTCTGCCTCTGAGTATCTGATTGACCTCTTCTCCTTCGTTGGTTTCTTTGATTTCCGAAGCTCTTGCACATTGAAATGTTGTAACGACCATTTGGATGCTCATTCCCAAGTTGCAATATTAGGAGTTCCCCTAAAGGACGTTCATCCTCTCCGCACCTATTCGAGAGCACACACATTACATTGGAGCAAAATGTGCATAAGATTATGGATCATGCCCCGGCAAAAATCTTAATCAACCTGACATTGTAGTTTAACCAGAAACTCTAAGACAGCGCAATATAACCTAAAATCGACCAAACTGACAGGTTTTTATCCGCAATTAAGGCACCTACAATCTTATTTCTGACCAGTCTACTAAACTAAAAGAGAGACCAGTTAAGAAAGACTGTTTTAATGAAATAATGAGCAAAGAAGCATGTAAAACGGTTGAGCCATAGAGATGAAGGGACTAACCCTCCGTATACGGCTATGTCAGAGTCTATAACAATTGCTGTATGAGAAAATCGCCCTTGAGGTGGCTGGCCACAAATCTCAAGCATAGACCATGAACATAACATCGTGTCAAGGACCCAAGCGTCGTTGTAGTATCTCTTGTCTCCAACTCCGCCTATAACATAAACCTGAATTGCATATTTTTCATCGTCATCAGTAAACAGCTCATACAAAACTGAACAGATAACATTACTGGTTTTATCGCAATCACAAACCATTACCAATCCATAATTGATCATAAAATAGCATTAGAGCAATGAGAAAAATAGACCATTCAAGTCCAGGCATCACAAACCTTAGTCCCAATTCTGACAGCAGCATGTCCTGCCCTCATTCCAGGTGAAGCTCCTCGAACTTCCAACTGCCAAAAGAAGTCACAACAACCATAATTTAGGAATTTGACCAAACAATCAATACTCAGAGTATAATTTTCACTAATTTAAGCTTGTTCTTGTTAAAACAAGCATTAAGGAAGCTTACCCTTGACCACATCAAGGTATCGATATCAAACACGTCCACATCACCATGGTAGCGGTCCCCACAATCACCGCCATACACAAAGACTTTCCTCCCAACCACAACACAAATGTGACTATCTCTAGGTGGAGGGGCATCACCCTTCAATATAGGGGAAGTCCAAGTCATGGTCTTAAGATCCAAAAAATGCAAATCATTCAAGTAGTTCCCTACACCTTCTCCACTCCCACCAAACACGAGTAATTGATCGTCACCAACTAAGGTGGCGGTGTGGCTCTCTCGTGCTGAAGGGTAAGCACCCGAACACAAGGGTTGGATCCACTCCTTGGAGTCAAGGTCCAAAATGTGGAGGTCATTGACCTTCTTAGAACCATTTGTACCCCCAAAAACTATAATTTTGTTCCCCCACAGCGTGGCGCTGTGGCTATCTCTCGGACCCGGCCCCTTGCCGGTGGTCACTAGAGTTGTCCAACACACTGTATCTAGATTTAGTACTAATACATCACTGTAATGCATACCCCCACAACATCCCTGAAAATGAACAAACACAAGAATTTTGAATATTACTCAATCTAACTATCTAGTATTAATTACAAGTGTAATAGAATCCAAACAATTGGTTACACATAATATACACCATTGTAACCCTAAGATAATTGTTAAAAATATTCAAATTTGGAAAGATTTTATATTAAAGTTCATTAGAAACACTAATTAAAATGTATCCTACCTAAATCTTTTTCTGAAAATAGTGTAAATTTCCAAAGTGACTGCAAGATGGTTAAAAGTTTTTTTTTTTTTTAAAAAAAACGTAAATATATTGGTTACCTCCATTTTAGTTTATACTTTGGCAGAATTCCTAGCAAAACTACATGAATTTTAAAAAGAAATTAAAAATTAAATCCTACTATTATACTATTACAAAAGATTGACAGACATGTATAATGAGAGAATAACTCGGAAATCAACTAAAACAACTAACACAAAGTGAGAAATCACCTACAAGTATAAAGAACGCAACAAAAGCATGTAGTACTAAATTGAGGAAAATATCTAACCAACAAGAGTACAAAGTATATAACTTCATAGAATATTATAAGTTTCCTAGTCGGAAATTTATAGTCACGTTGATAGTGTAATAATTTGAACTAGTAACGTGACAATTCGAGAGCTTACCCCGAAAACATAAACATGGCCCTGGTAGAAACAAGAAGTATGCCCCCATCTTTCAGAAGGATTAGAGCCAACCACCTTTGGATACAACCACATTGCTTTCTTAGCTTCAATTCCTTCATAACTTCCCAAAGAACCCATCTTTATTTGCAAACAACCAACTCTCTTGTAGCTTGTTTCTCTCTCTAAAATATTGAGTAATAGTAGAGGTAAGATTTCTCTAAAATATTGAGTAATAGTAGAGGTAAGATTATTAATGGAGTAGAAAATGCAAGAAATTAGAAATATTTATGATAGAAAAATAACAATTGAGTGAAATTTAGTACTAGTACTAGTAGTATAGTGAGTGATAGTCTGATGAAACAATTAAGACATGAAAAGATGGGTGCTTTCAACTCCAATATATTGTCACTGTGACAACCAACACCCAACTCTTTAAGCTAATAGTGGGACTATTGAAAGTGGAGGTGAAAAGATAGTATAAAAAATCATGTCTTCTAATAAAAACAATTAATTTAATACTTTGTATATTTTTTTAATTTGGTAATTTAATTTGAATACACTCTTTGTTTCAAAATAATTGAAATTAACATTAATCAACTCAAGCAAAAAAATAACGTTGGAAAGTTTGTATAGAGAAAATGAAATGAAAAGATAAATTAAAAGCGTTGTTAAAATAAAAATGGAGCAAGTAAATTAAAACGGATTAAACGTATATGAAGCCTAGATGAGTATTTTAGGGACTAAAATGCATGGGGTTTAGATAACTAAAGTTTTGAAGAATTTATATGAAGTGATGTAAAATCATGGAAAGACATGACATTTGACAGATGGAGAGAGAAATTGTGAGTGAGAGACAGATTTGTATTGTTTCACACTTTTAATTTTATTAATGAATATTTTTTGGGGTTTATTAGTTGTCTAGCTGAAAATGATGGTGTGTATGGGGGGCGATGCAATTGCATTGGGTTGTGGGGAAATGAAATCAATAAATGGGAAGTTGTGTTGAGTTTTTGAGATTTTGAGGTCAAGCATTTTTTTGGGTTTCTTGGCTTTTCCCTTAGAAAGTTTCCTTGTTTTTTGTACCCTTTATTTTCCCTTGATACATTGGTTTGTACAATTGTATTCCATAAATTTATACTACTCCGTATTGTATAAAATACCAATATTATTAAGTCTTGCTAGGTTAGTAACAATGCATATCTTCAATTTTGCTAATAGACAATTAAATTTAAGTTACAAATTAACGTAGAACTACACAAATAATACGAGTACTTTTAATATACCAAATTTGTCCTCATTAACTACATTATTCACTTTTTTTTTTTTGAACAAACAATATTTACTTTTTATTTTCTTAATCTCAACCCTTATACATGGCTAATTGTGCAACGTACATTAATACAACACAATAGTCTCAATTTAATTTAATTTATTATTTTCCCTGGAACAATATTAAAGAGTAAAATTAATAAAATTGTTGCACTTTTATTGTTTAAATTTTTTGAAAGTTACAAAGTATTTTTTGTTTATTACTTTCCTTAATTCTTCTTTTTTTACGGAGTAAAAAATTTTAAAATGTCACTCATCACTCATCATAATGTTGATTGTACATTTGTTGCTTCAAAGAGTTGTTTTTAACCTTTATAGATAATATAAATAACTTTTATATAAATAAATTACAAAGAGTATTCTAATTTAAAATATTTTCATTACAAAGAGTTTTTATTTTTCATAATTTACATATTCCCAATATTGAGAAGGTATAGGGATTGATGGAAAGGGGAGGTTCAAGGTGTTTGCTAAGCAAAATGGCCCCCCAATTTTCATGGTAAAAAAGAGTGATGGAGGGTGTGTTATCTAGAAATTATGTCCCTTCTCAAGGTTCCTTGGGCAAAGTGTGTGTTTGTGGGATATGTCAATGGGAAAGAATCTCACCTCTTTCTTCAAGTTTTGGGAGATGATGAATATGTGGAATGAATTTATGGTTTTTCTTTCACTCCTACTGTCACTCTCACTATCACTTTGTTTGTCCCCAAAAACCATATGAATTGTTAAAAAAAAAAAAAAAAAAAAAAAAAAAAAAAAAAAAAAAACCATATGAAGGTACTATTTTGTTAGAGATATTTTGGATATCTCATACCTCTAACATATTTCTAGTTAAAACTACCATATTTTATTACAACATCATACAGATTATGTTTTTCTATAACATTTATATCTGCTTTGTACCTAAATAATGTATCACTATATAAATTTGATCACAACAATTATTCATGGAGTATTAGTAAAATAGAAAATTAATACTAATAATTAATACGAAGTAACATACAATGAGACTTATTCAACATTAATATTATAAAGAAAAATGTTATACATAGCCTTTAGAGCTACATATAAGCATTAAAAACACTTGTGAAAATTGTTTAAGTTTAGAAAATCATGACAAAGACACACTAATTACACTGTTTTACGCGTGTTTTTACCATTAATTTTTAATTTTATATAATTTTCAAAAGTATTTTTAATGCTTATATATACTCCTAAAAATTATGTATACCATTACCCTATTATCCTAGTAAAATTAAAACCTTAAACCTCCATAATCCAAGATAAAGACCTTACTCCATACTCTTAAAAAGGCTAACACTTTATAGGTAATTCGTACTTTATTTTTTATTTTTTTATAGATACAAGTGATAGTATACCAAAATGGTGAAAGTAGAAAGTAGGAACGCGATAAACACGGGAGTGTATTCGGTGAGGGTGAAATGGCGGCAAGTGCATCGGTTGACGTGAAACTTATTTGACTCACTTCCTACTGCTAGTCTCCTACTCTTTCTTACTTGCACTCGGTATTTCACTCAACTACTTTTATTTTTCTCTCTCCTCAAAACTCTAAACTTTCTTCCATCGAAACTTGAAACCTTCAGCACCAATTTCAAGATTAAAATACCTTTTTTTTTTTTTTTTTTAGGATTGAGATGAAAGAATGACATCCATCTTTTCAATCATAAATATAATTAAATTAAATAAATAAAAAAAGTAGTACGAGTAGTAGTAGAATATTACCTTGAGATTTTTATTCTTTCTTGTAAGAAAGTACAATTGTTGTCATTGTGTCTTCAGCAATACCACTACATAAATACTCCGGGTACGTATTTCATATGGAAAATCATATCTAAGAGATAACAAGAATTATTGTGTAAATTTTTTTTTAAAAAATTATTGTTTAAATTAAGTAATATTGTACGGAGTAATTAGATACATTAGGGGAAAAAAAGGAGTAACATATGAAGCATACAGTGGTGATTAATAAATTATGAACCTGGTCCTATTTACTTAATTTCACTTAAGTTCAGTTCAGTTAAACTCTAATTAGTTCAGTTCAGTTCAGCTCAGCTTCTAATTTTCCTCTCTCATTAAATATTCATTTCAGCTCAGTTCAGTAAATGTGAATAGGCCCTATATGTAAGACTTTGATCTTTTTTTACTTATTTTGAGGGCTTGTTCTCTTATGCTGAACTCAGCTAAGTTGAACTGAACCGAGCTAAGCTGAGCTGAACTGAAATGAATATTTCATAAGAGAAAGAAATTAAGAGCTGAACTGAAAATAAACGTATGAGAATATGCCCTGAGTGTGATTTAGGACCTGTTCTCATTGGCTGAAATGAGCTGAACTGAGTATATTAGAGATGAATTGAACTGAACTAAAATGAATATTATATAAGAGAAGGAAATTATGAGTTAAACTGAACTGTAAATAATCTGATGAGAATTGGGCCTTAGTCTAATTTAGCACATAATTTCAATTTAATTCAATTCATTTTAATTCATTACTTTATTCTATTTCGATTCAACTTAAAAGAACAAAATATGATTAACAAAATATGTTACTCAAGGGGTACTAATGGCTTTCCATATCTACCATTCAACTTTCCCTCTCATCACTCCTCTTCTACCTCAACCATCACAACCACCCCATCTTCACAGCCACCACCATCATCAATTTTCATCGCCACTGAACTCAAACTATCTACGAATCGTCGAACTCTTTCTGAAAAAATGACCTCTCTTTTTTTTTTCTTTTTTTTTTTTGACAGAAAAAAAAGACCTATTTAAAAATAAAAATAAACATTTAGCATTTTAATTACTACTTATACAGTTATACCATAACGAGTAATAATTGACCGTTATTTACCAAATTATTATACACAATCGCCTAATCAAATCAGTTTATATAACCTATTAGTATATCAATCAGTTATAGCTAATTTGCCAAGTAAGGCCTTAAAAAAAAAAAAAAAAAAAAAAAAAAAAAAAAAAAAACTCTAGAACCAAGGCAAAACAGGTGATGCGTAAAACAAGAGCTGAATTGAAGAGAGTATCTGTATCTGCATTTTTAAATGAGAAAGAAAATTTAGTAGTCCGTAAAAGGGAAGAAGTGAGAGTGCCTAGGTTGACGAGAAGAACCAAGACTCGAATATCGAACAACACAACAGATAACGTAACGGGTACGTGGTGTTGAGTGTTGACCTCCCAACCCACCTTTTATGCAGGCACCTATACGACAAAACCCACACTACACTCTCACTTCTACTCTTTTTCTATGCTATCTTCTCAAATTAATTCCTATTTATATTTTCAAAATATACTCCCAATGATACGGTAGCCTACTACTCACTCACTCACGTATAGAGGTGTCAATTCGGATGATTAGATAAAATCGATTGTGCTTTTGACACTTTTACTCACAAACACAAAGTGTGGTACCCTGTATAACTTCCACCTTGTTATGTTTGACATTTACATCCGTTATATGTTTCACTTTGACTACTATTTGTACTTTCGCTGTACTTTAATAGGTGTGCTAAGAGTAAAGTTGGATTACAAAAGATTAAGAGCTCTTATACTCGATTTAAGGTGGCAGATAGTACTCCGTAGACACTACTGTATTTCCCTACTAATTTAATTTCAAACTAGTTTTTATCAACCTTAACCCCTTTTTATACAAGTACTCAACTTTCATAAATTAATCCAGCCAGAACAAAAAGATAATCTTTCCCCGTGGATGGATAGAGAATGTACAGTTCGACCTCGTTACACCGAACCCTAAAGCCAAAAACAATCAAACTGAGGAGAACTCAAAGTCCAAATTCATCACAACCACAAACAAGATAACACAGATGCCAGTGCTGCTACTGCATGTAATATAACTCAGAGCTAAATTGTACATGTACCATGCAAAGACCATTAAGATTCCTTCAGCATATACATACAGATACAGTAGAGTTAATTACAGCAACTTCAAGTGCTCTTTGAAACATCACATCTTTCCTTGAATAACACCTGATATCAAAGCAAAATCAGAGAGCCCACACTCACAGACTCACAGTAATCATGATGAAGCCCCAAAAACCGATTACAGATTTCAACCACATCCCTCATCTTCTGTTTCTTGGCAATTATGTCATATTTGTCATCTGATCTTCATATACTTATTAACATATCATTCGGAACAAAATCACATTGTTTATAAATCGTGTCAATAGCAAGATTAAGTACTTGCTAAAGCTAGGATTTGAGAAAAAAATTTCAACTGGTACCAGAAAGTTCTGCCCACGAATTACAATGGACATTATTCACAAAATAATTTGACACCATTAATTTTTATTTTTTTTAATAAAGCACATATTCACAACCAGAAGTATCTAAATTAAACTTCCTTGATGACAAATTGATAATTCACAGCAAGTGCTTACATAAACATTATGCTTATTGAGATTTCTGTAGTCTGTACAGGGTTAGGCTCATCATTAGTGAACAGCATCATAACCTTCCGCTAAGATGAGAGCAAAGAATAGAATTGGGTCAAACTTGTCACCTTTTCATTGATGTACAAGAGGAATGCTCGAATAGAGAAGTAACGCATGTAAGGATGTTAATTGTTCCTGAAGAATCGAATTTGTAATTTTTTTCTCTTCTCTTTATGTAAATATTGTAGAAAGGCTTGGCCAGTACTCAGCAACACCTGGACCAGAAATTATGCAAGAAATCAGACACAGAGAGAGAACTAGCGCAGTGTTCTATGCAATAATATTCTACAGTGAAGCTCCTTCAAGAAAACTCATATTTGCGGCCAACTTTCAAACACAAGTATAGCATGTACAAACAAGATTGAAGAGCACCTCTTGAGACCTTGACCGAGGCTGTGTTTGGTTGGGAGGAAAATTATTTTTCTGGGTAACCAGTGTTCTCATTTCCTTTGGTCAGTAATTGGTGAAAATACTTTTGATTTACCTTTTGTATTGCCACATTTTACTACCCTTTACCTTACTTCTATCATCCCTCCCTCTTCCTTTCCACTCTAACCTTTCAATCAAAGAGCCAAACAAAGGAAAACGGAGTTAAAAATTGGGGTTTTACTTTCCATTGAAAATAAAATTTTGTTCAAAAAGCTTTCTTTTAAAACAAATATGGCTGTGAGCGTGTGAGTGTGAAACTAATAAAGATGAGTAACAAGAACAAGAATTAAGGTAGAGTACTCACGTCATCAAAGTTGGCGTTCAAAAGGAAAAAAGCCTCCTTTGCTCTTCTGAAGGATTCATCAACCATAGGCAGAAGATATATGCTGCCGCAATAACAGACAGGAGTGAAAGCATAGCTAGAAATCCAAAATGAGATACATCGTTTGCGATTATTGCTATGCCTAACATCACAAACTCAGCCAAACTGGCAACGGAGACCTCTGTCGTCCCAATAAGATTAGCTTTTGATGATGGGATTCCAGTTTGAAGAATCTGCTGGCCAATTACATCATATGACATGTGTCCTAGCCTTGATAAAACCTGCATATCAAAGCAGAATGGGAGATCAAAGAGAGAAAACATGACAACTAATAACAGGTGTGTATCAAACAATCTGCAACACTAAATGAAACCCTTCATCATCACCATAAGAAAGAAACACCTTTAAAAAAAAAAAAGAAACAATATATGCAGAAGACTAGATTGACAAGATTCATTGACAAGACGAGCATTTCAACAATCAAACCAAGGTAGATTGAGTTGTAAGATATACTTACGATTAGGAACAAGAAGAATAAGATGGGTGTCTGCTGAGAAAAATTTCCACTCCAGTAAACTGCAACTGCTAGAGCAAGAAGTGATGCCTGGAAAATTAACCCAACAGCCCCAGCCTGCAACAATTTTTTTTTTCTTGAGCATAAATCTCAAAATAATTTTAAATAAATGAGAGAAAATTTACAACAGCAGCAACCTTTAAGATACCAAGTTCTTCGATGAGTTTAGCAGATACAAATGTCGCTGCAACACCCATTAAAGCACATAATCCACTAAAAGCACCAATTATGGAGGAGTTAAGACCTGTTAAATACTCCAAAGTTAAACATTAGACATATACTTTTAATACAAAGATATAAATACTTGTGCACGTATGGGCAATGATGCAACGGAAGCAGGTAATCACAAATAAAACAGTTCTACCTCCAAAGACTAAATGCAAATGACCAGGTCGTCACTTTTTACAGCTAAAGGCCTATAGCTGTAACTAAGCAACTTGCAAAAGATAGTACTAGTTCCAGTTCAGACACAAAGCCCATTTCTTATTTATTAGCTTAATCAGATTATCAGAGTAGATTAATCTTTGAAGATATTAGATAAATAAAGGCAGGGAATGAGAGAGAGATCAAAAGTGTTCCAACTATAAATCAAAGGTAAGATAATTTATGTGTGCACCGTCCAAATATAAAATTTTGCGTCTTAATGACTGTGTCTTTGGTCTCTTTGAAATGTTTCTGGTACTTAAGAAGTGTACAAAAAATAATTCTGAAAGATATAGTCAATAGCATGTTACACTAGACATTCATTAGACTCCACATCAATGCTACATAGAGAAAGTGCCATCATGTTTGCATGGGTAATATAAATGCATGGAAACTTTATATAAGAAGCCAAAGCATACCACGCTGAGTCAAAAATGCAGTCATCAAACCACCAGGGGTGAGAACAATGTTGAAATACAGAAATACATAGGCTACGCTTGCAGGAAGAACAGGCTGCTGTATATACTCGGACCACCCATGTTTGATAGCATTTATACCTAAACTCACTGTAAAACACAGATAAACACTCAGCTAATGTTAATATTGGGAATAAAGTAAAAAACAATTCTTAAAATGCTATAACATAACCAAATATGCTTTGAGAGATCAATAAAGTTCACCTATATTCTCATTATCTTCCAGGGTTAATCGAGTATTACAGTCAGAACAGGTCTGCGGACACTTAGCACGGTCAAGAACACCAGTAGAAACCATGTTGGTAAACCAAGTAAGAGCAACCTAAACACCATCATATGCATACAAAGAGAGAACAGAGGTTAATAGATGGTATGGAACAGCTGAACATTATAAAGATTGAAGAGGACGGATTACTTACTGTAAGTGGCAAACCCCAGATCATAAAACCAGCAGCGAGTTTCAAACAGGTTACAGGGTCATTTTTAGACAGAAGAATACCGAATAGAGAAGCACCTGCAATCTGCAAGTATACAAAATACTGTAAAATCCGCAAAGATGTTTCAGATTTGTAATATGTACTTGTGAGTGAATGATAGCAGAAACAACATGTAAATAGGAACAAATCCAGAAGAAATTCAGGGTGATCACCCAGCTGCTTAGAAATACACCACAAAGACCAAAGCTTAATGCACAAGAAAATAATATATTACCTCACAGAGAAGATCAATTCGGTTGATAACAGCATTGGCCTGCGCAAGTGCAATAGGCCTATTGGTCCCAGCTAGCTGCAAAAGACAAAATGCCTACTTCAGAGGATAGAATTCCTAGGGAAAAAGAAAGTAACAGTATCCAGGATGTTAACAAACAGAATTACCAGTACAAGCCAGTCACGTTCCATGGCAACACCCAAAGCTAATCCACATAGTCGCTCAATTGCACCCGCTATAACAAGAATAACAAACCAAGGGCGAACTAGGATTGTTGACACGGAAGCAGACCGAACTTTATGAGCATATATTATCATTGCCACAGACATCAGCTGGGTAGTTACCTGGCATATACAGTGAATCTTAGAGAGATGAAAAAGCGATGCAGAATGGCATATAGATACAGAAAGAATAATACCTGGACAATACTTAGACAATTATATGCCTGTACTCTAGGGAAATGATCCATAAGTTTTCCAACTAATGGTCCTCCAAGAATAACTGCAAACTGTTCACAATGAAATTCACTTAAGAGTCAGAACCACATCTACAACAAAATAGCATGTTAAAAAATTCAACTAGTTTCTGTTCTTTCAAAGGAAAAGGCCACCTTAGTGAAAAAGCTCACGACTGCAACAGGAAGAAGGCTTGGATGGATCAGTGCAATGGCAGCAGGCCAAGCAAAATTCCATAGTTGTTCCACAAAATTCCCTACTAAACAATTGGCATATAAAGCTGAAACAAGCAAATAACAGAAGTTAGCAACTATCATAATAAGAACTGCAATAGGTTATGTTCAAATTCAGTGACCTTTTCTGCAATCATATAATCCTATAGTAAGACAATCACATAATAAGACCCCATAACTAAGGTTGCTCTATACATGAGCACTATTATAAAAATTTGTATTTCTTAAGAGTAAATAATTGATAATTCTTCTGCATGCAATCGAATATCATTGTAATTGCACATTATAGGCTAGGTTAATAAAAAATTTCATACTTTGCCAAGTTGAACAGGAGATACAAGAGAACAAAAGTACCATTATAAAATTCAATAATCACAGTATATGATCATCGGAACACTTTATTGACATAGCACTTTTGTGTGCAAATTGCTTAAACAGATAAACCAAGAGTTAATACATGCAGGATACCAATTATTCTTAAATAGGAATGCATCTTTTACCATACAAGCCAGCAGGATGAGCAGGGGTAGCAGCAAGGACATTCTGTTCTTCCTCAGATAAAACCTGAGCACATTCATCAGATACTTGACATAAATAAAAGCATGAGCACAATAGACACTAATTATGTTAAAAACTACTGCCTTGCAAAAAACTTACTGGCAATGCAGTCAAAACGTTATCAACGTAACTTCTATCACTCAATATATTTAAAGACTCAGCCTCAAGAATTTCAGAAAAATTAGAAGCAGACGATGAAAAATCCTCAGTATCTTCATCAGAAACAACGTTATCCAGAAGTAGATCAGTATCTATCATTGAACATCTTGCACAAAAATTATCAACCCTGCAACCAGGAAAACATAATTTAAGCGATTCCCTCGAACTATTTTGGATAAATTAAAAAGGGAGGAGGGGGGGGGGGGAATGTTGACAGATTTAGTATATTCTGAATCTGCAACTTCTTGTTGGGAATTAGGTATTTAAGACAACATGACCAATCAAACAATATAGTGATGGCAGGAAAAAAAAAAAAAGTTATATAGTGGAAAACTTAATCCACTTCAACTTATATTATCAGCCACAAGTAATACAATCACCCTAGTGAAAAGTAAGTTGTGATATGCAATAAACTCTCCGTGGCTTCTAGTAGAGAACTTTCAGACACTCAAATTGATGAGAAGTCTCACCAATCTTTCCACATGCTAGGTAGCTCCTACTAGAGCACTCACACTTCCAAATGGAATTTCACACTATGCACAATCTATTAATGAGCTTATTAGTCCCTACTTAAAGGACCACAACCTTCCTCAACTTAAAACAAATCAATGAAATAGCCAATTACCTATGATTGTTCAAATTAAATGCAACTTTTTAAGCTATCTACCAACTCCCAGAACTGCACTAAACAATCGTAACACACTTTAAATTAAATCTTCCCAATTACTTTAACAATTTACTTTGAGACTCATGATCAATAATTTTGCAAGTCATCCACCATATCTGATTTCCTATCCTTGTCACACTTACAAGATCTTAGGTACATAGCTGTTTACTATTGTTCTCATCAACTTCTACATGCCCCTAATGAGATGCTCAATATCATCCCGACCAAAAGTCATAATCTTTATAGCTTGGTTTCTATTTTTGAAAACTTGGATCTTTCATAGACATAAGCACCATAATTGATCAAGTATACATTCTCAACATTTGAAAACGGCATTATATTACTTCTCCTATAAATCATTATATACGGCTTAATCAAGGCTATTTTTTTGCCCATTTACAGATGTACTCAGTACTCACAATGTCACAAGGTACAAGCAGAAGGAGTGCAACATAGCCATAGCTAGTAGGTAGTACCATGCTCAAAGTACAACCGATTGTACATAGAAAATTGCCACTTAATCCACATTACCTTAACTTCCTTTCTTCACTTGAAATAACAGTATAAGTTATCAAGCATACATAAATGCATTCTCAACATTCTAAAAAGAATTATTATAACTTTTCCTAAAATTATAATTATACATAGCTTAGTCTACATCACCTTTACCCCTTTTATTACTCAACCAAAATTAATCCTAATTCTTTTAGTTACTATTGTCAAAAATAAAATAAAAAAATCCTAATCAACTATAAGCCCATCATATTATGGTAATTCACACATATCCAAAAACTTAATCATCAGAATTCAGTTCATCTTTCAGAGTTCTACCCACTCATTTATCAGTTTCTCACAATACATAAAATAAATTCAATAAACCAACTTCATTTCAATAAAACCCCACCAAATTCAAACAATTATTATCCAAAAAAAAAATAGTTTATCAAAGTAAATTCCAGCTTACCTCAGAGGAGGGAGAAGAGGGTAGGAAGCATTCAACCGTCGACGAGAAGAGAAGCGATTGTGTATTCGAGAAGACGGCGGCAAGCGCGAACATGAAGAAGAATTCCAACGAGGAGGAGAGAGAAAATGGTAATGATATTGAGGCGTTGAAGAAAATGGCAGCAACTGAGCAACAATAACCCCACCACCCGCCATTGTTGAAGTAGAAGAAGCTTTCCTCTTTCTTTCTTCTTCAAGTACCCCAACAAGAAATCCTCTCCCCTAAGGTGCTTAACCATGCAGACCCCAGAATTCCAACTTCAATTTTCTTCAATACCCACTAAAATTAGTGACCAAGATTGGGTTTTTCGATTGAGTTTGAGTGATAAAATGGGAATTTTTTCTGGGTTTCTGTGGATGATATAGTGGTTAAGTGTTCAAGTATTTCAGCGCTGTTTTTTTTCTGAGAAAAATTTGTGGTATTTTGAAGAGAAATTTGGAAAGTGGGAAGATTAAATTGGGAGTGTTTCTTATCTAGAAGAGTAGGAAAAGGAGGAGAATATTTGAAGTTTGGAGCATGGGTGGTGGACTGGTGGTAGATAGGTATGACAAATCGATTATATTTGGGGCCACCCAAGTGCCAACTTGTTTAAGTTGCAATACTTGCAACTGCTCCGAGACAAATGGCAATTTCTTAGAAACGATTTACGTAACGCAACTCTAATGGTATATACGGAGTATAAGAAGTTTGAACATTAAACAAAACACAACTATGTAAAACATAATATATGAGATTCAATACAATCAATTTATCAAAGTCTCTAGAAGAAAGGTATCTAACATGACCAACTACTAGTTAATGCACAGTATCATCTAATGAATATGAAGTACTTTCCTACTTTATAAAAAGTAAAATCTTGCTCTTATTAATAGTGTTGTGACAATTATAACCCAAAAATGTGTATTTACGCATTTGCCCCCATTTAATATTACAAGATTTTTTTTTAATACTATATATAATCTCTCTGTTATTACGTACTTTTAAATCTTCCCATTCAATCGGTTGAATTATTGGTTTCAAGTTTCAACCACAAAGTCACTGACTATCTTCAAAGGTATTTTTCAATTTTAATTTCAATTGTTTTATAAGGTTTTGATTGATTTTAGATTTTAAGATATTATCCTTTTTAAGTTTTAGGGTCTGGGTATTCATCTATTTTTCTTAACTTTGATTGGGTTTTGAAAGAAAAAAATATAGTAGATAATTAAAGTGAATGGAGAACCAGAAACACTATAAGCGAGGGAAATATACCAACTTCCGAGCACTATCCCATGGAATCCCCTCATGTCTCTTTCTATTCTTTCAATTTGATCATTTCATGAATATTTGTCAGTGACTTTGTGGTTTGTCCAGTTAAGCACTACCACAAATCTGATCAAAAGGTACTTTAATTCTATATGATTTTTTAGGATTTTTATTTATGATCTTTAGATTGTACTTTGGTTTTGATTTTGGGGATTGTAGAATTTTACAAAGGTGGCTTTCAACATTGCTATTAGATTCGTTGTTATGAGATGCAAAGGACATCTAAATTTTGATTATAATTTTGGGATTAAGAGCGTAAAATGAGAGTCCACAACTTTAAAAGATGCAATTTTTCAAGGTACATGTTTTTTAAAGGGAGTAGAATGCCTTTGTGCTTAGGCTCTGGATGTATATTCTATATTTGAAGGAAAGGAGGTGTGAGTAGTTCTCTTATCAATCATAACCTACCTTAAAGGTTTATTGTTACTTGTTAGAAGAGAAGATACCACTTTTCTTGTGAGATTCTGATATGATGCATCCTAATAATGCTATACGCTCTGCATCTAATGAGTATCAACTTAATGATTTAATGTATTTTTTTGTATTGTTGAGTTGAATTAAGCTGAGCTCAAGCTTGCCTGCATTGGATAACTCAGCTCTTCTTACATTGGGTTTAATTACAGAGTATTACAAAATTAAAAATAAAGCCCCTGGACCAATATACAAAGAGAGAGGAAAAAAAAAAAAGAAGCTAATCCATATTTTATTATTTTGGATTTTTACATTAGGTTCAAGCTACCAAACTTTATATTAGATGATCATATTAGATTTTACAACAATACTAAGTATAAATGTACGTTGCATTGGATTTGAGCAAAATCCAAACTCAAAACTAAAATCTAACACCTAAGAGTCCTAATTTAACTACTCATAGGGTACCCATGAACAAATTGATGCAAAATTTCATTATTCCTGTGTTTGTTTCTCTTTGTTTTTCAGCTTGTAATATGTATCAAAATTTAATTCTAGAGAACCATCTAGACTCTATAAGAAAAGCATGTAAATGCTTTTTTTTTTACTCTTTAAAATACATAAGAAAAGGTTAAGGATATATGATTTTGAACTTAATAGTCGATTATTACTCTTTCTAAAGGTTCATCGTATTAATTCTTACCAATTTCAAGGTATTTAAAAATTGCATAAGACATTTTACGTGCAAAATGCTTACTAATCATAACTATGTACAAACTAAAATCTTAAGTACAAAGACAAGCCTTGATAACTTCTTCGCATTGGCTAGCCATGTCGCGCGCGTTGGCCACCCTAGTATTATTAAGTATCTAAAACAAAGATATAACGATAAATCTTGAAGATCGAAATACATATCAAAGGGTTGTTAGCCTAAAAGGCTAGTATCAAAGGCCAAGCTTTGCTTATATCTTACTAATTAATTTACTACATGTACTTCAATTTTTAGCAAAAAAGGATATGTTTAAAAATATAATCCATAGTTGCTAACTTGCTACATATAATTGACAAAACAAAAAATTTAATAATTTATTAATGTAATTTGTAATAATTTACAAATGAAAATAACAAACTTAAATACACTTGCAAATCAAAATCAAAAGAAATAAAAGAAACAAAAAAATCATACAACAATCTCACTCCAATCCAAAAAGAATCAAGAATATCCCTTTATCAAAATCTATCAATTAATAACCCTACAATTCTTTCTAACTTCACCCTCAAGGCCACTTAGAACTTCAATAGAACCCATATGAACCATAGCTTTACCAAACTTATTAGCCCAAACATTGCCTTGCCAACCGAAGTTCTTCACCACACTCACAATCCTAGGGTTAGTCATAAGAGTTTGATCGGAGGTGAATAATCCCCTTTTGTTTTGCAGATTTTGATAATATTTGTTGTCCAATCTATTAGGTGTGATTAAGTCTTGAAAGACGGTATGATCAACATTGTTAGGAGGATTTTTAGGACACTTGGATTTCAACATACTAGCAAATCTAGGATCCATTGAAGGGTCTTGTGGGTTTGTAGCATTGAAGGTGTAAAGTCTTTTGGTGAAAGAAGAACAATGTGAGACTCCAATAGAGTGTGCCCCGGAAAGGGTGACCATTTCCTCTACGGAAAGCCCTTTTCGTTCAAAGCTTTTTTGAAGTTGTTGTAAGTTGAAAAAAGGTGCAGGTAGGTTTTGGTTCGGGTCATTTTTAAGAGAGACTCTCCCATCACGTCGACCTGATTGTACATCATAGTTAATCCCTCCTAGCTTGAAGGCGGTGTCACGTGCTGCAAAGGCTATGATATCTGCACAAGAGACAGTTTGTGGGCATCTAGCTTCAAGTTGTTTCTTTGCCTCATCAATTACATCATACCCCTGCATACTCGGGTTGTTTGCTACATTGTCTTTTTCAGCTGGGTTCCCCGGTGTTGAATCAAGTAAGATCGAAGCATCACAACCCTGAAAATTATCATACGAGGAAATAGATTGGGGTGTTAAGTTAAAGCATGGAAAGGTGTAAAGATTAAAATAGCCATAATAATGAATGCAACAATCATTTTCAGGCATTAATCCAAAAATATGATATTCTTTCATGTACATAATAATACGTACCCTAACAAAACAATCATGGAAATGCATCCTGATAAGCCCAGCTCCTAAGTTAGGATTCCTTGCAATCGCATTGTTAACTACATTCCTCACAATTGCCTCTGCCGAGGGACAAGTCCGTTGATAAAATCCCACCTTTAGGGACAACGACGAGGCAGAAGTAGTATACACACATGCCATGGAAACAAGCACGAACATGCAAAGAATCAAACTCGTCAACATATTCACTCACAGAAGCAAAAAGATTCACTCAGGCTTACTATGATGTAATTTCTTTGCTAAGGAGTTTTCGTATACTCGATTTTCGTGTTAAAGATGTAGGAAATAAGGATGAAGAGAAATGGAGGAAGAGATGCAGTTTATATAGCTATGTAAGCGTATGTATGTGTGGTTATGGAGTGGTTGGATAAATGTATAATAACTAATAATAAGAGGATGATGAAAATAAAACGTGCAGCCACCAAGCTAAGTAGCTTTATGCAGTCTTAGTTTGAAGCTTTGAATAGTTCCATGCAATCTTACTACTGTCTTAGCCATCAGCCACCAGCCACCAGCTTCGTGGTTTCTTCAGCTTCACAAATTGGAGTGCTAAAGGTAATATTAATAATTCTTAATTAGTGTTAGACGCTTTATTAACATATATAGTGATTGTATATTACACGGCAAATTTGAACATGAGATGATTCAGATGAAGCTAATTTTGTCATATGACTCATGTTTTTTAATAACCTTAAAAAATAAAAAAAAAAAAAAAAAAAAAAAAAAAAACTAGTGAGTATCCCGAATTACTTCAAGTAATTTTTAATCTAGTGAAAAAAAAAATTGCCTTCATGAGGATAATATAAATAAATAAATAAAAATAAAAGCATGATATTTGGTGAAAACAATGTGAAAAGTTTGAGAATGGAATAAAATAACTTAAATTAATGTAAAAATCTTGTCCATGTTAAGTTCTCGCTTTTGACTTTTGAAAGGTCATGTTTTATTACGTAACACACTTTTACCATCGTATTGTTTTGCTAATTTCGAGTTTAATTCGGACCCTTAAAAGCTAATATGACACCTAAAACCTTAACCGAATATTTTTCAACACGTAAACCGATGAAAAAGTTGAATCAAGCTGTAATTTACAATTTATAAGAACATTTGGGCTGCAATTTGCAAATATTTTTTAAATGGCTGCAATTTACAAATTTTCTTTTTCATTGTCACCATAATCTAATCAGTGGATGGATCATATGTTAGCAATTCCTTACCTCCTGCAATTCTACAAAGCCTGAAATTGATGGAGAAAAAGTATCAATCTCATACACAGCCAAAGCTCTAGCACATCATCTCGGTATCTTCCTGGACAAATAAAGATGTGTAATTTCCAGACCATGCAATCTCAGCAATTATATTGGTTCAGTGATAAATAAAGGTCTCCCGTAAAATAAAGATAATAGTAACACTCATCTTACATTCTTACCAAACTTTACAATGGCGTGAATAGTGAAGCCCACACATTAGCAATGCTAATTAGAGGGGGGGGGGGGGGAAATAAGCCTTGCAGTTTTAAGTATCCTAGTACATACTCTGCATTCTGCAATGTGAAAACAAAATGAAAAGGAGAGAGCCACATTCTATCGTACCTATATATCCTTCAATGAGAGCAACGACAATTGTTCTTCAACTGAGGAGTCTATGTGACAAGAGATCCGACATGATGAAGGGATGAGAATAAGACCAAGACCACGTTGTTCCATAGGTGATGGAGATGATCGTCTAACACTTCGAAACTCTACTGCATCTTGCAGAATTATGTTGCCTTGCTTATCCATGCAGTGAAAGTTACCCATGAAAAAACGTCCATCATTCACACCCACCAGCATTCGACGAAACAGCAACTTTCTCACTTTGTCAATGGCACTTAGTTTGCTAGAATTTGAATGACATTCATCTGACAAACCCTCCAGAGACAGGGATGTTCCTGATTCTCGTTCAAATTCCATATCCAATCACCAAGCTCTTGTCCCGAAGCAAGATCAGCCACCCTAGTAGAATTGGCAGACTTCAGGTATGTCCCCAACTTAACTTCCCTCTACTGCCCAAAGCAGGATTTTATTTATAAAAAAAAAAAAATCAGCAACTATACTACGGAGTATCATTTAAGATGGATGTGATTCTAAAGGAAGAATACTGCAAAAGCTTAAAATACCACTATTTTTGCAATTCAATATATGAGTAAAATTAATATAATACGTTCAAAAAACAAGCCAGTAGTATAAATGCGTTATATAATTAAAGAATTTCAAAAGCTTAATATGATCGTATCATTTCAGATGTCACTGTCAAAATCACAACTATATTCCAATCTTCCCCAGAGCAGGTATACTCTGTAGCAAGCATAATCTCTCATATCTGCTTAAACATATTATAAAAGTTTTATGTGATGTAATGCATCATTAACACCCAAGTCCTTATCACTAGACTCCAATTAGAATTGGAAGCAGAGAGTAGACACCAGTGTAGTGACAAATTCTGAGACAGCAAGAATCTTCAGTTGTATACCTCATTTACATGGTGAGATGCTTCATTACCTTCTTAGTCCTTCACTGCTAATAACTAATTATTCGAAGCGACTAAAAATTTCTTCAATCCTACTAAGAGTCTAAGACAGCATTACCATTGAAAACTGAGACAGGACACCACTACTGACTAATCCTGAGACATCAAGTTTCTACAATCCTACCTGCTTTTACATGGTGTGATGCCTCATTAACCTCTTAATCCTTGTCAAAAAAAGGTCCAATTAGAATTTAAAATGAAATAAGTAAGCTAGTGACTAAACATTCAAAGTGACAAAATTTTCTTTAATATTGCTAAGACACCATTGGTTTTTGACCATTCGCTATGATTAGAGTTATTGTAATTCTAGTTTTAGTTTTTACACATACTAACAGACTGACAATTAACCCCTTTAAACCATTAATAATCTTGTTAGTTCTTGGGGACAAGGTGTTCTTACAGGCTTACAGCATTACGTAATGGTTATGTTACGAGTACATCTTATGTTATAGCCTATGATTCTACGATCAACCCAGAACCAATTATTATCCCCTGCAGAACAAACCTCTCTTCAGAATACAGTCATACACGCACCAGTTATCACCAAGCATTGCTATTACAAGTACTAGTTTGGTACAAGGGAATCAAACAAACCATACCTCTCAACTAGACAAACAAGAATAAGAAAGAATATATGAATCCCGGAGCACAAACACGAGTATTGATCAAATCCAGCTAATTCAATTGTCAATTACACAGAGAACAAAACCTACATACAGCCTCCTAAGGCAATGCAGTTGACTAACACATGAACAATCATCAAATTCCCAAAAGACAATGTTCTTTGCTTGCCAATTGTATAATTTGTATTCATTCTTGAAAGTTTAATAGCTAGATATCCCAACAACAATTAGCTCAAGGGCATAACAAAAAAAAAAAAAAAAAAAAAACAAGATTCAATCAATTTATCAATCTAACAAATTTAACCCCCAATAAAAAAAAAATCAGAAAGTAATATGTTCCAATTAGCGAAAATCAATTTGGTAAAAATAAGTAATAATCAGAATTAATAATGACGAATTCTTCTTGCAACCAATTTTGCAAATTGAATTATTCTCGCTTAATTATTTGATTAGCAAAATTGTAAAGCGATGTTATAATGTTCCAGAAATTAAATTATAAGCAATAGTTCAATAATCAGTCCACCTTAGAAGAACCCTAAATTGAATTAAATTGAATTGACGATTAATCGTAAATTATGAAATAGATATTCGATAATTAAAAATAAAAATAATAAAACATCTTACCTCACAAAGCTGCTTCAATGGAGGAGGTAGATTCAACAACACAAACAACAGAAAACGTTCTGTATTTTCTCTGCGTATTGCTCACAAGGAAGAACTTTGTATGTGTAGACAAAGTGTTATAAAATAGCGGCCCAAAGCCCCAAATTGAGTAATAGTGTCGGCCCAAATTAAGTAAGGTTCTACAGTGTGTGGAAGTCGTGCTCTGCTCTATTGAAATCTGCTTCACAGTGTTTAGAAGCTCAAAAAAACAAGGCCTAATTTGTACGTTACTTTCCACTCCTCTTTGGCTCTTTTCGTTTTCTAATAAGTGCTCCATTTTAAAAGATACTAGCCATTATCCTACGGTTGAAATTGATGCTTCCTCAAGCTCTCATTCCAGCCATGATGATCAAGATCATGATGACAGTTCTTCGATTACCACTGATTTAAGCCAGCCACAAAGCCCCCATCAACAATCAGATTACAATCTGATAAGGGATCGTTCAAAAAGGCCTATTATAAGGTCATCAATATACTCTGGAGATGAATATGTGCTTTCGTACGCACTATCAGCTGGTGAAGAAACTGCAGTTAGAAAGTTGTCATCCTCTTATTTAGTAGTCATCTCTAGTTCCGATTCCTCTAAATGGCTTGTAGAAATGAACGAGGAGATGGAAAATCTCCATATGAATGGCACATGGGACTTAGTCGAGCTACCGAAAGGCCAAAAAATAATTACTTGCAAATGGATCTGCAAGCAAAAAGAAGCAAATGGATCTACAAGCAAAAAGAAGGCATTCCAAGAGTTAAACCTGCAAGATTGAAGGCATGCCTTGTTGTCAACCATTACAAGAAGGTATTGACTTAAATGAGATTTTCTCTCCTGTTGTTCGTCATACCTCTATTCGAGTCCTTCTTGTAATGGTTGCTATGTTTGACATGGAGTTGGAACAACTCGATGTCAAAATTGCCTTTTTACATGGAGATCTTGAAGAAGAAATTTCTATAAAAGCAACCCAAGATATTTGTCGCTCCCGGAAAGGAAAATCATGTCTGTCGCTTAAAGAAATCCTTATACGATCTCAAGCAAGCTAAGCCCCGAGACAGCGGTACGGTATAAGAGATTTGACTCATTTATGAGTAAACAAGGCTACATACGTAGTCACTACGATAATTTGTCTACTTTTGACAGTACGATGGAGTCTATATTTATCTGTCTTTATATATGGATGATATGCTCATAGCATCCCAAGATAAGGCATTGATCGATAAATTGAAGTCTCAACTTCACAAGGAGTTTGATATGAAAGATCGATCTTGGTGCAGCTAAGAAAATTCTCGACATGGAGATACATCGAGATCCACGGGCTGGTAAGTTATTCTTATTTCGGAAAAGTTATATCAAGAAATTCTTGATTGCTTTAATATGAGTAATTGTAAGCCTGTCTCTACCCCACTTGTTGCACATTTTAAGTTGTCATCTGCATCTTGTCCACAAACGGAGGAAGAAAAGGAGAAAATGGCTAGCATTCCTTATGTTGGTGTTGTAAAATGGATATTTCGGTACCTAAAAGGTACTGTAGATGAGGGGTTGATAATTGATAAGAACTTAACAACTACTACTAATGTTGTTGGGTTCGTTGACTCTGACTATGGTGGCGATCTTGACCGTCGAAGGTCTATCTCCGGTTATATCTTCACTCTCGGTTCGGAAGCAATAAGTTGGAAGGCTCAATTACAACCAATAACTGCTCTTTCCACTACTGAGGCAGAGTATGTCGCAGAACTGAAGGTATAAAGGAGGCTGGATGGTTGCGAGGTCTTGTTATGGATCTTGGCATACCACAAGGTGTCACCGTGGTATACTGTGATAGCCAAAGTGCTATCTTTCTCACCAAGAATGATGCTTACCATTTCAAGACCAAGCACATCGCCGTCAAATACTACTATGTCAGTGGTTAACAAGGTACATACTTCAAAAAATCCTGCGGATATGCTCACAAAGCCACTTCCTACCACTAAGTTCGATCATTGCTTAGACTTGGTGGGAAATCATTGTTGCTAGATCTTTATTGGGCTCCTACGACAAGTTATCTACAGAATTTGTTCCAAGGTAGAGATTGTTAAAGTTGGCCCAAATTCTTACAAGCTCATTAAGGAATATATATAGAATTTGCTAGAAAATTCTAGCAAATAAATCTAGCTACCACCTAATACTAGAAGTCAAATTAAAGGACTAATCTAGAGATTTCCACTATGTCGGTGGAATTGGTAGAAAATTCCATTGAAAAATCTTGGCGTTGATCACAGACATATACATCCTATAACTATGATGCTATGGCCATCATTTACACGATCAACCCAAGATAAAAGCCATACTGACTAAAAGCCTTCTACTACAAAGTCTTTCCACCTTATTAGTTCCTTTATACCTAAATTTCCACCTTGTAATATAATTCACTATTGTTCTAATACTCCCTTGTGTTCACTTATTATTGTGAGTGGAACTATTTTCATTGCTCGTGTGTCTATTCGATATTGCTTATTTTGCATTAAGTAATTTTGTTCCAATCAACCCTAACAATGCCAACAATTTGTAACTACAATTTCAGCAAAGTTAATTCAAAATCAATCACAAAATTTAACGGAAACCCCAATTCAATACTACTAGATAACCTGAATTAAAGAATAACAATAAACATTATAAACAAAAATAAAAGGTTGAAGAGTACGAATAATTTGCAGAAAGATGGCGTAACATTAGCTGGATCGGTAGCAGCTATGGAAGAAAAAAGGGTTGCCAATACGAGCACAAGTAAAGCAAGATTCAAACAATGCATCCTAATCACCATCTTCAATTATCACTGAAAACCGAAGTCAAGAAAACATCATAAAAAACCTTCATAAAATTGAAACTCTAAATTAAAACAGAGTTTCAGTAGTATAAAAGGTAAGTAGAAATCCGGAATTCCAAAGCATGAATTAAACTAGCTTGAATTTAAATAAGTAGAAAATCACTATAATAACACGCTTTTCATCAAAAATTCAAGAATGAACATAAATTCAACACAGAACAAACTTACAAAAATTAGAGTTCGAATTATCAAGAAACACACATAAATAACTCAAAATAGGCATAAATCCGGCATTAACAATCAGATATGACTATAAACATGAAGAATAAAGATTAACATCGTATTTGCCAGGCCAATTTTGTTTACGTGTCAGTTAAATTATTTTATTCTAAAAGAAATTAATAATCTCGTATTTAATGAGTTACCACTAAAATTTATTATACATGGCGCGCTGAAAAAACTAAATCCTACGTGGCTCTCTAAAAACTCGGGAAAAAAAACTCCCCTGAATTACTTTGTAAGAATGTTTTTGTTATCAAAAAGATTTTAAGGTTGATTGTAAGTGTGATCATGTGGTTTATAATATCTTGAGGTTATGAGATATATATATGAATTGATTTAACTTATTTTACTAATGATTATTTAAGTAAAAATTATAAACTACGAGTACTCCATAATATTTGATAGAACATTAAGTTTTGGGTTTGCATAAGTTAGTTGAAGCCTCTCTCCCTAAAGAATTTCATACCCTAAAGGGCCCCTCATTGTGAGATTCAAATTTTATAACCATGTATGTCAAACCTTGCTTAATACGAATTACAATACGACAATAAGAATATAGTTTTAATGCCATATAATTGAAAATTGATGACAATTATTCTTTGATGGACAACCCATAGGAAAATCAATGATAGATGATTATATATGACTATATGAGAAGATATATAACTCAAACAATATAGTGAAAACAAATTATTATAACAACACAATAGTAGAAATTATAACTTTCACCATAATCTTTTATTAATATTAATTATTTCAATAAAATAGTAATAGCATAATTATTTGGTTTTAATGTTGATAGTACCATCTTCAATGTAAAATACAACCTTGGAATCAACCTTAAGTCCCCTATCTTGAACAAAGTCTTCACACTCATTCCCTTGCAAAAAACATTGAGACCTATTATAATGTCCTCCTTTTACCAAAAGCATTTCATAATCATTACCAGTTTCTATGTCATGCACATCCACTTCAGTTGATCCACTCGAATCCATTTCTTGCTGTTGACTTTGACTTAACTTATCATGCAAATGATACACATAATCGTATTGTGGAAATGCAAACCTTTTACTTTCACCACCTTTGTACGTTGCACTAATCATAATAGGCATGATCAATATAATTTATGTTTATTTTATTTTACTTTATGTTGTGTATTATTATGCTCTAATTCATAAGAATTAAACTCTATTTATAAGAGAAAATGCATACATGCATGCATATTAAGATCTACTTATTAAAAGTTTTCCAAATTAAACTCTATTTATAAGAGAAAATCATATTAAGATCTACTTATTAAAAGTTTTCCAAATTAAACTCTATTTATAAGAGAAAATGCATGCATGCATGCATATTAAGATCTACTTATTAAAAGTTTCCCATGCTTAGGGTCTGCTCACATTTACTTAATTACAGTTCAGTTCAATTCAGTTCAGTCTAGTTCAGTTCAGCTCCTGATTTCCCTCTCTCATAAAATATTCATTTCACCTTAGTTCAGGTCAGTTCAGTTCAATTTAGCTCCAATCAGTCCAGTTCAGTTCAGCTCCAATCAGTTCAGTTCAGCTCAGTTCAGTAAATGTGTTTTGGCCCTTAATCAAATTATTTTAGTTATATTTTTTATTACAATCTACAAAGTATATCATCCTTGGTATACTAAATTATTGAATACAACTATTTACGTATTTACATGAGAAGATCTTGAGGTATATGAAGACGAATCTGGTTATATGATGATGATCATGTATTCTAATTTTCCATTAACTTACTAATAGAGAATATACGTAGAATATTCTCTTTGTATATTTAGAATATATTTTGTAAAAGAATAATGTTGTCATATATATCTTAGATGTCTTTAACTTCGTATATATGGTAATTGCCTAATATACTATTTAGGATTCTCATCGTTACCTTATCTATACTTAGTATTTAAAAACTATAACCAAGAAACTAAGGGTTTGTTTGACATTAGTTTTGGTTTTCAGTTTCCTGTTTTTTTTTAAAACCAAAAATAAAGAACAGGAAACAAGAAAAAGTTGTTTTCACTTTTCTGTTGTCAGTTTTCAAAATTATCATAATTTTAATAACTTTATATAATTTTTGATTCATTATGGAACACATATCATATACTTTTAGAAAACAAAAAATCAAAAAAACTGAAAATCACAGCAATGCCAAATGAACCCTAAGAAAGACACGTGTCCTCATCCAATCTATTACACTTCTCTAACCATAGTGCCACATGTCATCTTACACTATTAATTTTTTATTACACCTTTTTTTTTAATTCTTTCATTAAACTTATAGTTCATCTTTCATACACTCTTCATCTTCATCTCTCCCCTTTAATCAAACCGTTTCCTATTCTCTCTTTAATTTTAGCCCTTCTACCTTCTATTTAAGCCTCTTTTTTGATTAAAGTTTCAAAATTTTAATTTCTTTAATCATGTTTCCGATTACATATTATACCCTATAATGATAATTGATATTTCGTCACTTATCTCTCAATACAATTTTATATGAATAACCCGTACCTTGCACGGGCCATAAGGCTAGTTATTATTGATCAATATTACCATTATTTTAGTAAAATACATTATTATTTGAGATATATATATATATATATATATATATATATTTATTTATTTATTTTTGGATTCTATTTCCATGTCAAACGTGTAATGAACTTACTCTAAGCGTACCATTTTCATGGTAGCCCGGCCCATACATAAAACATAACTCTATGTTATAATTCATTGATTCCCTACTTTGCAGGGGATTTTTTTTATTTTTTTAAAAAAAAATAAAAAAATTCTAGCACTACCTATGGACAGTAGCCGCTGATCGAGGCAGCAAATTGAAGAATTCTAATTCCTTTCAAACAAAAAATAAAAAAATAAATGAAGATTTCTAATTTGGGTTTGAGAGAATACATAGGAGAACACGGAGGCCAAAACATGATTAACGAATCATAATTTTCAAATCTATATGGCTAAGCCTTATCTTTGAATCGTAACATTTATAATTATTGATCATAAAGGTTGTTTAGCAATCCACCCGTCTTGGTTGATAAAAATTTGTGTATCGTATTGCTTAACTGTAGAATAATCCAACTTCTTTTCCCATGAAACACGTTTTGCAATATCAGCTCCTGGACCCGTACAATTAACTTCAACAAAGATCACATCATTTCTGCATTTAATACAACACCATATAAATTTTCAAGTCATAAACTCGACTGTTTTAGCACTCCTTAGTTGTTTAAACTCAAAAAGACAAAATAATATCATACCTAGTATGTAAAATTGATTATGTATGACCTGGCCTAATTTAACCTAGGTTTGGGTTGCTTTACTCAAATATCATTTTTTAAAAACATGTATGGTGAAAGAGATTGATTATTAGAATAACTTACTCGTGCCCACTTTGGTTCCAAATATCCCATCCTTTGGGATTAACAACTTCACTGAATTTTGAGTCAATGAAAATAACCCTTGCAGAAGCATTATATGCTCGTCCTAAGTCTGCATGTCCTGTTCCCGAAACATCACAGTTTCTAAATACATAACCAGTAGTATCATCGGTTGATGGTCGACTTTGTGCAGTAATCCATCCTGCTCCCGTGACATTTATGGTACATTGCTGCAACATTGGTAAAGTGTTACTCTCAAGCATATGCAAATGGACAAACGATAAGGCTCAAACTTATGACATTAAAGTCTTCATAATTAAGGTGGTTAATAATTTCCTCACTATCTTGCCATACATATTTGGTTAAGTATACATACTTCGTACAGCATATAGATAAAACTTCTTAATAGTATTTACTTCTTTTTTTTTTTATATATATATATATATATATATATATATATATATATATATATATATATATATTTATTTTAATGCAACAATTTGGCTGGCAAATTTGCATAGGTCTTACTGGACCATCAACCATTAATATTGCTAATTGTGTTATAGTAATAATTGAACTACATTATAATTAAAAAATAATTATATGAAAATTTACATGTGACTAGCTACTTAATCCAAAAAAATTACATTATACAAGTAGCATTTAATTTTAACACAGAGTATATAAGTTGAAGAATAATCAAGTTTTGTGCAAAATCAAATTAATTGTATTATTTTAAAACAAAAACACACACAATGGAAGAGTACTACATATATTTATGATTTATTTATACCTCGTATACAGATTGACCGTTTCCAAATATAAAATCAGCAGCCCCTTCAATATAACATGACTTGAAATAGTGACGGCCCTTTCCATCCCACAATGTATCTTGATAGCCAACAAAACCACATGAATAAAACGCATGCTTGTCGCCAAAAGATCCAAGGGAAACAGCGGGAACTCGCTCAGTATCTTCTGGTGCTCCAATACTAAAAGAACTAGAGTATACCCGTGCAAAATGCACGAGATATCTATTACGTAGTAAGATATTAAAATAAATACAAAGTACGAAGGTTTTTTTAAAGGAAAATTGTAGAACTTATGCTAGCGTATTTTCTGTGCGCTGCAACACGGTTACTGGAAGAAAATTAAAATGGAGTAACCTGTATTATATTGAAATGGTAAACCCTTATTATACTTTTTGAGTAACCTTGAAATAACAAACTAACCCCTAAAACACTGACAGCATAACCCCTATATTATTATTAACTAAGTAAGCTCTATATTTGTAGCGGGTTAACCATTATAACAGTAATCGAGTAATTTCATAAAGTGGCCAGCTAAAAGTTAGTGAACTTATGGGAACAGTGGCGGATATAGTTAACACCAAGGCTATGCGGCAGAGGCGGATATAGTTAACATCAAGGCTATGCACTTGCATACCCTTGGGTGTTATATAAAATCATTATGAAGGGGAAGTTGAGTAAATAAGTTAGTGCAGCCGGTTGGTTAAGTGAGTGTGGCTTAAGAAGTTAAGAGTAATTGATGGGTTTTGTAGTCTTTCAGTTCGAATCTAGGTAAGACCAATTTCTCTCTCAGGATAGTACGAAGTATATACGAAACATAAGACAATAAAAGCAGGTTTGGATTATCGTGCATATCCTGAACTTAAATTCTGGATACGCCTCTGATGGGGGGCTATATTATTTTTAAAATAAATAAAAATGCCTATAATTTTAAGTTTGAAGTTTTCAAGAGTTGGGATAATATAAAATTAAAAAATGAAACATGCAATTATAATATAAATTCCTTCCAATATTGTGTTATAAAAAATTAGTGTGTATATTTGTAATATTAAGTAAAGTGGGTAGTTCCCTCTAAAATTTTAAAGTAAAGTGGGTAGTTTATATATTAATTTTTTTATAAGATGAAAAAACATAATAAATATGCTTGTAGTTGAATGTTGTTAAAAAATGTGCAATTATATATGGAGATATATATTGTATTGTTAAATAGTGTAAGTGAAAGTGATTTATTTATTTATTTTAAGTTGAAGTTATTGACCAAAAAAAAAAATAGTTATTTTCCACAAAAAAAAAAATAAAATAAAATTGCACCAAATTGTAGAATTGGGGTTTTGGAGTGATGTGGTTAAAAGTTGGGAAAATGACTCTTAAATTATAATATAGATTCTGTTAGAAATAAAGGTACACTTTAGAATTATTAGTTAATCAATTGATGTATAAAATTCCAATTAGAACAATAAGAATATGGGATTGAGTAATTACATGCATAAAATATTTAACCAAAAAAAATGAACCCTCAAAAATTGATCATATCAATAAGAATAGCAAAATTAATAAAATTTGAAATTATATAGTGTAATCATGGAAATGAATCATTTAAATTATCTCCCTTTAACTTCTTTTAGAGTTATAAAGTTTAGGGTAATTGATATCGTAATTTATTTATTTTTTGACAATAAATGATATCGTAATTAATTAGGTTTTAGAGAAATTAAAAAAAAAAAGGGTGGACCAATACTTGTGAAAACTAATACCCTAGCTAATAATACTCTCCATTTTTCAAACACTTGAAGTGGTATAGCTGTATAAGCATTAAGGGTTTGTTCACTTCAGTTTAACTTCAGTTCAGTTCATCTCCGATCAGTTTAGTTCAGTTCAGCTCAAATTAGTTCAATTCAATTCAGCTCCTAATTTCCTTCTCTCGTAAAATATTCAGTTCAGCTCCAATCAGTTCAATTCAGTTCAGCTCAGCTTAGTAAATGTGAGCATGCTCTAAAAATAAGTCAATGATTAATGGACCTTGACATAATTAGAGGAATTTAACTATTGATATTTAATTAATTGACTTATGATATATATATATATATATATATATATATATATATATATATATATATATATATATATATATATATATATATAGAAAATAAAAATTACTAAAAACTTGTCAAACCTAAATTCAACAATGAAATTAAACACCCATTTTTTTTAAAGGGTAAAGGCAAGTAGTACATGTTTAAAGGCCACGTTCAACTTACCTTATTTTTGCTGAATTGAAATTATTTTTACTGAATTGAAATCATTTACACTAACCTGAAATTATATTTTTTGAACTAAAACTATATTTACTGATGTTCAATTATATTTCTTTTTTAAGTTTACTGATTTTTACTGAACTGAAATTATTTTTACTAAACTTAACTTATTTTTAATGAATTAAAATTATTTTTACTGATTATTATTTTTGTAAAGTGAATTGGACAGGGCCTTAGTATCCTTTGATTTGCTCTTTTCATCCAATTTTTTTTTTTATCTTTAACATGTTTTTTTTCCTCAATATATATGTGATAAAATTGAATTAAGGCTAAAGTAATACATTTTTAAATTAAAATTACCCCCACACAATGTGTGCATATGGGGGGCTAGTGAAGTGAACGGGCCTAAGGAGGGCCTTGATGAGAACTCATCTATCACGATTCATGATCCAATTTTTATAAGCCAAATACTTGGAAGTGGGGAGGCTATAATAAGGGGATCCCCATGAACCTCCAATCAAGTAACCTGAGTTGATAAAATTTGAACCCTAAATTACCTTTAGGATTTAAACCAAATCTCTTACCAAGTAAGTCAAATCATGATTGTTGAGAGACTTACCATACTCATAAAATATTAATCATTTTTTTAGATAGAGTAATACTACTCCAAAACAATTATACAGCATAATAATTATATATAATTTAAAATGAAATAAAAATAAAGTTACCTTAAAAGTGACACTCCTAGCTACAAAGTTGTCAATAAACAAAGCAAAAGTAATGCTATCTAATGTTGAAGAATGATTGTCAAATGTTATTACTGTTGTAATACGATCGCTTCCTTCAAGAATTATGCGTCCTCCTTTATCTGGTAGAATCGTAATCTGCTCCCTACATGATTACAAATAACATTATTAAGTGATCAGTACACATGATAAGTGTGGAGCAACTAAAAGTTGTAAACGTTAAAAAATAGGAAAGAATAAAAGAAAATAGAGACATATTTTAACACTTACTTGTAAATTCCGGGATTAATTAATATTTTAATTCATTGATTATTGCCAGACGGAATGGAGTTAAGGGCATCTGTAATGGTGATGAAATTTGCACCACCTGATTGTGAAACGGTGATAGTATAAGCTATCGAAAATGCATTTTGACAGTCTGTAGCTCCAGACAACAAGAAACATAACATTTTGAAAACTAAAATACAACACAACTAATAGGAATACAAGTTTCATATTTGAAGGAAGAGGGATGAATTAGTTAATCTAGCTAGTAAGACAAGCAAGAGAAAAGTATTAACAAATTTTTATAGTACATTATGTGAATTATATAAAGAATGATAAAGAGATAGCTAGAAGCTAGAATTGGAAACATATCAAAGGTCAACTCTATTATTTTTGTATTTCATAAATCATGATACTATTTATCCAACCAGCTCATGTATTACAAAAATTTTATACTCTTCTATTTATGTCTATAGGAATATTCTCTCCAATTTTTTTTTGAAAAAAGTAAATCACTTTTCTAATTCGGTCGTTTTATTTGAATACATTACGAATACTTTCTTTTTTGAACAATACAAATTTTTAAATGAACCTGGTTCACACTAATTTATTGTGGATCACTAATATTAGAGAAACTATGGTTGTTTTATTAATAAAAAAAAGGTCACTATAATAAAAATAAGGTCACTATGTTAAAATAAAAGTCATTTTGGTAATATATAGGCTATTAAAGAGGTTAATTTTTTTAATGAAATATTTTATATGCTGGTCAATATGAATAAAAAGGTCACTATGTTAAAATTAGGGTCATAACGTCGTATTCAAGTTCACAATAATATTAAACGTTAATAACGTTATACAAGTTTTAATAAAGGTTATTATGTTAAAAATAAGGTTACTTTGCTAAAAGTAAGGGTCACTATGTTCAATATAATATCAGTTGTGTGTGTATAAATCTCGGGTCCACAATAAAAATTATTGTGGACCAGGATCACACAAGTGTTTAAACGTTTTCGTTCATATATTTTAATTTCTCTGCTCCGTTCTTTTTCAATTGCATCTTCAGGATTTTACGATTGTCGATGTCATGTCATATATCTACGGTAATTATATTTAGTCAAAGTATAATATGGAATAATTAAAAAACACGGAGAAAGAATAAAATTCCAAGTACTTACGGGGCGTTTGGATTGTGGGAATGGGAGTATGGGGATTAAAAGGTGAGAATGAGATTGAAAATTAATTGATGGGAATACATGAAAATATGTCAATACCTTGTTTGGATGGTGGGTGGGAATATATAGGGAATAAATAACAATTTTACCAAAATACCCTTACTAAGATTATTATTTCATTCTTTTCATTAATGGCAAAAATGTCATTTTCCCCCTATTCCCATTCCCATCCATTTATTACCTACCCTCCCTAGGTAATAAAATAGTGGGAATTCACCCCTAAATAATCCTATTCTCAAACCCTTTTTTATTCCCATTCCCACCAAACAAATAAGGCTTATTTGTTCAATTGGGATTAAAATTTCCAATCCCACACTCAATTCCGACTCGCCAAACACCCCCTTAAGGAAAAATAAAGCAAGGAGTGATGCAGTTAAAAGTATATGTGGAGCAGTGGAGGTCGCGAGTATAAAACACTACTTTGCAGGGAAAAAATTGCTAGCAATCTAGCATTGGCTAAAGGGGGCGGCAATTGCCGGTAAAAGAGGCAACAAAATAGACCATATAAGGCCAACACATGAAGGAAATTAGACAATCATTATTTTTCAATTGCTTAATTTATAAATTGAAATGTGGAATGATACTTAATTAACAAATCATAATTTAATCTATGCCTATCCTTTATCATAAAAGTGATTATAAAGGTTGTTTAGAAATCCATCCATCTTGATTGATAAAGGCATGTGTGTCATATTGCTTAACTGTAAAATGATCCAACTTCTTTATCCATGGAACACGTTTTGAAGTATCAGAACCTGGACCCGTGCAATTAAATTCTGCAAATGTCACATCAGATCTGCATTTACCATAACAAAATATTAGTTTTTGGTTATGATTAAGTCAATGAGTACTCTGTAGTTAGTTCAACTATAAAAACTCAAATAATAATAATATAGAGCCGATTTAGTATAATTCGATTTAATACACCCCAGGTTTAGGTTGCTCTACTCGAATTGAAGCATATGTACGAATGCTTTCAATCAAAAGACATCTATTGAAAAAAGGTGATTTAAAAAACTTACTCATGGCCATTTTGATGCCAAATGAACCATCCCTCAGGATTAACAACTTTACTGAATTCTGAGTCAATGAAAATAACTCTTGCAAAAGCATCATATGCTCGTCCTAAGTCTGCATGCCCTGTTCCCGAAACATGACATTTTCTAAATACAAAACCACTGTTATCATTGGTTGATGATCGACTTTGGGCAGTAATGTATCCTCCTCCCGTGACATTTATGCTACAATGCTGCAACATTCGTAAAGGGTTACTTCGAAGCATATGCAGATAATGATGCTCAATTTTGCGACTTATAGTCATAAGGTGATTTCTTCACTAACCTTACCAGAAATGTTTGGCTAAGTGTACACACACACAAACACACACAATACAATTGTTTAATACAATTTATCCCGATATGTATTTATTACATGCAACAGTTTAATCGACACATTTGCCAAGCATGACTTTTTCCACAAAATTCGTAATTGTGTATTAATAATAATTTAAAAAATTGTTATTATGAATATTACTTGATGACTTATATATTAAACAACATAATGCATAATAGCATGTAATAAGTTTTATACATAGATGAAAATTCATGTCAAATAGTATAAGAATACTTTGTATATTTGTGATTTACCTTGTACACAGATTGACCGTTTCCAAATATAAAATCAACGGCACCTTCAATGTAACATGACTTGAAATAATGACGACCTTGATAATCCCAAAGTGTATCTTGATATCCCACGAAACCACAAGAATAAAATGCATGCTTGTCGCCATAAGATCTGAGGGCAACGGCTTGAGCTCGCTTCGTATCATCTAGTGCTTCAATACCATAAGAGTTCTATGAGAACAAAAGGTCATTTAAGAATTATTAGTTAATCTATCAATGTATAACTCTATGATTAAAACAATGAAATTAAATAAGCATATAATAAAAATATAGTGAACAAATAAAAAACAATTTTATTAGCAAGAAGTAAAAGAAAAAACAATAGAATCCGTTACAATATACGTAGTACTCCATATTTCTTTTTACATATAGTGTACGTGTATTCATTAAAAAAGAGAAAAGGAAAATGCTTTATAGTAATTAATGGTTGATTATCTTGTTATATGATCGGCGTTATCCAACATTAATAATATAATATTTATTATATAGACTATATATATAATGGTTGATGTAGAAAATTTATGCACACAAAACTCTTCTCATTCCGTAGAAAATTTAAACACGTAAAACCTTTCTCATCCTTCTCATTTGACCCTAATATAAAGAACACATTGGGAGCATATAAATCAAATGTCTCAACACTAGAATGAACTCATGATGTTAGATTTGAGAATGTTGAGGACTCACCAAATCTGTAAGAACTTAATATACGGATTACGGAATGAATAAATAATGTAAGACCTAAGAAAAAAATGGGAAATTTGATTATTGAGAGACTTGATTACCATACCCATAAAACATTAACACTAGGAAATTAAATAATACTCCGAAACAATTATACGGCAAAGTAAGTATAAAAAAAAGAAAAGAAAAGTGGAGTTACCTTGAAGGTGATATTCCTAGCTACAAAATTATCAATGTCCACAGCAAAAGTAGTGCTATTTGATGTAGAAAAATGATTGTCAAAGGTTATAATTGTAGTAGTACGATCATTTCCTTCAAGAATTATGCAACCTCCTTTATCTTTCTGTATTGCAATTTGCTCCCTACATGCTTAAAAATAACATCATTATTAAATATGCCCATGTTAAAATATTCAAAAATGAGCATAAGGAAAAAAAAATATTAAGTAATGGCATATTTAATGACATACTTATAAGTTCCCGGGTTAACCAATATTTTAATCCATTGATTATTGTCAGACGGAATGGAATTAAGAGCATTTGTAATGGTGGTGAAATTCGCACCACCTGATTGTGAAACGGTGATAGTATAAGCTATTGTAGATGTATTTTGGCAATCTGTTGCTCCGGACAACAAGAAACGAACATTTAGAAAACTGAAACATAATGCGATTAATAGCAATTCAAGTTTCATACTTGAAGGAAGAGTGGTGATGACTAATTTCAATTAGACAAGTAATAAGCAAAAGGTGTTAACTAACGTTTACAATATATTATACAAAGTATATAAAGGATGATAAAGATTATGTCAAATAATTAGAAATAGAAACATATTGACGACCAAACTCTATAATTATTCATAAAGATGAATTTTTAGTAAATAAATCGTGACATACTCTTTTTATCCAACCAATTTCGGCCTCTATTATATTGTCTTTATACTCTTCTATTTATGTCTTAAGAAATACTCTATTTCTATAAATATGTCGCAATGTTACTGATTTTGTTATATTTGATATATATATATAGTCTAATTGGTGATGTACTTGATGAACACTCAGTATCAAAATGGTTAAGTACGCAACAATTTCATGAATTGTTAGAGCTGTCAATTCGGGTAAACGGATCGGGTTTGAGTCGGGTTAGTGTGAGTCGGGTCATCTCGGGTCGGATCAATATAGGTTAATGTCATAACATATGCGGGTCGGGTTCGGGTTAGGTCATGCTTGAGTTGGGTCACGTCGGGTCATACATCTTATCAGATTTGGGTCGGGTTTAGGTCGGGTTAGTAAAAGGTCGGGTTACATTCGGGTCAGGTGAAAAATAGGTCGGGTTAAATTCGGGTCTTTACAGGTTTAAACGAGTTAGGGTCGTTCTCGGGTTAGAGTCGGGTTCGGTTCAAGTCAATTATTTACGGGTTATAATAAGGTCGGGTCATTCTCGGGTTCAAGTCGAGTTCGGTTCAAGTCAATAATTTGCGGGTTATAATCAAGTCGGGTCATTTCCAAGTCGGGTCATTCTCGGGTTCGAGTCGAGTTCGGTTCAAGTCAATAATTTGCGAAAAACATGTTTCGTCCCTGAAATTCGTCCCTAAGAACATGTTGTGAAACTAAACTCTTAAAATTCAAAGTGAAATATTGAAGGAATAGAATTAGGATTCAATTTTCGTTCCAATACCAACATGAGATAATGACCTATACATATTGATTTAATAACAAGTCGGGTTGTATTTGGGTCGGGTCAATAACAAGTCGGGTTGTATTTGGGTCGGGTCAATAACAAGTCGGGTTGATTCCGGGTTTGTAACAGGTCGGGTTGAAATTCGAGTCGGGTTTGTAGCAGACTAGCAGGTCAGGTTAGGAACAGGTCGGATTGAATTCGGGTTGGATTAGGAACAGGTCGGGTTGAATTCGGATTTTGACGGGTTGAAATAGGTTTGGGTCAATTTCGATTCAGGTCGGGTTCGGTTTAGGTCAATAATTTACGGGTCACATTCGGATCGGGTCATCTCTAGGTCGGTTAATGTTCGGGTTCGGGTCTCAAATACTCGGGTCAACTCGGGTCTAGGGTTGGTTTCAGGTCGGGTTAGGTCGGGTTTGAGTCACCATTTTTTATCGGGTTCAGACGGGTCGGTTAATAGGTCGGGTTAGGGCCAATATTTTGAGTCGGGTCAGCTTTTGACAGCTCTATTTATTATACATATGGAGTAACATATATGCATTGATTGCATAGTTGATCTAGTAAATAAAGGTTGACAAGTGATTGCCCATAATATTATACTAATTGATTCCAAAAAAAATTGTATAATTTTTAATAATCTTTTAAATTTGGAATATTATAATCCTATTTACAGGTATGGGATGTTCTATTTATATTAATAAGAAATTAACAGTATTTATATGAGAAAATTGAGATCCACATCTAATATGGAAGTATTTATTCTTTAATTAAATTTCATATAAGGGTGATCAATTCATTTTATAAATTATTAGGGCAAATAAACATTTAATATCTTTCCTAACTTGATACTGTAATTTAATATCATGCGCAAATCAGGGTAGTTACTAGTTAATGTTATATTTTCAATTATTTATTTATTTATTATCATTTTTAGCTCCTTAGTAGCCCTAAGGGCTAGTATAACATCTTTCAATTTTTTTTTATTACAATAATATCTCTAGCTTGTACGGTAAATTATTAAATTCCATTAGTTATAAACTTATAATTAATTTTTATTTTTATTACATGATAAATTGTTGAGGTTTATTGAAGAAGTATCTAATAATTATGACTTTTCTTATATAGCCATCATATCTTTTAATTTTTCATTTTAATAATAAATTAATTATACAATTTTTTTTAATTATTTGTTACTCCGTAATCTAATATATATATATAAATAAAGTAGACATTTTTCGGAAGCATTCGGGGCGCCACATAAGAAAAGTAAATATTTCGTCCAATGATAAATTAGATTTGTATTTTAATTTTGAATAAAATAATTGTATCACCACGTAGGTATTAGTAGCGAATAAGATATGGTATTTATCTTATAAAATTTTAATGCCACATAAAAAAATTGTATCGCCACGTAGGTAAAAGTAGCGAATAAGATATGATATTTATCTTATAAAATTTTAATGCCACGTGGATGAAAAACCACAAATTTTATTTATCATTATCTTTATTTATCTTATAATAATTGTCATTTTCAACTCCACTTTAATAATGCAACCGAATCAAAATTATCTTATAAATGATTTTTTTTAACCATTAAAGTATAATAAGTATGATAATTCCACTTTAATACTTAACACTTTCGGTCAAATAAAAATTTAAGGGAAAATTATCTAGCTTGTGACACTATATCACAAATACTAAATAATACCTCCGAAAAAAAATTATATTCAAATGATAAAGTATCATTATAAGATAAATTTTGATAGTGTTTATGATAAGAAATTAAAATTGTTCATTAATCATAATTAAATTAAATTTTTTTTATACCTACTGTTATAAATTGACACATATACGACACCAACAAAATTTCATATTTATACAAAATTCGCATCTAGAGAATTTTGTATTGGTAATTTTGTGTCAGTTTTAGGTCATCAATGGTAGGGTACTTTTTAGCTTAATTTCATATGTTTATGTTTTGTTTGATAAATTTCGTTTTTACATGCAGATTAGAGAATTAAATTCGAGAAAAATTGATTAAAAATCAAAGTACGAGATTTTCACCTGTTTGATGTACTATATTTCCGCAAACAAAATAGCTTAATAAGTCTGGATATGGTAATATTGGACGAAGAGGTATTTTTAAAAACAAATATTGTGATTTGGATTGCATAATCAACTTATTAAATTAATTTAATTTCTTATTTTTAATTTCACGGTGATTACACAAGTTCATGCCTCAATTTAAAGCCAATTGTGTTCAACATTTTCGTCCAAACTTGATTGAAGACTATGAAATGTTTACTCTATTAGAAACTTTTCAGTCGTTCCAAATAATAAGCAATATCGCGTTGTCATATCAACGATAAAATAATGATTCAATAATTAATGATGAAAAAATTCCAATGCATAGATTTGATTTTATACATTTACAATTTTTAGATCTAGTTCGCAACAATTATATCGATATTTTTTTATTAGGTTTTAATAATATTCTTACATATATTTATGTGTATCTAATAATTTTTTTTTTACATTTTGCTTATGTGTAATTTTTTTAATGTTTTATTGAAATATTTATTAGGAAAAACAGGTTTATGTAAAGCTTTGGAATAATATTTTGTTGAGCATACGAAACAAAAAAATCAACTTAAGTTTGTTTTTTTTTTTTAAAAAATTATTCTTATTCATTAGTCAAGTATGCAAAACTTGAATTTGTTAAATTGAAATAAACTATGAAAATATTATCTCATTCGTCGGGTGGTTAAATAAAATCATTTAGATCGATGAAAAGATTTTTTTAATTCTATTAAAAAAAATTAATTTTTTTAATTATTTTTTAAAAATATTCTACTTCTAATATAAAAGATAATAAGAAATTACAAAATAATATACAAAATGAAATACAAAAAAACTGTGCATCGCACAGGCTTACATCTAGTATTCTTTTATTTAGGGAGGCAAATCGATATCGTGAACAAATAATTAAATTTGCAAATAAAGGAATGGAATATGGTGCATTTAAGGACTAGTCATTCTTTAGTTTAGGGTGAATATATCATCTATATTATCAATTTATCATTGTACCTTGGTACCAAAATCTTTTATGGTGCCCCAATTGTCACATTGGTGAAAAAATCGATTAGGGGATTATGCATCTACATAACTACATTTGATGGACAACGGAAGGTGCACTTGTGTAAGTTTTCAATGTTGCAAGCTTTTGCAACATGTTTTTGATCGATCAATATCATAGTAAGATGATGTTTTTGAGTATCTCCCTGAAAACTTTGAATTTTTTTTTTATTTATTTTATTATATTTTTTTTGTTTTAAAATTTTAATTTTATTAAGCATATTAATCAAGTGGTTTTTTAAAACATTAATTTGAGTTTGGTGTTTTATTAATAATAATAAAAAATATAGGTAATGAGAGTGAGGGGTAGCTCAAGTGGTTAGAGCTTCTCTCCCGATTCTAGCTCCAATTTAAGTATAACTCTTTCAACAAATGCCACTACGAGATCTTTCATTCTCTTAATTGAAACAATTTACGCATAACAATCCATAGTCCTTTAAAAAATTTCGAGGATGTAACTTTGAACAATTGTATATTTGTATAGTATTGGGAAGTCTGATAGTTTAGGTAATAAAAATGGAGCTCCTAAATTAGCCCTTCCGAGGATGGGCGAAAGGAAATTAATGCGAAGGTGGAATAATTCGTCGTTGTCGTCGAATTTTCTTCATGGTGGTAGATGACCTTAACGTCAATAACTTAGGAGATATTCTTCTAGTAGGAAGAGGTTGATTCGCAACCCAATGGTCCTGGTTGATAAATGTGTTTGTGTTAACTAGAAGGTTCAGTTCGTTAGATTTAAGCTTTCTCCCCCACTTTACTCGCTGAGATGTGTCTGAACCAGGTCCTACGCAATCTACTTCCGCGTGTACTACTGAACCTCTGCAGCTCCAAACAAAATCACCAAAAGAGTTGTCATAAAAGTTAGCGCAATTTATCGTATTGTCATATTGGTATAAAAAAAATAAGATATACTGAGTATATTAACAATATTTGTGATAACATAAATATTCTTACCCATGGTTAGTGACGAAACCAGAATTCCAACCTGATGGAACAACGTTATCAGAGAGGTAGCTTTTGTAAAAAACAACTCTAGAATACCTTTGGTACGGTCTTCCAAGATATGCAAAGGCAGTGCCTACCACCGTACAATATTTGAACACAAACCCATTGCTATCTTCAATATTTTTTCTGCCTTGTGCTGTTATGTAACCAGCCCCATATATTTTATCATTATACGGTCCACTAGTCACATTTATCGTGCAACCCTACACAAGAATAAAAGATAGCTAGTTATTCAACTATTTGTTCGTGTTAGTGGACCAACTCAATCAAAAGCTTAAACTAAGTTGGTTGATAACTTAAATTGATAAGAAAGGGCAGAGAACGAAGTGGACATACATGATACATGGATTGGCCATATCCCCAAATGAAATCGATATAACCTTCAATATAACACCCGTCGAACAAGTGACGTCCCAAAAAATCAGTCAATGTGTCTTGCACACCTATAAATCCACAATCATAGAACGCAACTTTATCTCCGGATACTGAAACTGCTGGAGCTTGGGAAATGATAGGAGGATGATATATGTTCTGAGAAAACAAGGATCATCACATTCAAGCTAATTAGAATGGACATACCATGAAAAATATGCAATGTGTTCAGATTTTATTGATTTATTTTTACCTTTGACATGTACTAGCAATTATGAGCCAAAATCACCCTCTCATAAGTCATAATCCCCCTGTTAGGGCTGTTAGGCTACCCTTTCGACACGATCCCATGAATTATAAAAAAGGTGGATAAACAAAATTAATGTGTTGAACTAGATTGATCATACCTTGAAAGTAATACGCCTTGCAACAAAGTTGTCCGCGGACACTGAAAACGTTGCATATTCCGGTGTATGGCTGCCACCTCCATCGGAAAATTGTATCACAGTATTGTTTCTGTCGTCCCCAACTAGGCTTATGTAAGGTTTGTTACTAGGGATCTCTACCTTTTCACTACGTACACAAGAAATTTTCATTTTAGATAAACACAAAACAAGTGCATTCTTACCCTAGCGCTTTATTTGAATAGCAAAGAAGGAAATTATTATACTCCTAAATAACATAAACTACAATAATAACAACACAACACGTACTAAAAAAAGTATAGCAAAATCGCGAGTGTTTTACCTGTAAACACCAGCTCGAACTTGAATTTCTATCCACTTGTGATTGCCTTGAGGAACAGAATCGATAGCATGTTGTAGTTTTCTAAAGTGTCCATGGCCTGATTGATCGACGATGATTACATGAGATATTGAGCCTTCTGCAAACACAGTGTGTGGCATGTAAATCAAATGAAGTGTTGTAAGGTAAAGGACAATGAGACAAAGAAATTGCATTATTTAGAGAGATTATTAGCAAAATTTTCATGATGGTGTACAAAACTTGTGAATAACCTATCTTGTTCTCCCTAGAAAACTTTTCTGTTTTATATTTACTCCGTATATACATACACCACCATTTCTTTTCTTATAGTTAATAATCTGATCAAATTTTGACATAAAATGGATCAAAATATTAGATCAGATCAGATTATTAAGAGTAACATAAAAAGTCCGTCTATCTTAAACTTAACACCCAGATTTTAATTTGTGAAATCATTTTGACATAACAAAGTCATACCAAACCAAGTTCCATCTAAAATTTCTATGAATGTAACCCAAAAAAAAAAAAAAAAAAAAAAATCATTTGTAGCAAACAAAAATTGTGCATTTACTGTTTCAAAAAAAATAAATAAATTGTGCATTTACTTATAATGGTCCAAGTCTAATATAATTCAATTTATTGTCTTGGTTATTTAGCAAACATATCTCTACGGATATTATTAGATCTGATTTCATGAAGAGAATCACCAAAACAAGCTACCTAGAAATTGTATAGGGCAATTTCTTCATATATTAATACACATTAACCAATTAAGCAAGATCCTTATTGACTAAAAAGTCAAAATTAGCCATAGTCACTTTATATGGAACTACCATATTTAAGAGGCAAATTAGAATGGTAGATAAGTAAATACGTTGAAATTTCTGTTTTCATTGGGTTGGATGTATACATGAATCTATGGCCAAAATGATAGCTAGTGTACACATTGCATTTTTATTCGGACAAAAACCTCTTTTTACAAGCGTAATTAACCTAATACTCCGTAGTTATTTGAATATAACTTTGACAAATAGTATCATGTAGGTGCTTATATGATAGATTCTTCTATTATTTTAAGTGCAATTTTCTTATTTGTTTAATTGTTACATTAACAGTCTAAATTACACCATTAGGGTAGACAAGACTTATAATTAAATATTTTTACTCACTTGGAATTGGAGTTTTTTCTCCGTTGAAGAATTGTGACGTTGATTTTGATGATTGATCAAAGTTGAAGGAAAGTGCATCATTTTGAGCATGTATTGTAACTAGGGCACCCAAGGCAAGTAACCATATGCTTAGGAATACAGACATTTTTCCCCTCTCAGAATTTTGCTCCTTATTTTATCATAGTATAAGTGGTGTTATAGGGAGTCATATGGCTCTTTTTACGGTGCTAATATATAAAGTAATTCTCAGTATATAAATTAAAACTTATAAGTTTACGTTGGGAAATTCAATGGGAGAGTATCAATATGAAATCCTAATTGATTTGATCTTTTAGAATTTCCTTCCAGATGATGATGAAGGTGCCAACTATAAGAATTGGAAAAGTTGTATGATAATTACAAGCTAATTAATAAAAGCAAAAGATAATTACGCATACATCTTCAACACTGTTAGAGAATGATATATCGGAAAATATATAGTAAAAGATATATCATACTCCATATATATTCTAATGATATATTTCTCTAAATAATATATTAACATAACATAACACTAAATATATTATTCTCATAATAATATATATACGGAGAATCTATCACATATATTTTCCGTTATATCATATATATCTCTAACAAACACCAACGTACCGCCATTGGCTTACAAGCATGTGAGTGATTCTTTAGCCATCGAAAACTCCATTATTGGTGCAACACCTTCATCAAATCATGAGGAAATTTTGTCTAATATCCGATCAATATCATCTAATTTTTGACCAATTTCATCTAATTTTTTACCAATATCATTTAATATCTTATCAATATCATCTAATTTATGACACTTTTAATCTTGATATTTATAACTTAATATTTGACCATTATTATCCAATTTCTAAAAATTATTATTTATTTTTTTGCTTATATTACCGGACTCACGTGAATCCGTTTTATACCATACTTTTCCATAGTAAATGGGTCGTAGTGAATTGAACTTTCATTTGAATTGCCATTTTCTCTATGAAATAAAACTATATATAGGCGTCATTCGGCGTATATGTGATGTATCATGTATGCATATTTTGGTAGAATATATCGAGATTGTATGCAATAGTCCACGATAATCATAAATCATACCTTATAAATTAAATTTATTTTAACTATTCACAACCAATCAAAGTAATTTATTTTGCATTAAACTAGTTTTTATTAATTTTTATTATGCACATTGAGTCAATGATTAATTTTAGCTGTTCAAATCTTTTCATGATATAATATGCAACTAGGGCCCGAGTAGCGATGCCTCGGGTTATGTTTAGATACAAAATAATGAAAAAATTACCTTGATTATAGATTACAAGGAGAATGTGGCGAATTATATCAATGAGTAGATGTTGAATAATGAAATAGACATAGTGTAATTTAACTAATTCTTACGACAATTCTGGTTCCACTCTTAAGTGTTGATGTGAGTAGTTGACTTAGTGCCTGTTCACATTTACTTAGTTCAGTTCAGCTCTTATCAGTTCACTTCAGTTCCTAATTTTCCTCTCTCATAAAATATTCATTTCAGCTCAGTTCAGTTTAACTCCAATTCAGCTCCAATCAATTCAGTTCAGTAAATGTGAACAAGATCTTAATCTATCTAATGTTCATTATAATAGACTCATGGACTTTTTTTTTTTAACCAATACGGATACATTGAAAAAGTAAATTTACATTGGGTATGCAAAAAAGTAGAGACAGAAAGTAATTAAAGTACATGAAAAAATTAAATTTGCACAAATATTTTTACAAAAATGTTAGAAAATTTTGGTAAAAAAAATAATACTCGTATTAATGGCACTTGAAAAAAGCAAATGTGACTAACATTTTGAGTGCTAAAAAAATGTAATAATTCATATCATCCTTAAAAAATAAAAAAACAAAAAAATACGAGAAAAAAAAAATGGACGCCGATAAGTTCCGATTTTGATAAATCGTGGATTCGTGGGGCAAATGTTTAGGATGAGGAAATATTTCTGAGTCACCAAAAATAAAATCAAATCTCCATAATACCCTCAAAAAACAAAATTATTTCTTCCTCATCCCAAATTTTCATTTCACTCAAAAAATTCCCCATAAAAAAGTCAAGGGGCAATATCGTCATTAACAAAAAAATAAATTTTCAATTAATAAATAATAAAAAAGTAAAACCCAACTCCCCGCCACTCAACACAGTCCACCACTATCTGACTGAAAGAGGAGAGAGAAAATGGCGCTGCAACTCACTTCACCATCTTTCTCTCTTTCTTCAACCTCCTTCTCATCTTCTCACCCTAAATTCTCTCTCCTCCGATCAACCTCAGCCGTCCGATTGAATTCTCGAAGCTTCGATTTCTTCTCCAGGAAGATGACCACAACGACGCCGTTTGCTATGAAGGCGGAAGCAGGAGAGTCGAAGGTTCTAGAAGAGGAGAGAGAGAAAACATGGAGAAAAGTTTCGGCGGTGTTGTTTGATATGGATGGTGTTCTTTGTAATAGTGAAGAACCTTCTAGAAGAGCTGCAGTTGATGTTTTCGCTGAAATGGGCGTTGATGTTACTGTTGATGATTTTGTTCCTTTTATGGGAACTGGTAATTTTTTTTGCTTAATTTGATTGGTTTTTGAGGTTTTAAGTTAATTGATTGAGAAATTAGTTTTGTTTTTAATTGAATTTGACAATGTGATTAGAATTGATGAGATTTGTTGATTTTATTGTGTATTTTGCTGAAATTTTGTTGTAATTTGAATTTAATCAATAAGATCATAGGATAATTAGTTCCACTTTGATTTTACTTTGACCATTAATTTGTTAAATGATTTGTGATTTCGATTTATTATATGATCAATCATGCTTGATTTATCGAAACATTTACTGTTTCAATGTGTCCAATCGATTTAGTAATGATTTATGATTGGATTTACTTGCAAACTCTTATAGTGTTACAGCCGTTACTCGTACTTTTATTTGGATTTTGGAAATGTCAATAGTTTGAATTGATCTTAGTTAGAATGTACCAATTTTACATGAAGTCTTATCTTTGTAGAGCTTGAACATGGCCTTATTAAAAACTTTGTAAATATATTCAAATGTTTATTTCTGTGCCCTTATAGAGTACTGCATTAGTAAGCTGTTGCTTATGCTGAAGGAAACTTGTGACATCTGCAATTTCTCTTTAAATTTCCTAAACATTTCTTGTACTTCCTAAACGTTCGATTTTCCGAGACCAGGTTTTCAATGAGATTCAATGATATAAATTGTATAATATTCTCAATCATCATCTATCAACATATTTTATGGGAACGCAACTTAATTAATGAGATGGTTCGATAAGATTGAAACTCATCGTTAATTTAATCAGATTCTTCTTTTGTGTATGTGTGAGTTTGTGACACCCTCCAGTATCCTCATAACTCTGTAGTTGTTACAAAATTCTTATGAAGTAACAAATTTGGTGTTTTTTGGTTCATTGACTTTTCTTTGAGAAGGCTAGAGGGGGGGGGATATGATATCTTTTTGTTTAGTAGCCAATGGAGTACTTAACAAGAGAAAGACAATTTTCTCAAGTCTCTGACCCTTTTGGTTTTGGTCTGCGCAACATTCTTTCTTATTCTCTATGTAATTGAAGGTAGATTAATAAGTTTCGGTGTTAATGTGGCATGCCTTTTGCAATCAAATTACCTTTTTTTATCTGACCTGAATGTGCTCTTCAGGGGAAGCAAACTTCTTGGGAGGTGTTGCATCACTGAAAGGGGTTAAAGGATTTGATACTAATGCTGCCAAAAAAAGGTTCTTTGAAATTTATCTTGAAAAGGTGATTAAACTTCTAATTTACTTATCCACATCTTTAAAATAGGCAATTTGATGCTGTTTCAATCATCTCAAATTTGTCACTAGAACTTAACACATCTTATCTTTGATAGTACGCAAAGCCAAATTCTGGTATTGGATTTCCAGGTGCTCTCGAACTTATTACTCAGGTATGTTTCTCTCTAATTAAATTGGAAAAAAAAAAGAAATACTAAATAAAGTTTGCAACAGAATGCTAATATTTGTTGGACAGTGCAAAGCAAAGGGCCTCAAAGTTGCTGTTGCATCCAGTGCTGATCGTATCAAAGTGGATGCAAATCTAGCTGCTGCAGGGTTGCCCGTTGAATTGTAAGATGAAAGAATTTCTGAAGTTATTGCTGCATTTGATAAAATTACCGATGCTTTGTTTTTAATGTGTTGCCAATACTGAAACAACATCCAAATGATTTTAGTATTCAATCCTTATGAATGGTGTTTTGTTTTATGTACTTTGTTCACTAGGCAGTTAATAGTATTCCATTTTGAATGTACCCAAAAGAAAAAAAGAAAAAAAAGTGATAGAAACAACTAAAAACTACGAGGCTTTGCCCTTACTCTTCCGTGTTGTGAGATATGTTCTTATCTGAAAGGATAAAGTGTATATGAAACTGATTGTTTGCTCCTAATATATGCTTAAACTCTATGCCCTTTATTTTGGAAGGGAGTGGGGTGGAAATTGAATATGATCATAGCAAAATCTGAAAATCTGAAATAATCAAAATTGATTTTGAATGAATTTGTTCTATACCAGGTTTGATGCTATTGTGTCAGCAGATGCATTTGAGAATCTGAAGCCTGCTCCTGATATCTTTTTATCTGCATCCAACATACTTAATGTGCCACAAAGTGAGGTACTTAATTCTTCTTAGTTCATATCATCTTTGTTTCTTAAAATTGCACCTTAGTTGTTCAAGGAAGGAACTGGTATTTTTTTTTTCTTTCTATGTGCTCTACTGATAAGTGTTTCTGATCTAAGCTAAAATAAATGTCACCTGTATGAAACATATAGTCAAGTTGATTTCGTTGTTCATAACAAAAGATAACAAACGAAACTTATAGTTTATTGTCCGTTTCTTTTATTTTTACTGCTCCTTTTGTCTTTAAGCTTGGTGGTCTCTTGCTTTTGTCATTTATACCACCTTGTTTTTTTTTTTTCCTCTTTTTCTTTTTCTTGGAGGGCAGAGTGAATCATAAACAAAGGGGGATGTAGTGAAGCTAGGAAATATTAGCCTTGTTCCTATTTTCTATTTGTTCATTCATGTCATAGCATAACCTGACCTGTATGTGGCATTCCATGTCTGTTCACAGTGCATTGTAATTGAAGATGCACTTGCAGGATTACAAGCAGCTAATGCTGCCAAAATGAGGTTAGTATATAATTGTTTGGTTTTATGCTGATCAAGGTTTGTTATTGGTGATTAAATCTGGGATATTATAGTGATGATATTCTTTGTTGTAAAGTTGACTGCAGTACTCACTTCAATCTCTGTCTATGCTCTTAGTCTCATGTCTTAAGATTCCTCTGGTTTTGATTGGAAACCTCCACAATTGCAGGTGTATAGTTGTGACAACTACATTATCTGAAGAGATTCTTGCAACTGAAGCTCCATCACTTATCAGGAAGGATATAGGGAACATAACCCTCGATGATATCATCAGTGGTGGATCTAACCTCCGCAGTATGTAGTTTCAAGAGCGATGTAGTGCACACTGTATAGTGTAAACTTCGAAGTTAGACTTTCATTTGTCATCCATTTAATGGTCTCAACTGCTGTTTGTCAATGAATTTTTTATTGACCGAGTGAAGGTTTTTTTAGATTTGTTGCCGTTGGTAATTCATGGAAATGTTCATGTTTCAACGTTAGATGGAGTTTAGTAGTGAATCTATTGTCTAGAAGTGACTTCTTGTTTTTTGTAAACTTTTCCTGATATTGATTCTTTTGATTGAATACTTGCATAATAATTTTTCTCAAAAAATTCTGATGAGCACACGACAACATGACATTGCAGATGAGAGGTTGCAGGCATCTCAACTTGAGGGAGAAGTGAGGAATTCCTTCCCATCTGGAGGGTAAGAGAGGTCCCATCCTCAGATATTATTGATTCATTCCCTTTTTATGCTATTTGTATTTGTATACAATTTTTCAGGGTGAGAAAGTGGATATAACGATTGAGGGTAGCCAGTTCAGGATTGAGTAGTTTACATTTGTCTCATGCAACGCTCCATAGAGGGTTGTGCTTCTGGTTAGGGCATAATATATATATTCTTCTTTTCTGTTCTATCCGGTGGCTGGAAGTTTGTCTACTTAAAATTAAATGCCAATAAACTGTTTAAATTTATAAATTGTCCCCTAGTAATAGCTGATTAATTAGTCAAGAAATAGACTCCTGGTCAGCTATGCATTTAATGAGGAATCAACTGCAGTAAGGCACACATTTGAAACTAATTTCGTGTAAATGATATATATGTTTCTCTTTCAAAGTTGGTTTTTATCCAAAAGATACTTATGTCTTTGTATGGATCAAGTATCATTTTCCTTTTACAGGTAGTTTACATTGCAATCCAATGTTTGGGACCTTACATTTTATACTTCTTTGACCAACATTTTATTGTACTCACCAGACACCCTGCCTTTTCATGATAAGCTTCATATGAAATCTTTGCTGTAGATGGGGTACAAGTACAATTTGTAACTTCTGGCTTCTAGTGTTTTTACAATGTGCTTTTCCAAAGGACATACTTCCTCTGTTCTTTTTTTAATTGCAACTTTGGAAAATTTGCACTATTTCACAAATTCCTTTGACCAACTTTGTGAATTATGCGCTAGAAAAAACATAGTAAGTGAGGTCTTGTGACGTTTGTCTCGATATTTACTTTCACTACATTAGCTGTTTATAATCATTACTAAAGTATAATTATAGATATTAGTGGTATAAAATGTGCATTGGCAAGCGTGAAAACTCCAATGCTGTGATTAAATAAAGAACAGGGGAAGTATTTAACTAGAAAATCTCTTTGTTGAGATTTTGTTTTGTGGCACCTCATATGCCATTCCCCTATCATTTAGGCCCTTGTGTTTTATTTTCCCGTAAGAAATGTTGGAATGAAAATCAATGGGGTAATCTTTTTTTTCCATATCAATGAGATAACTGTTGTTTCATATCAATATTTTGTATTGGAGGGAGAACTTAATGTGGCGACATTATTAAGTTAAAATATTACAGTGAAATTGACCTAATGTCTATTAGATGCGGAACTGATTTGTGGACAGGTTGCAGGCTTCCAGGAGAAATATTCTTAAATATGGAAGTTTAGGCATTGCTGTATCTTGCTTCATCTTTGCCTTCTCAAACAGGAAGGTATAAGTGTCTTGACTTGGATGTGCTAAAAAAGGATTTCTTGACTCACGAGGTTAATGTATTTGTTTGATCTTGTTGTGAATGTGGTGATCCAAGTGATTTAATACATGTTGGGTAAATACTATCTGCTGGCATTGTTACTTTATTCTAATCTGTATGTATATGGAAGCTGTTGTGATCTTGCAGGCAATGCAATATGCATCACCAAAAGCCCTTTGGAATCTAGCTTTTGGGGTAAACAACCCTACTCTTGGACCTAATGAAGGTGATAATTGCCTTCTTTTTTTTTTTAATTTATTAATGATGACCACTCCTTCAGGCATTTGCATTGTAATTATCTCCGAACACAAGGTCTCTTTTGCCTAATAAATTAAACAAAGAAAGACATTTGCAATATTTAATAGGCTCTAAAGTGGCACATTGAATCTAAAACTTAGTGATTAAAGTCATTAAACAATAGAAAAGTGGGGAGCATGAGCATGACCCACTAATCCACAAGTCATTGAAATATGGTTGACTAAGCTATTGCTACTGTTAATATCTTAATCCAATCTCACTAATATATAAAATATTCCCAGTAATTTTTTAAAGACTTAAACTAATACTACTATTTTTTGAAGCACATCATTCAACATATACTTTCCACTTCTTTCTTAAATATCCCTCTCTTCTTCGCAACGACTGCCCAACTTTTTGTTCCGGTGACATGTCTTTACTAAAATCTGTTACTGTTGGTCATTTGACCATTATTAATATGAATGTTTTTCAGTAGCTTGAAGATAATACAGTTCAGACTTTTTCCTGCTATCTCTCACTCAATATCGTTTGAATTCATCTCATTGGGAATTGTGATGCTTGTTTGGGGACAGAGGGACTGTTTAGGGATTTTTCATTTTAAACTTATTGGAATAGGTCATCCCATTTAGAACTTGTTAATTGGGATATTATGAGCTGAAGGCTCTGTGTTAATATTGGCAAACAGTTAAGTATTTACTGAGCTGCTAATATCTGATTTGTGATCCCCCAAAGCTGTGCTCTTAGACAGTTGGATTAGAGAAATAAGATTTCTAGGTCACTAATGGACTGGTGTAATAGACTATGCAAGATGAAATAAACTGTTTCTGAGAGACAGTCGGTTCTGGGATTTATCTTTAGCTGCGTCTGACAATGATATGGTCTAAACTTTAGGTGAGTCGCGATCTTCCAGGGTGCAACAGCTTGTGAATTACATATCCGACCTTGAAAAAAGGTGAGACTATCTTCTGTTTCAATGTTCTAAAATTATATATATGTGAGATTACTTTATCGACGGATTAGCACCTATCATTTATCTTTGACTTTTTTTGTGCTAAATTGCTATTGGAATTCATTTCTTGCAGGGGAAATGCCCTTGTTGTGCCTGAATTTCCTTCTAGACTTGATTGGCTAAATTCCGCACCCCTTCTATTCCGCAGAGTGAGCTGTTTTTCTTATTCTCAATTTGAAATACTAGCTAATTCCACATAAACATGCCGTATAACAAGCATGAACTATGTATTGAGTGCTATATTTTTTGTGTGTTAATTTTTCTAACCTCACTTCCTTGAACCTTATTCCTGGGCTTAGTTTTACTCTCTATTTCCTTCCAAAACAAAAGCTACATAAATTGTGAAGGAAAAAAAAAAGGGGGGGGGGATTAAGAAGCAATTAAAAAATTGAAATAAGTAAAAACAGAATTACAAATTAATTTATCATGAACTTAAATGGGCCATGCTTATAGTTTAAATTCTGATTGCATGACACATGTATATAGGATCGATTATCTGTAAAGAGGGCTTTTTTTTTTTTTTTTTTAAATTTTATTTTTATACTATAATTTGCTCTCTAATAACTGTCCATTTCTAACTTTAACGGTAATAAATGGAAAGATTATTATATCCCCTTCATTTGCGTTTAAAAATTAGAATTCATTACAGCAGAGGGGACATTAATTTGGGTTAGGCCTTGTTCTCTTCACCTTATTTTTGTTGAACTAAAATAATTGTTACTGAACCGAATCATTTTAATGAACTGAAATTGTTTTTGTTGAATTTAAATTTTTTTTACTATGCTGAAATTAATTTTAATGAATTGAATTATTTTTACTGATTTTCTATTATGTTTGTTCTTTAAAGTTACTACTGATTTAAAATTATATTTACAAAACTGAAATTATTTTTACTTAACTGAACTTAGAACTAAACTGAATATTTTTTACTAAACTGATTTTTTTTACTAAATATTTTTTTTAAGATGAAGAGAACAAGGCCTTACCTTAATCTTTTTTTTACGTGTTTGTTGTTTTAGAGGACAGCTTTTCCACTTTTTCTTGTAATATCCTTTTTGCCAAAATAAATAAATAAATAAATAAAACAAAATGTCCTTTCATTTGACTATAGTTGATTATGTCCGAAGTATATGTACCAAAGTGTAACTGGCTTGTTATTACTTAATTGGAGGGTGGAGGACATTGAAATTCCTGTATGTCAGATGGGATTTCAATTGGGTGTATTAGCTCATATGGCTCAGGTGTGTCAAGGTTTGGGTTGGAAGATGCCCAAATATATATGCATAATTTTTAAAGCCCGCTATATGTGCATGATTTTGTAGGAGGCCATGCTGCATTTAATGCTTCTCCTCCTATGCAATGATGTATCTGATGTTAGCTTAGATTTTATTATGGACATGAAATTGTGTACTATCCTATTTGATGTTCATGTTTCTCTGTGGCCTTCTGAACCACTTTTACAATCTGCAGGATCTCAAAGGTAAAGTGGTAGTCTTGGATTTCTGGACCTACTGCTGCATAAATTGTTTGCATGTTCTACCCGATCTTGAGTATTTGGAGAAGAAGTACGAAGAGAAGCCTGTAATTACTTTATCTTACACTTACTGCTTATTGCATGAATTTACAAGTTCTCTTGAAGGAGTTTCCATGCTTGTAGAGCTTATTCTTCAATAACTACTTTCTTTCATGGTTGCTGAGCCTGTCATGTAGTTGCTATTGTATTAATTGTAGTATAGGTTTAACTTTCGTGACCCACTATTTCCTTTTAATAAGAGAAAAGAAGCACTCTTGAAAGAAAGACGTGAAATGCTGAGAGCACAGGATGCCCTCAATGAAAAAAATTCCTAAGATTAAGGCTCTGTTATCTTTTCTTTATTTTCACTTATTTCATATCTGATAAGTTCAGATACAAGAAAGAAAAGGACTAATAATCTCATAATGTAATATAAGGGTTTATACGTTTTAATAAGATAAGGGTTGATAAGGCAAGATAAGATAATGGTTAATAAGTTCCGATAGTAACACTTCATATAAGGCCCAATAAGGTCTAGTAATATTATTTATACTTCAAATAATACTTGTAAGATGAGGGTTGATAAGTTCAGATAAGATAATAATATAAGGGCTATTAAGTTCAAATAAGTTTAGGACTAATAAAATTAGATAATATAAGTGAAATTTCTGGTGAATAGAAACATGAATTATGTCTCCCATTTCAGTCTCTTGCGACCTTAATTGGGCTGGTCTCTAACTACCAGATTCCAGGCGGCAATAGTTAAAGTGTCCATGGCTATAAAATTTTGTAGTCAAGCAGCTTACTAATTTATACTTCGTATTTCTTTTTTGTTGATTTACTGGATTTCTTTTTCCCTCTCCTGCAGTTCACTGTTGTTGGAGTACATTCAGCTAAATTTGATAATGAGAAGGACTTGGAAGCAATTCGCAATGCAGTTCTGAGATATGGAATTACTCATCCTGTATGTTGGATACTGCCTTTTAACTAAGAATGCTTCAAGTGATAATTCTACTCCTCCCTTTGATATTATACTATTGATTAAAGAAGAGTAAGAAAATCTTGGGATTCGGTGTCCTATGTTATTGCCATTCTGGGCCACCTACTTGGTGCGGTATAGCATGCTGCTAGTTCATTGTTAGATTGAGCCTTTGATAATTGCGCCATTTAGCCTAGGCTGTGTAGTCAATGGACTTTCATTCAGATGGATAGTTTAATGTACTAATCAGTGGCGACCTTGAGATATGAATCATGAAAGACTCATCTAGTCATCTTGTTTGAACTAGACATGATTGTTTGTCCAGTTTAGGTGTGCCCGAGCCAAAAGCCAATTCACCCTTGGGTTGGTCAGCTTGGTCTACGGATCTGTAAACCAAAGTTGATATTTAGGTCAGGTTTAGCCAGTTACAAGTCCTGCTGGCCCTGGATTGGCTATTATTGCAGGGTTGACTTGGGCCAATCCAGGCTGAAGCTGAATAGCTGGCGTTGTGCCCACACTCTACTTGAATTGTCAGACCTAGTGGTTTGTTGGTCCATATTGGGTTTGACTACTGGGTTTGGCCTTAGGCTGGAACAATTTTGGCCATTGATCATGTCTAGACTTCAAATTTTAACCGTGGTTTGTTGCCATGCATAATTACCTTAATTTTACTCTGGCAAGTCTTTATTTTATTTATCTTGTTATCCTGTTAATTTCCAAGGGGTAAAATGAAAAGTCAATGTTCATGTGAAATTTATGGGATAATCACTTTTGGTTCATGTAGCCGACCCCATGAATGGGATTAAGGCTTTGATTGAATGATTGATTATGTGAAATTTCTTGCTTGGTAATGGGTGGATTTATTGATTCACTGTATCTAGCTGTAAAGTTGATGCTGCAGCAATTCTTATCCATTGTTATGTCCCTGTGCTGAATTTCTGCCATTATGCTCCAACTGTAGATTTACGTGTTGTTTGTTTTATGTGAGTGCAGGTTGTAAATGATGGAGACATGAATTTATGGCGTGAATTAGGGGTTAATTCTTGGCCGACTTTTGCTGTTGTTGGACCCAATGGTAGGCTTATTGGGCAAATAGCAGGAGAGGGTCGCCGAAAGGTACCATGTCTTCTTTTTTCTTGCAATCACAATGTTTTGATTATATAAGCATGTACAAGGTTGTTTTACTATGTTTATGGGTTTGGAACAATAAACTCTCCATTATAAGGATGGCACTCAGCTTTTGATGGGCAGTTCACATTAATATCTTTTTTGGTGAAGAAACTAGTTTTTCCAGACACAGTGAAAAGTCTCTGTAATTTTGTCATAAGAAGATAACTTTGATCTTTAATTTGATTATGGAGTTGTTGCGGTTAAACCTTTATATATATGGGCTCTTTGTGATTTACACATGCGTTAATATGATTCAGGAATTATTTCATCATAAACCTTAGTTCTTTTTGGCTTCAGGACCTTGATGATATTGTTGAGGCAGCGCTTCTTTTCTATGGTGAAAGGAAGATGTTAGATAATTCACCCCTTCCTCTGCGTCTGGAAAGAGATAACGATCCCCGATTGCTGACCTCTCCATTGAAGTTTCCAGGAAAGCTGGCAGTGGATGTGCTGAATAATAGGCTGTTTATTTCAGACAGTAACCACAACCGTATTGTTGGTTCTTCTTCCGTCTTTCTCCTTCCCCCCCCCCCCATTTCATACACAGATTCAAGTGCAGCATGTAACAAAAACAAAGGGGGAGCTCGATAGAGCAGGTGTTTTGAGTATAGAGTGGCTGGTTGTGTTCCATTACAATGCTTTAAGATTTAATCTATCCTTTATAAAATTTACTAGTGACTAAGATATTAATCAGCTCTTCAGTCTACACAATGACTTATAAATGAGTAGAAAACTTTGTGCATCAAATAAGATTATCTGTGTTTGGTACTTGTCCCCACCAAAATGTGTAGAAATATAAGTTATTATTTTGGATAACAAAAACTTAAAATCAGGACACACGTTGGGGTGCCATATGAGATGATATCAGTAATTTGTGTATTTTTTCCTCGTCTGATCTTTTCTCCTCTCTTTTTGTGTCTGTGTGCGTGAGTGCATGTGGGTTTGGCTAGCCAGCTCTTAATTTTGTTAAAACACATCATTTGATCAATATTCAAAACCTTTTAACCTTCAGATATTTTGGTGTTATGTAACTGTATGGAAAACCATGATTAGGCCAGTAAAGTGCTTTTCTAATGAACTACGTATATTTCTGTCAATCTACAGGTTGTTACTGATTTGGATGGGAATTATATTACACAAATAGGGAGCTCAGGAGAGGAGGGTTTACGTGATGGTAATTTTGATGATTCAGCTTTTAACAGACCTCAGGTAAAATTGGGAGTGCATATTTGCACAAACATGCCATATCTACTGTGTTACTGTTGAAATGCTTCTCTTCACATTGTATGAGTTGCTTGTCTAAAGTGTAGCTTTAGTTTTATGCTGTTTTCCCTATAATTATGTTCGGCTGTGTGGTTGTAGGGCCTTGCATACAATCCCAAAAGAAATGTGCTATATGTTGCAGATACCGAAAATCATGCTTTAAGGTTTGTTGATACATCCTAACTATAATTGTCTTTGGCTTCTTCCCTCTTCCGGTGCTGTGGCCAAGTAAAATTCTTCTTGTCCTTGTACTATTATAAATTGAGTACAATAAGAACTGCTTGCTGTTTATGAAGGTTGAGTACTACTTGTGCAATAAATTTGCACCGGGTTTATATGATGACCTTTTCACATACTCAAGAATCTAGACCACTAGTGATGGGAAAGATCATGTGGCATTTGACTTTCAACCTTACATCCAACAATGCTTAAACTTGGATCTGCTTGTCTAACTTGTAGAAAGTGCTGCAAACATGACTTAATGCAGTGGCTACTTTATTAATACCTCTCATGTATTGTATGTGTTGTTTCTCATGGTTCTGTTGCTCTGTACCTGTTCCCTAAGTCGTGTTTTTTAACACTAAACTGCTGCTTCTGGAGAATTATTTGTGGAAATTTCTGAGCAAAAAAATTTCACAGCACTAGACTAAGAAAGTAAGCATCCAATTAACCAAGGTATTGGTTGCAAGAATATCTTAGCTCTCTACCTAGACTCCATCATAACTTTCATCTTTAACTTTCAAAATTATAACTCCATTATAACTTTCATCTTTAACTATAGTAACCTTGAAAATTTAAGTTGTTGATACTCTGTCTTTAATTCTTGATTCCCATCTTTCATCCTCACCTGTTTTTATCCCTGGCGTAACTTTTTAGAGCCAGATGCTACAGAAGCTTCAAAATTTTGTAGGCAAAGTTGGATGAATGGGATCCCAAATTTTCATTCATCCAAGATCACAAAATGTTATATTACAATTCGAGTAAAATTTGCTGGATAATTTGGATAGCAATGTAAAGAATGTAGAAGGCTTTAATGAGTCACAGAAAGTTCTTGTTTAAGTAGATTATTTCTATAATTTATATTCTTTTAACTTCCCCTTATTTTTTGTTCATTTTTGCTCCTCCCCTGTGTATTCTTCTTGGGTGTATGGGGCATCATATTCTGTTATGCTATCTGGGTGTATATTATCAGGGGTATTGTTTGAGCATTCTGGTCTTTATTAACCAAACTTATAAATAGACATATTAAGAAGATCAAACTTCTGTGATAGGATGACGAGGAATTTATGACTAATATGATGTATCGGATTGGCAGTGTGCAAGGGAAAATGAGGAATTTATGATTTTTTGAATAATCAAATTGTTAATTGAAAAGTAAAGAGTAGCTGTTTCTCATGTTAATTTTGATTTTCAGGGAGATCGATTTTGTCAATGAGATGGTCCGCACACTTGCTGGCAATGGTACAAAAGGTTCTGATTACAGAGGTGGAGGAAGGGGAACCTCTCAGGTATGATTATAGAACTAAAAAAAAAAAGAGAAATTCTTCTACACATAAATATATAATATGCTTTTATGCTGCTTACAAGTTGTGATGTGATTTCAGCTCCTCAATTCTCCATGGGATGTCTGTTTTGACCCTGTCAGAGAGAAGGTTTATATAGCAATGGCTGGCCAACATCAGATTTGGGAACACAATTTAACAGACGAGATCACCATGGCTTTCAGTGGTGATGGTTATGAAAGAAACTTGAATGGTTCGAGGTATCCTCTTGTGACCTAGTTTAGTTGCAGTTGAGCTAATAGTGATGTTTGTCTTTTTTAATGTGATTTCACTGTACCCTCAGTTTTCCTATATTTGTATTGTTAGGGGAGTTAAATATCATGGCTTAAATTAGTTATATTTCAGTTACAAGCCTAAATCAAATTAACAGAAATAAAATATTTTGTTATAACTGTTTCACTTGAGCATTTTGGTTGTTAGCTGAGTTCTTTAGCTTATCTTTCTCTTTTTACCGTCTTTCAGCTGCTTCTTTTGCATATTGGGTGGTCTGATATACTGTTCTTCTTGATGCTTTCTTTTCTGTAGCAGCACTCCATGTGTATTTAAGTATAATTTGCCTCTTTTACATCACTACTAGTCACTAGAAGGCAAAGTGATTAACATGGACTATATAATCTCCTCTCCATCTTTTCACTTTTGATAGTTGCATATCTTCTTTACTAGTCTCCCAATTCTCAGTTTATCTTTTGATTTTAAGAGTGCAATGACAAGAGGATTTTTCTTACTTGTGTACCTTCGTATTCATTTAGATCTAGATATTTGGCTTGTTCTGTATTCCTGTTAATCTGTTGTGATGTTTCTGAAGGCTTTTCCTTGTATTTTTTTTCTTTCCTTGTAGCCCGTTGTCCACATCATTTGCACAGCCTTCTGGAATGTCGTTATCTCCAGGTATTACTACAAAATGTACATGCTGTTTATGTGATTGAATGTTTTATTTTCACAATAACTATAAAAAGCTTACTACGTTAGTATTTTTATATAAATTTAGATATGAAAGAGGTGTACATTGCGGATAGTGAGAGTAGCTCTATTAGAGCTCTTGATCTCAAGACAGGAGGATCAAGATTGCTGGTTGGTGGTGATCCTATTTTCTCTGACAATTTGTTCAAGGTAAGCGTCTTTCCTCTATATAAATACTATTATAATCTTTTGCATCCTTGATGTCTGGTATGTTTTATCACTTTTATGCATGAAAATATAAGATTTAAAAATGCTATACTACTATTTCAGTTTGGTGACCATGATGGAATAGGTGCTGAAGTACTTCTTCAACATCCATTAGGTGTCTGTTTTGGACAAGATGGCTTAGTTTATATTGCAGATTCTTATAACCACAAGGTAACTAAGACTGACTGGAACAAAGTTTTTTTTTTTTTTTTGTCCCCCCCCCCCCCCCTTTTCTTCAGATTAGTTTGCATTCCTTTGCTGAATATAGGATCTAGATATCTGGATGCATTCATAATATTGTTCTCGCATTGATATTATGGTTTTAACTTGTGAGCCAGACCTTGCTACTTGCTAGTACCTGTCTACCTGAAACAGAAAGATCTATAATTGTGACTACAACAGACATAGATATGGCATGTGCATTGTGCCTTCTGTAGGGATATTTTTGTGGCAAAGAAACATTCATCCTTAGCTGACTTAATGACGGTATACACATTACCAGATCACCACAATCCACTTGTACAATTATTAGCTTTGTCGACAAGTCTCTGATAAGTTATGTGTAACAGTTGCAGCATGCTAGTGCACATGCTTTTATTCTATTCTGATCATGTATTTACCTAAATATTCAGAGGAAATATATTATGATTCAAGAATCTAGATACATCTCAGAGGACCAGGAGTCAAATCTTTATATTGCCTAGCCATTTCAGCTGCATTCCTGTTGTTTGCAAGTCTTTTTGTCATCATTTTAGTCCTGACTCTCTTGACTACTCCTTCTTTCCCAAATTCATCCGTTTCAAATTCAGTTGACCCATCACTCTTTCTCATTAAATGAAATGACATCTAAAATATTTTAAATAAAAGTGATAAAACACACCTAAAACTATATGGGGACAAAGGGAATAGTTCCAGACCGGCCTTTTTTTTTTTTGGGGGGGGGGGGGGGGGTGGGGGAGTTAGGGGCAGGGTGGGGAAGCATCAAGCATATTGGAATTTGGAAATGGTTGGAGCTTGGGAGCCAGGTCCCCAACTTTCATACACCAATGAAAAAGGACTGTCATCATGCTACTTAGAAGAGTGCCTGGCTACCACCGGTAAGTGAGCCCTATGTTCAGATCTGCTATTGGCTATATGGAATTCCATAAATCATAGCTGACTTATACCGAGTATATGACTGTCTTGTGATTTCTGTGAGGAAAACATAGGAACTCTGTCAACAGCTTCCAGGTTTCATACATTGCCCTTTTGCTTGTTATAAGAGACTACCTCATGCAGGTGTCTTTTGGATAAAAGTAAATGCGGTCATCTTATAGTTCCAAGCTTTCAACTGCATGCACCTCAATGCCCCAAGAACGCTGATCAGTAGAATTTGTTACAATATCTCTAGTATTGTTCTTTAGCCTGCAATCAGTTTTCTGAAAAATGGTAGCTGTTGCTTCTGAATGAAGTTCAGGCTTTTTAATTTTAAGTGACGTTTCTTATATTTCCATTTCCAATCAGTCTCTTGACAACAGGAGACTTCAAATTAAGTTTTAATAATATAGTTATTTAATAGAGTTAGAGAACTAAAGTTTGGCTTCTCATATTCAGATCAAGAGGCTAAATCCATCAAATAAACGAGTCACTACCTTAGCTGGGACTGGAAAAGCTGGTTTCAAGGACGGTAAATCTTTAGAGGCTCAGGTAAGATATCTGTTTTTGGTGCTAAATTGCTAAATTGTTTGACTATTGAGAGCCAATCTTTGTTCTTGTTAACGTACTGGAGTTTGAATGTGGCAAAAAAAAAAAATCCCCTAGTTTGATATTTTTTGTTTCTTCCAATGTACTTGAGCCTTTATCTGGTCATCTACTATTCTACTGTTCATGATTCTCCAAACAAAGTTCTGGACAGAGTATTCGAAACTGTATTTCACTCTTTCTGCATATTGATTTAAATTACCAAATCAAAACACATAACCTCATCTGTTGCTTTAATTTTCTTTATAGGAGGACAAAGAATTGGAAGTAAATAAGAACCAATTGAAAATTGCGACTTTTAAACAAGGAAGACACTAGAGTTTAGTTAATTGATTTGCACTGCTATATATTGTTATCAAACTTTCTTACGGGCATCCTTAGTATCCCGATTAATTCTATAAATTCTGGGATAGTGGGAAGCTTCATGTTAACTCCTACCCCTTCCTTTTTCACGCTTATAAATTCTCTCCCTTCCATTTCCATTATCCTTTTCTGTCTAACCCTTCTTGCAAAAAACCAACAATAATTTACAATTATGTTTTCTCCCGAACAATCATTTTGTACTAAAAATATTTTCCATTAAATCAAATGGAGCCTTGTTATAAACTGAATTTAATGAAATAATAGGAGGAATTTCTTTGATTATGTACTTAGGTTGGTAGTATTAAGCTTCTAATGATTGGTATATTTGAAACAAAGGGTCAAGGCCTGGAGAAGTTTCTGATATTATGTTGCACTTTTTTTGGGTGTTTTGCAGCTTTCAGAGCCATCAGGACTTGTTGAAGTCAGCAATGGTGAGGCTCTTGTTTTTCATACTTTACTCATGTAGATTATATTGCCATATCAATTGTACATTGTTTGAAACTATTAAGATATTATATTGCTTTATGCTTCCCAGTTTCAATTACTTTTGCATACAGCTCAAAATAGTTGATTTTGGCCATCTGGCTTTCAATGATTAGGCCTGTTCTTCTTAACTTAATGTAACTTATTTCAAAAAAAATAAGTTTAGTTTATATTAGTTTTGGCAAATAAATTCATATCAGACAACAATAAGTTCCCCCCCCCCCTCCCCCCCCCCCCCCCCCCCCAAGGCCCCAACAATTTCATGTCAGATAATTTCAGACAAAATAAGTCCTCCATTTACAAAAAACAGAGAACTTTAGGTAAAATAAGTGGAATTTAACAGAGCCTTAATATGTGAACATGTGGATATATGGACTTGGTAGGCGAAGGTAGTTTACAGGCTGTATTGAGGTTTATTCATCGTACCCTACTCACTGGTAAGGAAGCATACAGTGCCAATTTCACAACTATGTAATAGATAGAAACAATCACTAGACCTAGTTTACTACGGAGTTCCAACCTCTTTATGGCAAAATTTCTGCTGTCTGCTGCTTAGTTTAGTAAATTCTTCAGTTCATTTAGCTATGTTGCTGTATTATCAGGAAAATTCTTGGTAGCTGATACAAACAACAGTGTTATCCGATACATGGACTTAAACCAAAGAGAACCACAACTTTTTACATTAGAGTTGAAGGGTGTTCAGCCTCCTGTTCCTAGGGCGAAAACCATGAAACGTCTGAGGAAGCGTTTATCAGCTGATACACAGATTATCACGATGAATGGTGGTCCATCAACTGAGGGCAATTTGTACCTTAAGATATCAGTACCAGAAGGGTATCATTTCTCAAAGGTATCTTTCTCTCCCACAAAAACAAACACACAAACATGTGTGTGCTCCCAAAATTGTCATCACCCTGCAGTCTACTCATAATTTTATTTATAATTTTCATGTCTGAGTAGTGTCTGACACTATATATGAGTTAACGGTATTCAGGAAGCTCGGAGTAAATTCAATATAGAAACACAGCCAGATAATGCAGTTATCATTGAACCCTTGGAAGGGAATCTCAGCCCAGAAGGATCTGCTGTCCTCCATTTCAAAAGATCCACCCCTTCACCTTCCTTGGGAAGAATAAATAGCAAGGCATGGTTCCTTTATCTTTTAACTTCTGTTCTCATGCTATATAATTAGCCGAGTTCAGCTTTTATATGAACAGAAGCTGTATAATTTGTGTACTAGCTAGCCATTTGATGAAATTTTTTCTCTTTTCAGGTCTATTATTGCAAGGAAGATGAAGTTTGTTTGTACCAATCATTAGCTTTTGAAGTTAACTTTCAAGAGGAAAATTCCGGATCATCTCCGGCAGAAATAACTCTACAATATCTCGTGAAACCAAAAGCAAGCAGAGACAGCCTACAGTTACCAGCTAGTTATTGATACATGTCTCCATTTGTATATATGCTATAAATTTGCCATTAAAAAAGCATATGAAGATCATTAAACTAGTTATAGTCATTCTGGAACTGATTAATTATATTATTCCAGATTAAGTGTTACGTTGAATGTATATGCCAGCCGATTTTGTTTCTTGAGTTTTCTTCAATGGTCCTATATATATACCTGTCGTAACTCAATCAAAATTGCGTTACTTGATCCTCCGCTAAGTATTTTGGTGATGAGCAGGTCTCGAGTCCTTTAATCTATTGCGAGACATTGAAAGCTACACCATAAAACACCCTTCGTACTGGACTTGGCCTTTATAGATATTGTGTGTGCGCGCGCATGCATGGTTTTTTTTTTTAATAAATGAAACAGGTATTGCAGGAATCATTAAGGCACTTTTGTCTCTTGTGAACAAGGCAGCAAAATCGCGATTATGATCCATTGTTTGGCAGTTGGCTTGTCAACCCTTAAATTTGTTGAGATATAATTGACTTGTAGCACATATTAGGGATCTTTAGCCGTACAATTATTGGAGTAATAATATTCTGCTAAGCGTGTGTTTTGTCTTTTTCTTGCTCTCGAACTCCTGCCGATTCAATGTGCCTAACCCATATGCTCTGCCCTTATTTTCAGGTATTCTTCAGTGGAAGACCTCCTATCTCATACTATTACGAGCATCTGTTTTGGTCCTACGGTACATGTATTTTTTTTATAGGAATACAGTATACCATATAAACGTATACTATATTTTACATTTTAATCCCAAATTTTTAAAAAAAAATATGAGTATTTGTGTCCATTCGGATAAATCATGAAAGGTATAGATGATAAATATTGATTTTAACTCACGTTTTTTGTTGTACTCTGTATGAGACTGATTAGTGATAAAGATGAGATTAGAAGATTTTCGATATCACCTCTTATAATTAATTTTCTTTTCGTATGTAAGCAAAATTATCTTACTGGTTAGAAACCTCTTACAAATCAACAATATATTTGACTGACTCAACTATTTTTTTTTTTGGAAGTCATGAGTTACACAACTATTTTTATTTTTTAAAAAAAAATAAGAAAAATAAAAACATTAGAAAACCCTCCGCAGTCCTCACAAGAGGAATTTCTAATGCAAACTAACTCAACTACTTAGGTATGCATAATTATAATTGTTTTTGGTGAAGATAATTATAATTGTTTTAAGACCTAGGAAGTTCCGTTCTTGTTTGTGCATTAAGCAAAGGATTGTTTTATAACAAAGCCACGCCCTCTTATATTATGCACATGCCTATCACTATATCATTTAATCATGAAAGCGTCGCCAACAATATGGACTTATTATGCATTAATAAACTATACTTCTCTTTTTCTCTTTTAATTAAATTAAATATAATACACTGAGGTCCAGGTTAGTCCCCTTCGTACTAAGCAATGTAATACAAAATTAACTGAAAACAAATCTTATTAGGAAAACCTTTAATCAAATGATTGGCTTAGTTGTGATTGTATATAAATGCATTGTATTGTATTAATTGCTTAATTATTTATATGATTGACAGCATATAGCCTTGGCTCAGCTACCATACCAAATACATTATCCATATATTTATCCAACTTAATTCTATCATTTTTGTCCTCCGCAGTCACAGTGCCGTAATCATCTAGTTTTCCCTATTGAACTAAGATTGTGTTGTAAGTATTTCAAGGACACATTTTGTGTTGTTTGAATGGTCATTTTCATCAATGAATTAGTTCCTTAATTCGATATAAGCTTGCAATTATTGTTTCTTATTAAAGTAGTTGTATTATACTATCTTAGACGGTATAATATCTAAGAGCTTGCATTCGAAAATGTAGGTTATAATTAAGATTATTCCGTGTTCATATCTCTGTACTTTTATTAATAAAATTGGAGACTATGAAGGGACGAATGGACAAATGGTGTATCAAGTCACATATTTCCATGTGTATACCACATGATTTGTTGCAAGAAGATGCATGCACTCAAAGTCTCAAATGGTATGTATGCCTCTTAGAATGAAGAATATATATTTTTTTGAAAAAAAAATCCTTAAAGCCAAGTCCTATGATGAAATACAAGGTATTATCTTTGGCTTTTGAATCTATAAAACCCCACAATAATTAGCAACAACATTTGGTAGCTTGCCATTCACATTCATTAGTTAATCAACGACATATAAAGGTTAAACTTTACATACACGTGTCGCGTATTGAGGAGCTTGCTACTATTTTAACTGAGCAAGTAATTGTCTACACTACAAGTCTACACTTACAAGTTACAAATTACATGTAGTTAGGGTTTATCCAAACTCAACTGGATAACCTCTACAAACTAATAGACCAACTTTTTACAAACACTCAAGATATATAACTTAGTTTAATTAACTTCAATCTCTTCAAACTTATTCTTAGGGTCTGTTCTCATACGTCGAAATTCAGTTCATTTTAGTTCAGTTCAGCTCAGTTCGGTTCAGTTCGGTTCGGTTTAGTTCAGTTCAGTTCAGCTCTTAATTTCCTTCTCTTATAAAATATTCAGTTCAGCTCTTAATTTCCTTCTCTTATAAAATATTCAGTTCAGTTTAGTTTAGTTCAGTTCACTTCAGCTCAGTTCAATTCAGTTCACTTCAGCTCAGTTCAATTCAGTTCAGTTCAATTGAGTTCAGTCAATTAGAAAATGCCCTAAGTGGACTAGAAATGCATATTAAGGTAGCATATACAAGTATATTACAATTGTTATCCAAACATCTAAATTAAATTGTATTGAAAAATCACATATATACCAAGTATAAATGTTTCTCAAAGTTTAACTTATTTTTCCGTCATTGCTTATTTAATGAGTATATAAATAACTCGCATATGAGTTCAGACTAACTATTTTACATTAAATAAATTGAGGAAAGATGATATTTTTTTTTTATTAAAAAAAAGTATTGAGTTACCTCTCTTGCCGTCAATTGGTTCTAAGCTGAGATGGCCTTGCTGAATTTGTATGTGGTCAGATTCTCTTCCAACGTGATCTTGTGTTCAGCTCAATAATCACATATTAAAATGTAAAACCATGTCGATTTTATTATTATTCATTATAAATCACATGAAATCTTTTCAAGTTTGATCTCCTTAATGCCAGATAAAAAGGATTTCGGTTATAGTTTTCCTTGCGATGGTCCAGGACGAGGCGGTACTTGTGATATTTCGGCTTGGGACGCATTTTATTTGGCAGTTTTCTGGATGTTAAATACCATTGGGTGATTTATACTAGTTTTAACCATTGTTCTTCAACCCTTTCTTTCACAGTAAATCATGATTATTGTGAAAAAGTGTAGTAATCACAAATTCATAATCAAGTGAATAAAATATTACCGTGAAAGACCCACATGATTCTTGACTATTTTAATCACCATATCTTTTAGTACATACATATAAATTCAAATTAATAATTTAACTTGATTTGAAATAAACTAAGGAATGGGTTGAAAAGAGTGGTGGACAACTTTACATTAACTTGAGTACACGTTGATTAAGTTAACAATGGTAATTAATTAAATATTAGGACTCCTAAATTGATGATCCAAAATTGAGATTAAGTAAACCCCATAATACAAATACAATAATAATACTAATAAAAATTAAAACCCTAATAATTTTTAAAAAAATTTGGGAGGGAGTGAGAGAGTGAAGTGTGTATTTGTTTGATGGCAATAAGGTGGGTTGGTCTCAAGCAAGGGAGCAACCCTGAGTGGCATGTCTCTTCTCAAATCTCAAAATCAAGATTTACATCACATGATCTCTCCACTCTTTCCCATCCATTTCCAATTTTTTTTTTTTTTTTATTGTTTTTATTTTTAAAATATTAAATATAAATATTAATTATAAATAAAAATATAAAATCAGGGTAACCTTACCTTATTAGCTGGAATGTAGAATGTGGGCACCTCCCTCTTTGCCCTTTGCATGTGGTTTTTATTTGTGGGATTGGCTATTTGCATATGCGTATTATCATTTCTAAACTCCCGTCTTATTATGCAAAAATGCCCCTTTGTATATTCTTCCTATTATTCAACCGACTATACCATACTTGTATATTCTAGTCTAACAATAAATTAGAGGCTCGATCTAAACTTTAATTTGTATACATAAACCTTGGCCTTATTTTATTACAATAAGAAGAAGAAAGGCAACTAAATCATACACATGGTGCTTCAATTCTATCGGAATGTGCATTTTATTACTACATTACGTACATGTTTAAGGGTCATAAATGTAGCTCTGTATTTGATAATGAATCTAAAATATCTTTATTTTTCACTTATGAAATCTCCTCCGTCAAAAATTTACATGTTTTACTCAAGTTTTAAGTACATACATTGCGGTTTATATTGAAACTTCGAATTCCATCCAAAATTTTAATTTAGAGATTGTTGATCAAATTGCCTATTAAATTGTAATAAAGAAAAAACAAAAAAATAATAATTTTTTTAATTATATGAATACGAGGGTATGCGTATGATCTTTACAAGATTCGAACATGCAACCTCAAACTCTTATATTAAATGTTTCACGAATAAGCTATATTACATATTTTATGTATTCTTTGTCAAACAATATTTATATATCTAGTGTTGAAAAGGCTTTTCGTATTGATTTTTAGGATTTAGTGGCGATTGTAAATGATACGATTTCTCAAAATTATATCAATGTGTAAAAATAGTGTGGTTATGTATTATTATGTTTTCCGTATCGATTTTATATGGGGAAAACATGGAGATTGTAAAAACGATACGACTTCCTTAATTATTTCAAAAACATACTTGCATATTGTAGCGAATGTACAATCACTACGATATAATCGCTACGAAAAGACATTTTTTTTGTAGTGTTTTTTTTTTTTTTCTCCTTTACTACAAGTATACAGGAGTAAATCCAATTTAAAAACAGCCTGATACTATGAAGTATTAATACTAACTTTCGAAGTATTTATTTAAAATTCAATTATTCATCACTTTTGGTTGAAATAACCTAAGGTTCTTTTTTGCAAGATTCAGAAAAATTACTCCATATAACTATTGTAGACATGAAAGTGATTACAGATAAATTCTTTTTAAAAGAAAAGGTGATTACAAAAATAATGAAAAAGACATAGATTGTCGAGCATATTTCCCATTATGTCTCATATACTAAAATACAATCAAGGAAGGTTAAGCTAGCTGGTTCATGTGCACTTCAATAATTACAAAATTACTCACTGGAAACATTTGCTTCAATGATGACCATGTGGACAAATATATCAACATTTTAGGAAATATTATGAAAATTTCTTTTATCAAAGAATTGAGAAGTTAGGCATGGATAGATCGTCATATGTCATCTACAATAACAGTTACCTCTAAATCGACATAAGACTATCTGATACACCGGTGTGATTTCTTTAATTCATATTATTAGTTAGTATGAATATTTTGGGTAATTAAGTTCTTACACATGTGTTTACTTTCATTAAAGAAAACAAAAAACAAGCACTAAATGGTAAATATATACTACAAGTCTACAACTAACAAATTAAAATCACATGAACCAACTGAAATTTGGAAAAACAAGTGGTTAAACTGCTGAACTGTTGCTGATCCATAAAACTTTTAGAAGAGAATTTTGTGGGGTGCCTATAATCAAAGCCTGCTGCTTTTTCTTCCCCTTTCATTCCTTTCTTTCTTTTTCTTTCTTTTTTTTTTCTCTATTTTTTTTTTATTTTATTAAAATTGGAATTTTATTTTATCATATTTTGTTTACCACCACCAACCACAATGTATAGTGCTAGGCTACTGGGCCTTCCTGCAATGCATGTGCTTGCATGTTTTTTGAATGCCTTTTTTCTTCCCAGGTTCAGATGCATTTCATTTTCTTTTTTTTTTAATGACTTTGTTTTCATAGTGTATGTAATAATAATGTTACAATGCATATGTTTAAATTGTTTACAGAGTGGTGCACCAAATATGTCAAAACAGGTCCAAAAATAAAGGAGTTTTTATTTTTTTCCTTGCAGAAAATGAATGGGCAGAATGTGAAAAAAGAATAGAATGAAATGTGGATTATCTCTATCCACACGACCACACCCCAATACCCTATCACTTATAGTTATACAAAGATTTATAAAACCGATCCGATATTCATTTTTTGTTTTTTCATTACTTTGGCGGATAACAATTAAGTTGTATTATTAACACGACTATTAATCTGTTAAAGAGGACGAGTTTATTAAAAGCACCAAATGTGAATTGAGAAGGAAGGAAGGAAGTAAATGAAAGAGTATGTTAGGTTGTTAATTACTTTTGCTTAAATAGATGCTAATAGTTAACAGCATCAAGCCACTAATGATTGCCGAGAATAAAACCAAAAGGTTGATTAAACCCTACCTTACATTGGCTACTTCCTTAACCCAATTAGTGGAAGACATATACACTTTGATCTATTGCCCTTGCTTGTTTGTATCCAAAGACATGTCTTTTTATTTGTCCATTTTAATTAATAACTGTCCTTTTCTTTTTCACTTTTTCATACTTAAATCATGATTCACATATATACACTCATACACATACCATGTAATATTAGGATTTTTTTTTTTTCTCTTCCGAAATCAATTTTATTATTATTATTAATAATAATAATAATAATAATAATAATAATAATAATAATAAATTAGCTGTGTATATTATCAAATAATACTTATATATATCTTTTTTTTGGATATATAATTTCTTGGTTATTATTTTGTTAAACAATGAATTAAACCATCTTGATTCCATTAGATAACGGTCTTTAAAGCTTAAAAATTTCCATTATCCTTCAAAACTTGGTTTAATGCTTCACTTCCATGTACATAAATCATGCATTGCCATATCTATACTAGATTACTAGTATAGGTTTTTCCCTTTTTTTTTTTTTTTTTTTTTGAGGAATGTTAAGGCGCTACTATAAAAATTATTGAAGGATTTTACATAATAAAATAAAACTTTAGCTTGTTAGAAATCATTTTAAATTATATTTTATTGCAATATATATGTAATAATATCTATTCACCATTTATAATTTTTTTTATCAACTAACATTTGTACATTTTTGCATGGTATACAAAGTGCAATCTAACACAAATTTTTACTATCTCCGTTATATATTATTTACAACATTTTGACATAAAGTAGAGAGGGAAAATGTCTAATCGTTGCAAATAATATGTAACTGAGGTAGTACATGACCTTATTCATTTGTTACTAATCAAGAGCAAACAAAATAACGTATCATGAAACGATAAGGAAATAAACATGTTCCTTCCTTTCAAATATGCTAATATTAATATTTTCAACTTGAAAATGATAATTAGCGTATTACGTTGCATATTATTATAGCCACAAACCAAGCAAGAAAAAAAAAAAAAAAAAAAAAAACCAAGCAAGAATAGAGACGCATGCATGGAAGAGTATTGATGGAAATATACATGTTGTTGAGAAATAGAGTGGAATTAATGTTAAATATATCATTAATTTCCTTTCTTTTTTTATGGCTCGTAATTTCCCAATATCATGTATTTTCCTTGGTTAAGTTTCAGAAATTGTGATGAGAATTTGGGATTAAGTTCGGCATTTACGCGTAGTATATATGGTCCTTCACTTGCTAGAGATTATTATTTATGCGCATGTGTAGAAGTTGCAACTTTGAAGTTGATATTAAAATTTGACTATTTGATTTTTTTTTTTTTTTTGAAGACCATTTGATTAATTTTTAATTAATTCGATTCATCTTTGTTTGTTATTATTCCTATTTTAAATAAGCAACAAAAAAAGTCAAAGCTGGACTACCAATTTGGGGGAGTTGCACTAAAAATAGATTAATGTCAAATTTGTGTTAAGTAATTTTCATTTTTATACTCATGTTTTTATTAGAGAGTAAGGGCTTGTTCTCATACGATTATTTTCAGATTAGTTCAATTCAGTTCTAACAAGTTTAGTCCACTTCAGTTCAGTTCAGCTCCTAATTTACTTCTCTTATAAAATATTTACTCTGTATCTTACTTAAGCTCAGTTCAGCTCTAATAAGTCCAGTCCAATTCAGTTCAGTTCAGCTCAGCTCATTTCAGTCAATGAAAGCAAGCTCTAATACTTAGATTATTATTTTTAATTCATATATAACTTCAATAAGCACTAAAAATTACAAGGCTGAGAAGATGAGCTAAGTTTGACTGGAGTATAAAATATGGCACAATATTCCTAATTTAAGGACGCTGAAAAGATCAAACAAATTAAACTACTGTAGAATCAATTCAACTACTGGTTGATATGATGTGAAGACTATGCATTAATCAAGATATATGGATGTTCTAGGTTAGCACACATAATGGTCATGTAAAACTCATAAAACGATAAAACTATGCACTAATCCTAGTTATATAATAAGATTAGATAGTAACCTTACACCAATAGATGGCTTAGGTTGACCTAATTGCACTTCCATCCGTTTTTTTTTTTTTTTTTTCTATCTTTTTAAGTAAAGTCCAAATGTAGTGATTGGATTAAGCATTTCATCATGAATGACTTAATAGAGGATGATTATTGGTAGGCTCCATATTCATTGGCTAATTTAAAGTTAATGGAAGGTTAAGACTTGATTTGTTTTTGACATTATGTCTATCTGATAAGTGTCTTCTCAACATTTTATACATCATCATGTGATAATTAACCAATCGATTTGAATGTAATTAGTGCGTTTATGGTTGCCTAGCTAATTGTCATTTTTTTTTTCTTACATGACCGCTAGTGATCGAGATTCGAATCCGAAAATTAGTACGTATTGCGTCGCATAAACGCGTAGTCGTCCTATCTATCTAGGAATAAGATGTGCAATATCATTAAGATAATTCAGTCTAAATCATACGTTTTTGTGTTTGATTTTATGGAGCAATTATAATGTTGACATAAAATACACAGTGCAAATTAACTTCGTTCGTTTTACTTGAATGAGATGTCTAGATGTAAATCACATTCTAAATGATCTATCATGTAATATAGTCCTCCACCACAAGATGCAAGTATATAACTCAATTTTGGCTAAACACAATTAAATAACAATATAATTCAGATTTACCTAATTAAATAACCAAAATCTAGAAAGAGATACAAATGATACAACTACCTTAATGCTACAAAACGGGCAAATAATTAAACACAATTAACCTTTATGAACAATGTTACGGAATCAATTTCAATAAAATTTACCACCATGAGCATTTAGGTTAACATGATCCTCATAATCTATATACTTTATTGTTTACTCAATTTATGAGAAAATATAGTGCCTAGCATCTTAAGATAACATCACCTTTGCAAAGATAAACTATTTAACAAGACATATAGCAAACAAAAATAACATACGAAAATAAAAACATCTATGCAATTTAGTTTTTACCTTGATTACAAGTATAATTGTCTGTCTTTTCATATCTTTATTTGTACTGTTATTGTAGCTCATTCGCTAAAAAAAAAAAAATAATAAAAAATCGTATGAGTAGAAAGACCTTAAATCCTTGATCCTTATCGATCCAAAAATGAAAAAAATAAAAACAATAAAAAATGGTAACCTCGGCGCACAAAAACGGGGGAAACAAAAGAGAGGAGACATTAAATGTGAACTTACAAACGCCGCGTGGGTGTCTCTCTCCTCTTCTACGGACTATTTAAAACTCCCCTCCTTTCTTTTACTCCATTTCCTCATTACTTCCTTCCTTTCTCTTTTATACTATTCTCTTCTTCTCCTTCTTCACTCTCTCACCTCACTTTCTCTAACCTATTATCTTCTTCAATCTCCTCGTTTTCATCCTATTCTCAGATTTTCAACTGACATTTTTCTCAGATAATCATCAATTTCTATGCAATATTCCTGATCAATTTTTCAATTAGTTTTTTTTTTTTTTTCTGCGAAATTACGAAGATAAGATTATTCGGTGTTCAACTGAATCTACTCTCTTCATACTTTTAATTTTTCGCAATTTCATTTCATATTCATCCACAATCTTCTCCTGTAATCAATTCCAGAAAACGTTGATAAATTAGGTTACGAAAATCAGTAAGAATTGAGTGATTTTTCCAGATTGTTGTTAATGGCGTCGATAATTTCGAATTACGAACAACACACAGAAGATACATCACGAGAATCAAAGAGGAAAAAGCGTCGAAGAATAGACACCGTCAATCAAAATCAATCAAACCAAAACAACAACAATCAAAATCAAATACGATGGAGATCAGAAGCAGAACAACGAACTTACTCATCAAAACTCGTCGAAGCTCTCCGACACGTTCGCCGCCGTAATCCAACTCCGGCGCCAGTTTCCGGAAGCCGAGCCGTCCGTGAAGCCGCCGATAAAGCCTTAGCCATAGCCGCCAAAGGTCGCACTCGTTGGAGCCGAGCTATTTTGACAAATCGGCGTAAACTCCGGCTTAAGAGCCATAAAAAGGCTAAAGTTCGTTCAAAGTTGCCTCTGCCACCGGTTACCGGGAGTAGCCGGTTGTTAGGGGAGAATGAACAACAGCAGAAATTACCACCTCTTGAGAAGCGTGTCAAGGTTCTTGGCCGGTTAGTTCCCGGTTGCCGGAAACTATCTTTCCCGAATCTTCTAGAAGAAGCTACGGATTATATTGCTGCTTTACAAATGCAAGTGAGAACTATGGCTGCTCTTGCGGAAATTCTAGCCGGTTCAAATCCCGGTTCAAGTTCCGGTTCAATGGAAATTGATTCACCTAGTAGTTGACTCGAGTCACGGCTTAGCAAAACCCCCTTTTTTTTAATTAATTAATTTTTAATTTTTTTTGGTTTATTGTTCTTTTTTTTCCTTTTTTTTTGGATATTTAATTGAATGTATTTTATTGTATACAACTGGCTTTAATTTTTTTCTTTAATTTGGAGCTATTAGTTTAGTTCCTTTTTTAATTTTTCTTCTTTTTAGCTCAACCCATGTGAAAATTTCATTATTAATGCCTTTATTTTTAGGGGATTAATATTTGGAAAAAATGATTTATTGGACAGACATTCACAAGAAAAATAAATTAGAATAGTAGTAGTAGTAGTCATTAAATGGGAACATGGCACCTAATAATGGATCTTTGTACTGAAGTGCTGGAGGGCGGTTGAGTTCCCTTTTTATAGGGGCATATTATTGATTAATTGGGACTCCATCCAACCATGTTCTTGGGTTTTTGGTCCTCTTTTATTTTGTAAAAGGTCAAATACCCCTCCAAAGTTAAAATAAATATTTGTATCATTGGGTGTTTAAACATTTGGGGTTGTTGATTAATCTAGTTGTTTTGTATGATTGCACCATTATTGGTTTATGTTGTTCTATTCCAATAAATTAATGTTTTTGTTTATACCATCATGATGTTTGGTGTGTTTTTCTCCTTTTCTTCTTTATGTTCCATTCTATTATTCATTTACTAGTTAATCTTCTTGTGGTTCTTACACATCAAGGTTGTTACCAATTTACCATACAAGTGTACGACTGGAGGGATCTAAGTTTAAATTATTACGAGTAAAATTTTCTAAAAGTGTTGAATTAGTTGTATCACTTATCTTACATTTAATATCTTATATGCTTTGGAAACATAAGTTTAAAACATTTTATATTGTAGAATTATTGTAGAATAATCGTATTGATCCTACTCAATTCTATTTGTGAATTGATCAATTAGTATTTTGGATTGTTACGACAAGAAGTGCCTATGAGTTGTTCGATTGGTGTCGATTGACTTTAGATTGAACAAAATGTCCTATTTTAGCCGCTTAGCTTGAACTCCAATGCAATCAGATGTTTGTTCGTGTTTTTGTCTTTATTTCATTCTCCGTTAAATATATATATAAAAAATAAGCTCAAAGGGATTCATTTATGAAATTGAGAAAATTATTAACATTTTCAATGTATTATTATTGCAATAATCTTTTGGAATAGTAAAATTGAAAATACTCTTCTTGGTCAATAAGACATGTTCCCATCTTATTTGACTCAATTCATGTGCATGCAAATAAACCCATTATTTAGATAGACAAAATATGATGGCCGGGTCACAACACAAAAACAAGCTATAATAAGCTAGAAAATAGTGATTAATTTCTAATCTAATATTTTTTTGACGAATAATTTGTAATCTAATTAAGGTGTGTGTATGGTGGTGCATGAAAAAAGTCCCACCGGGATGATGCAAACAAGGAGAATGAAAAATAGGAAGCATGTGGGGCGAATGGTTTGTCCTTTTCCAGAGAAGTGACCCAAATATAAGTTACTGTCAATTTGCTATAAAAGTTCCTACTCTTACTTTGAACTGCCTTTATATTTATATTTATATAGGCCCCCTCTCCTCCACGCCGATCACCGTCTTCTTCTTAACTTACCTTACTCTCTTTTTCGTTCATCCATTGCTTTGGGTCCCATTGCTTTTTCCTTTTTACCAACATTTCATATGTCCTAAAATTTACTGCAAAAAAGGGTTGTGAAGGTTTTACTGCAAAGAATTTCCTCCCCTCATGCTAGTTGCTACTACGAGTAGTACTTTGTGTTTCAAAAAACAGACATTACATGATTGGTGACACTCGTGACACAATGAGCCTAAGCTATGTGAGCGCAACAATCATAATAACTCTTTTTCATTCACGTGATCTGATCTGATTTGATTTGATTTTCATATTTGTTCACCTGATCAAATGTTGTGACATTATTTTGAGTAATTAGAAATATCGCAATCCTACATTCATCTTAGTGAGAAAACCACCTACATTAGCTATACCAATAATGTGCCAAGCCACTAAGCTAAATCATCATCAATCTACTAGTCTTTTAGTATGCAAAACATATATAGTATATGATCACATACATATACAAGAGTACAAGTAGACCAATTCAAGTGCGGCTACTTTGCTTAGGCTTTTGGTATGTAGATAAAAAGGCAAAGAAATGACCTTAAAAAAATACACTTTAGCATCTTTGAGTTAAAATTCATGGGCGTATAGTAGAAATAAAAGAGATGAAAGAAAGATGATCCTACCTCCGTTTCTTTTTAGGAAGTTTTTTTTTTAGTTGACACATTTTCTTTAGGGGTAACTTTGTTACCTTGCATTTACAAACTATCCCACTTGCTTTTTCATTCTCTTGCACTCTCTCTCCTCTCCTTAATATATGTGCCTAAGTCAAACGCGTTAATTAATAGAAACGGAGGAAGTATATAAGAGTGCAAGAATTTTAGCAAATAAGATTCACTTACACTAGTAGAGCCACTAGGTTGTGACTAGTAGTCACAACATCACATGCAAGTTATGATAGCAACCCATGTGCTTCAAAGATAATCCACATGTATTCATATGGTAGTAATAACAATAAGATCCGAGTATATAATTTTATCATTTATTAAGGCTTGCATTTTATTGCTACTGCATATGCAAAAAGAACACTGTAATAATTCTCTACGATATTTCCTCTCATTGGGGGTCTATTTTTATTTCTATCCATATATAATATACTTCAACTACAATGGATTTTGATATGACTTCTTTACTATGATGGGTTGTATTCTTCTAAAGTTACATTGGATTTGTATGCATTATCTCCACCTTATATAGGGTTTTATAGCTAGTGTGTAGTGTAGTGTGTGTGAGAAGATGCCAATTGTATGTTATTATTGGTTTCTTCTTTTGTGGGAAAGAAATAAAGGCATTGAACGTAGACATAAAAATGTATGGATGTTTGTTTTTAGATTAGACAAGTATGTTTTACCGACAATATAATTTAGAATGTAACAGATCTGATACACGCAGTTGTAAGAGGTAGCTTTGAAATTAATAGTCTTGTGAGTTTTAATAGATTTGTTACTTATTCAAACAATCAATTGAACGTCTTGTCATTAAGTTATTAGAAGTTTGTCATAAGTTAGCCTGAAACATGTGTTATATATTTTAATTAACAAATGCAATATTATTGTGAAAGTGAGTTAGCTAACCTAATAGGCTAATACCTTGAGGGTTGGGATTGATTATACTAATGAATTTCTTTCACCTCTATAGATTTCCATGAAGATTAATAATAGGCTAAACAATTCTTTCCAAATATTCGAGTTGGTGTTATATAAAGCGAATAAGTACGAGTGTATGATTACTATTTTCAGACGGACGAGACACAAGAGTACATAATTACTACTACAAGGGGAACAAAGAGAAGCATGATAAATAAAGCAAAAGATGAAAATTCAGTGACTCTAGTCACAAACTCACAACTCATCCTCATCGCTATTTCCGGCTTTAAATCAGCCTCGGACCCAAAACATGCAAATAAAACAGAGCAATATAATAGAGCCTTACCCTTAGAAGAGCAAAGTAGCGGGATATTTCAAAGGTACAAATCGCGAAATAAAAGGGCAAAGAAAGTGGGGTCAAATTAATCTAATTAGATTAATAAGTACTTTGGTCTCTTCATTAGCTAAACATGTTTCAATTTTGTGCACTATTTACATAATTTACGTTTTTAAAAAAATCATAATTATACAGAGTCTTGTTAGATGCAATTTGTCTCATTATTTATTTTCCAAATATCAAAATTTTTAAAAACTTATATATATATTTTTCTGGGGCGTTGTATAAGCATTTAAAATATTACCTTAAGTGGTATTAATTTGGGAAAGCATGACAAAATCACACGTCGACCGATGTAATTAATGTTAATTTTTAATTTAATCATTCTACATTTAGCTAGTTATCCAATGCCCCCGGGACGTTCGTTAGCTTTTGCCTTCTAAGTAATTTATATGTTTAGAATGAAAATGTGTAAACTAAAATAAAACGGTAAAGAAGATGAGAGTTAAACCATAATTATATGAAGCCAAAATAGTAATTGGGTCCTAGCTCACAAAAAAATAGCCCCCATGTCATGTGCAAAAATGGGCCTACAAGTTTTAAGGGGCACTGACCGCTATAAGGGAGGGCAGCCCTAAGAGCCACGCACATTTCCTTTCCTTTGCATTTGCATGTGATTTTTCAAAGGTAGTGGCCGCATTTGAGGAGTTCATCACATGCTACTCTTGTTTTTGCTTCTTCCACCTTTCCATTTCCCCCCTTTTTTGCTTCTACTTAAGGTGCCAACTTTGGATACCACTTTTTTTCTTTTCCTTTGCCCTATACAGATTTTCTTTCTATTTTCGAATTTAACTACCGTCCTATTTAATGACTTACTTCACCTCCGTAACTTATTTAAGGAAAATTTGTCAGAAACAATCTTTTAAAGTGTCCACTTTATTTAAAATAACCTTTTAAATTTTTTTTTGCAATTTCAGACCATATTATAAATTTTTTTTATCAAAGACAACCAAATGCTATTTTCCGGCGTTTGACTCTATTTATCCCGATGTTAACCACTAGTGTGCAACGCTCATGAACTCGTATATTGCTTAATACACCAATTTTCACTCCAATTCACTTGTACTAAAAGAGGGATGAAAGAGAAGCAGAGGTTTTAATAGGAGTTAATTGGAGGAAAAAGGGGTGTATTAAGCAATGTAGGAGGTCACGTGACTCGCACACTCGTGGTCAACATCGGCAAAAATTGAGTCAACGCCGGAAAGTAACATTTGGTTGTCTTTGATAAAAAAAATTTATAATGTGGTCTTAAATTGCAAAAAAAAATTTAAAAGGTTGTTTTAAATAAAGTGGACACTTTAAAAGGTTGTTTTTGACAAATTTTCCCTTATTTAATAGCTTAGCTTCAAATGAATATATACTCCGTACTACTCTAGTCCGTAATATTTTATATTTGTATTAGTCTTCGTAACATTTTTGGATTAAAAATTAAAACTAATGTACTTCTACTTTAATTTGCAGCCGATATCTATTTATGTGAATTATACGTTATTTGGTGTGATTTAACCTGAGTACATATACATATTGAGTTTTAAGTTATATCCTTCTTAAACTATTTCATGTAAAGTTTTACAATAATAATATTGTTTGTACTAGTTAGACCATGGCCATATGTTTGATTGACCCTAGTTAATGTCAAATTCAATGGATAAAAATAAGATATTTACGTACGACACTTGTAGAACATAATCAAGTAGTTGTGGCATCATAATGATTTTGATGCCAGGTGACATGACATTTATGATTAATTAGTCCATAATTAAAGCATAGATCATATGTTTTACTCTATTATTTGAATAATATTAAATTAGCTAACGTGTTATTTGCATGTATATTGTGCTAATATGCTCTCTAATCATAGGTCACTTTATGTAATGCTGGTCATTACAAAATTATTCACCAAGTTTATGTAGGATAATCCTTTTTCTTTTACAAGAGTAGTTTATCAACGTTTTTGTAAATTATTTAGCTCAACTTTATTTTAACCTTTTCACTATTATACCGCGTCTAATACAATATAGAGTGTATATGTTTACCTTATTAAAGAAATATCCCGTAATAAATATATACTCCGATCCGTAATACATGTCTTGCTGATATAAACTCCTTACAGCATAGGGAATTTAGAAAAGGATGAAATGAGCATATGTAACTTCGTAATCCAAGTATCCAACCCCCACGAGTAGGGGTGTAAATGCTATATGTTGTTATCCCACCAAACCTTCATGTTGTCCCAACTCAAAAACAAAACTATATTATATACAACAATGCAATTGCATGTATATATTGTACATGTACCACCAAATTTGATTATGACACATTATATATAATCTCAAAGAGCAGTGATTAACATTATTTTTTTTTTGTACATTCAATATTATTTAAAATATTATTGTTTCTTTTAGATTTTATTGCAGAAATACATACGTACCTCTGTATGAGTTATATTATACAGGAAAAAACGGACAATATAAGATTCAACAAAGGTTAACTTCACTAAGCAGCAGTCACTCACTCCAGCCACTTATGTTAAGGGCCAACACGTGTGTATCTTACAATTATGGCCCATTTTGTCAGTCGACGTTTTTGGACTAACTTAGGCCCAACTGCCAACTGTCGTCGCCAACTCACCTATTTTCACTACCACTATTATTAGCTTAATTATATGATTTTATCACTAATAATTCTATAATCAGTGTTGCAACATCTATTGCAAGTTTAACCTTGCTTGTATGATGTAAAACCATAAATAGTTAAATACTATTCCAATGATAGGCGATTTGACTTAAAAAAAATACTTTTTTGCATTTTAATAAGTATTATACTTTAACTGATACGTAATTGAGTATAACATGAAAAAAGGCATGCTTGCCAAGCTTTTGTCAATGTTGGACCGTGAGTCGGGCTTTGGCCACGTTTTATTGGGAGAAATATGAAAATGCACAACACAATCCACTAAGGGCTTGTTCTGTCTAGCTTAATTTTAGTTCAATTCAATTCAGTTCAATTTAGTTTGATTCCTAATTTTCTTCTCTTATAAACAATTTATTTCAGTCATTTCAGTTTAGTTGTGTTAAGTAAATCGGAACAGATCCTAGTCTATCTAGTATGATAAAATTAATTAAATTTAGCTTAATACGCAGAAATCAACATCTTTTATATACGCCGGAGTTGTTTTTTTTTTGTTTGGTAAGAGCATACATAAATTTACATAGTAGATAACTCTAAAGATTAGAGTTCGTAATTATATAGAAGGAGATGAAAATTGAAAACGTAAAATAGGATGTTATGGAGGAGTTGGACAGTGTAGTTTAAAGCATGTGCAGATAGACCCATATGCGCACATGCAACCATGTGCTTTTCTTTTCTATTTTCTCTCTCTCTCCTTTTATTTTATTTAATTGTTTATTTATTATTTTTATTTAATTCTTTTTTTTTTTTTGACCCATGGTTGCTTTCATTAATTAATAAAATCACATTTAAATAGTTGTATTCGATCTTACCCTTAAATTTTATCCCTTTTTTTTTTTTGACTTTTGCCATGAAGTTTTTGTTATATCTTTTGGCTTTTGCTTCCACTTTCACTTTCACTTCCACTTGCACTTCTTTTTTTTAGTTGTATCTCTAATTCCATTGGCTCTTTTATGATCCTTCTCATTCTTAATTCATCATTCTTATACCATGTATAATCGAAATCATAAAATTGTGTGCTTCAGTGTAGTCATAAAGAGGATAATACCGCTATTCAAAAAAAAAAAAAAAAAAATATCGCTCTACTTTCTTTATCTTATTATAAGAATCAGTTTTGATCAATAAAAATAAGTTTGTATTTGGTCGGGTTGAATATACTATACGTACGTAATTGTTGTACAATATACCATTATAACAACAAAGTTGATTAGATAATTAAGAATGATATGTTAGTTGACTAATTAGCAAGCTACATATAACATATATTGTTTTAAATATTTTGATATTTGGAATATCTTGGATCAACTAAATCTATCCATAACCCAAGTGACAAACAAGCAAGACAAAAAGGAGGCAAAATATTTAAGCAAATGGTCAATTGTCTCCACACACGAATCTCCAAGTCTTCAAAGGTTGGCCGTAAAGCTCGTCGGATAACCCCCACCAACTCTTACCCTTTGTCTCAAATATAATAATTTTGAGTAGCTTTAGAACTTAGAGAGTAACATTTTTTGACAATTATGCTAATAATTATGATGAATATTAATGAGAATTTCTAATCAAAGTTTTTAATTTTGACTATGAGAACGTGAATAAACAATATATATTGTGGGGCGAAAAGATTAGTTATTTAGTGAGTATCAATTTGAAAGATAATATTAGCTGAGAAATACAATAATACGTATTTATTGGGAAAAGAAATTGTTGGCTAATTTAAAGTATACCTAAATTGATTTGAAACTTAAAAAAATTCCATTAAACAGTCATTTAACTCAATTTCTTAATCATCCAAACAGTCATCAATGTGACGTAGTGGCAAATATGCGATGGTACTAGTTAAAATTTAGTAATGTTTTTTTAAGATTACATAAAAGACCGACATTATAATTAAAGGATAGGAAAATCATGTTATACAATGCATCTATACAAGAATACGAATTATAATGGATGACAAAAGAAAAAGAAAAAACAAGATTATTGAAATGAAAATGAAAGTACATGTTACATATATAGGCGCATATTGAATAAAATGAATACACCAAATTTTAGAGAGACAAATAAGAAAGCTTAATCAAAAATTGAGTTGTCAAAACTTGAGTTAAATCCACTTACACAAGTTGGGCCGGGGCCCAGCCCAAATCGTTGCTAGGAATTTCATCCTACCGTCCAAAAGTAAATGTTCTAGAGTACGTGCATGCCCAATTGAAACACGTGGAGCCACGTATGACATTTATCTATAATTTTCTAAGGTGACAAGAAGGTGACATAGACTGTTACTATTGTTGTCATCTTATTATTTTGAAAGAATTTTACAGAAAATCTTATGTCACAGTATCACACGTGGCATATTGAATACGATAGTAGTAATATCTGGCTGAATATTTGGAAATGTCACCTTCTAATTTACCCTTAAGTTTTGTCACTACTTGAACCAATTATTTTGTTACTCCGTACTTCGTAATTTCTCTATCAAATATACAAACAAAATTTGTTGATTCTACGTTATCTTTGGTTTTAACTTATATGACTCATATGATGATGTGTTGTTAACTTGTTATACATATAGGCCTTAATTAGTAATTTAGTGACGATATAATATTTAGAAATTTACTCCGTATTAGAGATAATGATGAGTTAATTGCACTAAAATGATACCATGCCACATATTATGATGCGACACCTACCATATAAGAATTGTGTTAAGTAATGAAAATTTTAATCTTGTTTTTTTAACATAATGACTAGGGCATTATATGGGCCAATAATTAATTTTTGTAGCGAAAGCTGATGAATGATTAGAAGTAATTTATAAGCCAAAAATGAAAAACTTAACACTTAAAATTTTGGGTTATTACTGTAAAGTATGTAACATCTTATGCCATAACTCTATAAGGTCCATAACAATATTGTATAGATAAATTTTGATAAGTGAAATCGTCAATGCTACACAGTAACGACAATATGATTATAATTATAAAGCATGACAATTAAACCATTGCAATTACATAGTAACATAGCATTATAGCAATAATTTAGAGGGAAGTCAAGAGCTTGTGACCAATTTGGTAGTACGCATATGCATCACTAGCAGCAGCCACTACATGTTCATCGGTAAACACCATCGAGTTCCTCGAATCAATCTCAATTTCAGAAGTTGCGGATGTTGGACCGTCGTATGGAACCCCAACTTGATTGGCTAAATCGATCAAACTTGACTCGATGAGCACGGGTTTATTCAAAACTCGTGCAGCCAAATCACCTATTTTTACACCAACTCTCGAGTAGCTAAATTTTACAACGCTAAATGTCGTTGGCAATTCTGTAACTCCAACAAAACAAATCTTGTTATCTTTAAAAAAATTATCAAGGGACTCAGGAGCGTTAGCATAACTATTTCCCAAGTAATCTAAGTGAATGATAGATTAGGCAGCGGCGAAACACACATAGAACTATAACTTGGGTGTAGTAATGACCATGTTTTATCTTCTTGACGTCTAGGCCAACAACCTTAGTGTTACATTCGAGATAAGATCGTAGGTCAGCGATGTGCTTGTCGACAGCTGCTACGCAGTTGGCTACATGCGCCGTGACCTTAGTACCGTGGATAGTAACATCACAAGTGCCCATTAGTAAGAGGAATTCTACCGGAATTACTGGTTTTTTTTGTGGCCTCTTTAACATTATTTTGACGCACTTCTTTAGCTCAAATGTAGTGAATTATACGAAGTATTGTATACCGTGTTTATAATTTTATATGCTCTTCTTTTATAGAGTGGTTTCCTTGGGTAAATGAAACATCAAATCTGCATGTATGGTAGTAGTCTAGTAGAGTATTATTTGATATGTATGATAATATTTTTTTTTTTTTTTTAAATCTAGGAAATAGTAGAGTATAGTAAAGTAAAGACATTATCAACACGACCATTAAGATTTGCTACGTGCACATTTCAATATTCCATGTATATTTCATAATTTCCAAAGATAAGGGTGGCATGATTTATTCCTCTTGCTCTATTCCTATGCGTGTAATTAGTTACTCGTACTACTCTTGCTCTATTCCTATGTAATTGGGCACCACGTTCCTAACTTTACCCAATATAAGATTAAGTAAATACGGAGTCCTTGTAATAAAGAATCGATGACAACATAATAAAAACTTTTCTTATTTGATACAAAGTGAAGTTGTATATATACTCCGTAGTTTACATGGAGATGGAGTACGTAATAATAAAAACTAAAATTATTTATTGTAAACTTTGGAGGTTTAATAAATTTTATTGATTTCATATTAGGGTAACAAGAAGAAAAGGTGAAAAAATTGTATATACAGTGAAACCAACACCATTGCAGATTTACAAGTAAACTAATAGCCAAAGTAGAGATCGATTTTTTTTATTATTATTATTTTTTTATTTTATTATTATTATAATTTTTTTTTTTTTTTTGAAATGAAGAAAGATAGAATCCATTGAGTATTAAATTAGATCCAAATCTCCCAAAGTTGTAAGCTGTAGGGATTGATTGCTTGGTTGTAAGTTGTAGGAATATTTCATGCTTGAATTTCTTCATTGTAAAAGTTTATGACTAATCTTTTCTAGAAGGTATGACGTATAATAAGTATATTTAACCTATAATGCAACAAATTAAAGCTAAGGTTAATGCTTTAATTGAGTGTAATTGTGTGAAAACCTAGCTAAAGAATATTTGGATTGTATAAAAGTATTACCCCCAATGTCAAGCAAATCACATCATATCTTTACTTAACCTCATCAAGTGTCATATATGAGCAACAAATCAGCTACTCTTCAACTTTGCATTGACACAAAATGTCTCATAATCCAACTATTTTACTTGGATTATTTGCCTAAGTCTCTTAAGGATTTCATGGGCTGGCCCAATTTCACTTTTGTTGGGGTTGAAGTGGCTGATGATGTGGCTAAGTTGAGGGATGAGTATGGGCTGATCTGTGCTAGGAGCAGGGATATTCAGGCCCATGCTTTGGGCCTTTGGCCCATAAGGTGGTACCGAAAGCCCGGTCTTAAAGTTCTTGCTCGCGATATCGCCGGGCTTTATATGGCTAAGCCCATTCATGTTTGTAGGAGTGATTGGCAAGCTAGGGTGCTGAGTAAGGAGCAAGTGGAGTATGCTAGTATTGATGCTTATGCTTCTTACAAGATTGGTTGCAAGTTGTTTATGGAGTAAATGAGTAATTAAGTAAGGAATAATGATGTTAAGATGGTTTGCAATTTACTATTTGGTAATGTTATCTACTAAAAATTAAGTTCTCTATGTTTTTATGTAACGAGTGTTGTGGAGTTTGGTGATATGTACTCCTTACTCCTTAGTTGTAATAGTTTCTAATGATAATGTGAACGAGTCATCAATGTTCTAGCTATTAAATCTTATGTCTTCTTTAATTTTACAATTTTCATATCAAAATTATTCCAATTGTCTCTTCAATTCAAATTGTCTATAGGTTTTTTTATTATTTATTTATTTATTTATTTATTTATTTTTTAATTTAATTTTTTTAGACAAAATAATTGTGCATATGCATGCAAGTGCGGATCTACAATAGACCGTAGACTCCACTAGTAATCGTTTTTTTAATAGACTAATACCAATTTCAATGTAAAATGAATGTTGAATTAGTTTTGCTTTTATGGGTAATGCTATACATAGCTCTTAGGGCTATACTTAAGCATTAAATTTACTCTTGAAAAATGTATAAAGTTAGGAATTTATGACAAAAACACGCACAAATCGGTGTAATTAGTGTATTTTTGTCATGAATTTCTAAATTTTTAACAATTTTCAAGAGTAAATTAAATGTTTATATGTAGCCCTAAGGGCTATGTATTGCATTACCCATAAAAGCATATTTGTTTTTACCTTAATTATACTTGAATTGGTGCCTAAGTTTTTATGATATTTGTTTAAGCCTTCTTACAAGCATATTTCTTATTCTTTTCTAAGTGCCCCTTGCTTTAAATTGAAAAATAAAATTTTAAATCTGCCCACTGTAATGTATTGGGTAAAAAATAAAAAGAAAAGTATCTAGATTCTTTTGATTGGTATGCAATAATAACTAGAACCTTTAAATCTACCTTAATTTGTCTATGATTAGTTAAGGCCACATTGGCACTATGGCACATGTGGTACATGTAATATACAAGTAGTAACTATAATAATGTCAATTTGTTACATTTACAAATTGGGTGGAAGATCCTTGGTTTTTAATTGGTGAGTTATTAGGTAGATGTTTCTTATGAGATCATATTAGGTGTCTAGGTAGGTGTTTCCTAATTTCACTTTCATATTAAAGCAAATTAGGTAGGGATATAATGGGTTTAAGTGTAATGAATTAATTAATTTGCACTTGTATATTTTAAGAATATTATTGAATGTATGTAGTGAATAATAAACCAATAAAAGATTAAAAGTGTAGTATAATTGCTTATTTGTTTGAACGATAAAAGTCGTTTGATAATAGCATCATAATGAACACTTCCCCTACCTTAAAACAGAATTGAAAAAGACACCCACAAAGTCCACAAACTAGCTAGCCGAAATAGATTGTATTGCTAATCTTTCATTATAGTCCAATATGGAAGCATTTGTATGTCGGCTATGTACCTTAATTCACTTAATGGTTCATTAAGTGAGGATATGTAGAATATACACCTAAAATACATGCATAATCCGTTTGAGTAGAGTTTTCTTTTCTTTTTACTTCGTATTTTTGAATGATTGTGAATTTGTGATGAGTGGGAAATTGAGAATCTTTTTCTTTGTTGAAATCATGTGCCATCATTTTCTTATTGTACGGATGTTGCAATATAGAGTACTGCTTGAACAAAACTAGCGCTATTCAACAATTAAGAGGAACTTGCTAAGCCACTCCATAACCAACCATACCCACTAAAACCTATGCAGACCAGAATATTGTGGGCCGCCTAAGCCACCACATCAATCTTGCCAACTACGCATCTCCCTAAAGCACTAATCCCTCCGTCCCTTAATTAGATTCCTATTTTTTCATTACGTGAGGAATAAATACTAGAAATAAGAATATAATTAAGGGACGGAGAAAGTATATACTTCTTGTTGGACTACAAAATATCTTATTATGGCCTGAGTGTCTATTAATAGTTCTCAATACTCCATATATGTTTTACATAAAAAAAAATTCAATATTTCGAATATTGAAACTTAAGGTATGAAATCCAATATTCGGGATTTAAATATATAGGGAAAAAAAAATCAAATATACCACGTATTAAATTTTGGATCTGATCGATCAAACAATGGATCAAAATTTTTCCCCACTCGTGCAACAGAGAAGATATACGAGTATAAAACTACAAAAGTACATTCATTACATATGTTTTGAGATTCAATGTCAATATGTCATAACATACATTTTTATTTAAAAGAACTTATCATGCAACTCTAGAAGTATATTCTTGAATCTAGCTTGATGTATGAGGCTTGGGAATTGCATCACTATTGCTTATGTCACTACTTGTAAATTTGCGAATAATTATGATCAACTAAAGCTTTTTTAAGTCAGTAAGTCACACGATACATGTTGTTGGATCAACTAATATTTTTAGTATTTATATTCATATTATTGGAGGATAATATCAACCAAAAGATTAAGCTGATAATTGAGGTCCACGAATATATTTTATACTCTATCACTTATTAATTATTATAGCTAGCCTACTCTATCCAAGTCATGTTAAATTAGTACTCCATCTGTCCCTTAATTACATTCCTGCTTTCCTTTTTGGGTGTTTCAAAATTATATTCCTACTTTCTCTTTTTCGTATGTGAACCAAATAACCCCAAGTTATCCCTAAATTATTACTTTAATTATTTTTCTGTTTTGTAATTAATGGTTGCACAGAAATCATAATTTTCATTCACCCTTTTGAACATTCTAAATCAATGTGCAGCATTATAACCGATCATAATTGGTCCTTTTATTTTTCATAAACAAATGTGATTGGTCCTTTTTATTTTCAAAGGATTGATAACATGTGTTTCATTTAATATCACTCTATCTTTGTTTTATTCAAAGACAACAATAAATGTCTTGCAATTCCATTGTACTTTCTAATTATGCATGGGTTTTAAGGTTACTCTAGGTTCTTTAATTTCCGTGTAAATATAGAAATAGAAATGTAATTAAGGGACAGATGAAGTACTTAACTCCCTTTTACGTAGTATTAGTAATAATGGATCTTATTATTATTATTATTAAGCATTGCTTTTGGTGTAAGCAATTTGTCTTTTATTTATTATTTATTTTACGGGGTAAAGCAATAAACAATATAAGTAAACATAAGTAAACATAAGCTAGTGCATGCTTCTAGAAGATAAAGTAAGCCTAAGCTAGTGCATGCTTCTAGAAGGGCATCATTTAACGGATTTTTTTATGAAAGTAAGCTTAATTGGCAAACAATTTACCAATCTAGACGCGTGGCCAAACTATTTACGAAACTGAGCTTCTGACATAAAACGCTGCCTCGGTCAGCGTTTTACCTTTGGTTATTATTTTTTTTATGAAATTTCGTATTATGTGAAATACAAATTTAAAAAAAAAAATTGGAAATACAGTAAAACGCTGACTCAGTCAGCGTTTTTCTTGTATCCATAACAGAAAAAAACACTGACTGAGTCAGCGTTTTACACCTAAGCATAAAACGCTGCCTCAGTCAGCGTTTTATCTGCTGGCTGAAGGCAGCAACAACAGGCCCCCAACAGCAGCCAGTGCAGCCCCCTTCCACATCCACCACCCTCTCCACATCCACCAACACCACCACCCTCCTCCTCCACATCCACCACCACCACCATCACCCTCCTCCTCCACATCCACCACCACCACCATCACCCTCCTCCTCCACATCCACCACCACCACCACCACCCTCCTCCTCCACATCCTCCAACACCTCCACCACCCTCTTCCTCCACATCCACCACCTCCACCACCCATCCTCCTCCACATCCACCACCTCCACATCCACAATTTATTTTGAACGAAATGAGTCAAACGTGGACAAATAAGGAATTTGAAATTCAAACAAGACATAAATTCATTCAAATAATTATTCAAATAATAATGTAATGTAAGTGTTATGTACAACAAACTAGAGAAGGTCATTACAGCAAATAAATCAGATAATTCTATCCTATTATGATTCATCAATTTGGTGTAACGGCTCTCTATCTTGTATGTCCACTCTCGGCCTTTGACGACGGCTGTAGTGACGGACCGTGGTAAATGGGTTCGGGCGTACTGGCGGAGTCAGCTCGCTGGAAGATGGGTCATCAGGATGACGTAGAGGCGCGGAACTGCGAATGTCGTACTCCTCTGCGCCCGTGAATGACGAAAGATCACCCCCATAGCTACTCTGGCCAGCCTCGAACTGTGAGTGACTAGAGTGGCCGCCATGATCGTCCCGGGGGTGGACGAGATAGGCGTGACCATATCTCTGCAAGGTAGCCATGTCCATATCTCGCACCCGCTCGACCTGTGCTCTGGGCGGCTCAGGTATGCCTGGAAGGACGTCCGACAGTGCGTCAACCATCGTCGTCATATCCAACGCCTGTAGTAATTAAGGATGAGTTAGTTGAATGATATATAAATTTAAAATTGATAAAAATAAGTTAATCAAATACACTTACATATCCCCTGATAACGTCAAAGGATGGATGGTAATGTGCGGATGGCGGTGTGTAGCTGGGGTTGATGAAACGCCGTGTAATCCGCATGTACCACTCCATGTATGGATCGTATGGATCCATAACACCGTGGATGGGGTCACCAGTGACGACGAACTCCAACCGTCGATGCCACAAGTCAATTTACTGGGCATGCTCCGTCCGCCAGTTCCTGTCGCTTTGTATAGAATACTTCTTCACCATTTCCTGAAGCATTTTCTTAGATTCAAACAACATACCCTTCTCAAACTCCCCCCCGATCACAAATGTTGTATGACTACCTGATTTGGCCCAATATTGATCAACCTCATAATTCTCATTTACTTGACTTAACCAAGGAATAGGAGTTCTAACCATGGCCTCCCCACCTTCCATGTCTGTAGAATCAACATCCATGTTATCCAGAATTGGTTCCTCCTCTTCGCTCTCAGCCTCATCATTTGTTTCCCGGAGCGCATCATACAGAGACAACTCGTTATTCACCATATGTTGTAGATTTTCAAGATGATTCACCAATGGTTGAGACGGTGATGTATGATCATCATGCTGCGTAGGTGAATAACTTTGGAGTTGCATGGGAGAAGATATAACTGTGTTTGATGTCGAAGGCCCAGATTGGCCAAACATTGTCATAGATGTTCCACCATATACAGGTGAAGCTATATGTGAACTCAACGGCATCTGGAACAGATTGTCATGAAGCAGTCTGCTGAAGGACCCCATCCCATATTCAGTTGATGGAATGTCTTGTGAGGGCATTCGGAAGGACTCTGTGTAACCGGAAAAATAGGTAGCTTGTTGATCTGGTCGAGTACTTTGTTGCGTACACGTAGACACTATTTCTACATATATCTCATGTGGATAACCCCTCATTAAAACAGCGCTCCTCAAAGCTTTCAAATGTCTATCGTTAGAACAAGGTA